CAGAGGTTTAGATTAAAGCATGTTTGTAACAAATCAAACTGCAGCTTTGACTCATGGGCTGAATACAAAAGCATGCCACACTTTTCAGATTTTAATGGGATTTTAACTAACATTTTGTTAGTTAAAATCCGAATAAAATTTGTTACGGTCGTGTTCAAAATGTGAAAAAGCTGAAACGATGTGACGTTTGCAGAATGAACTTCATAATTCGTCATGATTTGAGGACAAGCCAGCAGAAAGTTGTTGCTTTGTGGACGCGCTGTGAGGATGGCTGTCTGTGCTGATGAAGTGTTTTGAGGTTTTCCAGTCACGTCCTGTCGCTCCCCAGGTGGCTCACAGTCATGTTAGCTTTCATGCGTCTCCAGCGCGCAGATAAAACCACTTCCTGTTTATCTCTGGACAAATGAGCAAAACCGCAGGACAGGAGGAATGTGACGATGGTCAGGATGAGATTAGCACCGCCGCTCTGAAAACTGCTAAAACACAGAGAGGCTAACTGTTAGCTCAATATGGCTGCAACGCTAAGGTTAGCTTACATGAGACGTGCTGAAGATGTGTGTTCAGTTAAACAGTCAAACATTAATAGCGATAATTTGGGTGGATTAACCCGTAAGAAAAAAATGGGAGTTTATTATTTAGTCATATTTTTACCATAAATACAAGAGTTTCAAACTAAATGCTTAATTAGCAAGCTACATACTTGGAAATAAATATTTAGCTTGCTAACAAAATATTTAGCTTGAAGCTAAATAACTCTTTAGCTGCATGTTAACTAATTGGTTAGCAAGCTAAATGTTTAGTTCAAATAAAGCTATATATTTAATATTTAGAGCAAGCTAAATATTTGGAAATTAAATATTTTTCTAGCAATTATTAGTTTTATTAGCTAAAAGCTAAATATTTACCTGACTCAAACATTTCATTTGAAACATGTATAGATGAATGAATAATGAGGTGAAAATGTGGTTTGGATTAATTAAACCCCTTTGTTTAACAAACTAAATATTTCTTGTTATTTCTTGACTCTGTCCAAACTGGACTCTAATGGATCCGGTTTGTTTTGGTTTTCTGAGGCTGAAAGTTCCTGTTTACATTTTTTAACTTGTTTTCTTCTTGTAAATCCAGCAGCTCTGCTTTCGGCCTCAGATCTTATCAGAGACATGACGACTTCAGGTTATTTCACAGCAGATTATCTTCATGCATGTTGTTGTTTGCTGATATTTAACTGAAAACATAAATTCTGCTCTTTCAGCTCTGATAATAAGCTCCTCTCAGTGGCTTCGCTCCCTGCAGCGTTTCAAACATCTGATTGTGAGAACGCGGATCCGTTCAGGGTGCAAACAGACAAAAACATTTCAGAAACAGAAAGCGTGACTCGGGTCGGGAGAAACAACGGCTGCTTTGTTGCCGGAGCGCTGGCGCGCCGCCACCATGATGTCACTGCAGCCTGCAGTTAATCAAACATGGTGTCCGGCTGGCGCTCCGCAGGTTTCTGCTGCCACTGGATGACGGGGCGTCCGATGCAGGCCTCGGCGCAACCTCGTTTAATTGAACACTGCAGCCTGATTCACGCATCTGAGATCATCACAAGATCAGCCAAAGATTTCCTAACAAGGATGGAAAAACAGACGAGGAAACATTTCAGCACTTGATGAAAGCTGCTGATTCAGCAGTAATTTAATCAGATGTGTGATTTAATCTGGATGTTATCTAAATGTATTTATTATTCCTGGTTTTCTATGTGGTGGCCTCAGCAGCAGTGAGAAAAGAAATCCATTATATGGAGCACTAACTCTGCCAAAACCTGATGGAAGGGCAACAAAACATGTCAATAACAGAATTATTAAAGCAATGTATAAAAATGTTCAGCAGAACAATTAAAAGAATTAAGACAGAAAACTTTAAATTCATAAATATCACAGGAAACGATAATGACCTGGATTCATGTTATGAAAATATTTTCTCAGTGAGGAAATAAATCATTGTTCTGTATGGAGGAGTAATGCTGCCAAAACCTGGACAAGAGGAAATAACAAAATAATATATATTTATAACTCCATTAGTAAACTAAAATGTTTAAATGCTCAACCAAACAATGACAAGATTTAGAAAGAAAACTTCAAATAATATTTGATTTCTCCATCTTATTTTTCATTTTGGCAGCTTTTTCACTCATTTCCAAAACATTTTAAAAAATTTATACATTTTTCATTCTCCTGGCTTTGTGGAGAACAACTTTTACATTTCTTTTCTCTTTCACAGGATGCCTCACCAAACAGACACTTTAAAAAAAAATTTCAGATGAATTTTTGGTGAATGTGACTCCGTACATCCCGTTGCTAACTGTTAGCCTGGCGTTGCGTTTCGTCCCCTCAGACGCAGTGAGCCGGCGTCTCGCCCTCATTCCTGGCACTCGACGAAACTCGGCGACGATCAACCGGACCTGGAGCAGCTGGAGACGATGGGCCCCGTCTGGGGCCACAGTTACCCCACCAGGTCAGAAACCCCTCATCATTTACCCCTCAGTTACCCCACCAGGTCAGAAACCCCTCATCATTTACCCCACAGTTACCCCACCAGGTCAGAAACCCCTCATCATTTACCCCACAGTTACCCCACCAGGTCAGAAACCCCTCATCATTTACCCCTCAGTTACCCCACCAGGTCAGAAACCCCTCATCATTTACCCCACAGTTACCCCACCAGGTCAGAAACCCCTCATCATTTACCCCACAGTTACCCCACCAGGTCAGAAACCCCTCATCATTTACCCATAGTTACCCCACCAGGTCAGAAACCCCTCATCATTTACCCACAGTTACCCCACCAGGTCAGAAACCCCTCATCATTTACCCCATAGTTACCCCACCAGGTCAGAAACCCCTCATCATTTACCCCATAGTTACCCCACCAGGTCAGAAACCCCTCATCATTTACCCCATAGTTACCCCACCAGGTCAGAAACCCCTCATCATTTACCCCATAGTTACCCCACCAGGTCAGAAACCCCTCATCATTTACCCCATAGTTACCCCACCAGGTCAGAAACCCCTCATCATTTACCCCACAGTTACCCCACCAGGTCAGAAACCCCTCATCATTTACCCCACAGTTACCCCACCAGGTCACTTTCAGCTGTTTTTCTTCAAATATCTTTTACACTATGTTTGAAATTATTAGAGTAAATTTCTGCCAAAATTTCTGGAATTTTGAGAAATGTCTGAGTTTCAAATTGAATTTTTTCTCATTTTTTCTTGAAACTCAGAAAATTTTTAAATTTCTTCTGGAAAATTTCTGAGATTAACCACTAAACTTTTTACGTTTTTCATATTTGTTTTATTAAATATAACAATTTTTTTTTTTTTTAAATTAAATTAAAAAAATACTCAGAAATGAATCTCAGGCCTGTGTTTACAGATTTAATTTGTGTCCCAGGTTAGTGACAGGAGGCCTTTTCCTGCCAGAACGACTTATAGTTAAAATTTTAATGAAAATAAAACATTTACTTAACGACATCAGACAAACATAAATTGTGAAGAAGAAGTAAAAACTGCAGAACTTTTAATGAAAACCAGTTTGCATGATTTGAGGGAAAATATTAAAAACTGAGATGTTTAGTAGTAATGTTTGTTTTTATTTCTGCTCTCAGGATTCAGATTTAATATCAGATTTTTGTCAGATCAGTCGGATGAATTAAAGTTCAGAGAAGCTGCAGCTCATCGTGTTTCTAAAATCAAATCAAACCCTCCTGATGAAGGAAGGCCAACAGAGACGCTCCGTCCTGCCGGTTCAGAAACGCGTTTCCTCGCTCGGAAAAGAACGAAAAGTAAAAATCCACAAACTGGGAGGGAGACTGGGAGGCCTGGAGCCGTCCCGCTTCCTGTAATCACATTGTGTCCGGCCGAAAGAGCTGCTGGGTCAAACTGTGACGTCGACACATTTACATTCCTGCAGCTCTTTCAACAATAAATACAGAGAACTGCGGCTGATTATGGGTTATTGATCCGCACAAACTGACAAAACGACGGAGCGGATTTGAGTTTCCACTGGAGAAACTCTGAAAATGGGTCAATTCTCCGGTTTCCTGGAGAGAAACACAGCAGTGGAGTAGAACTACCAACCCTATAAACACCCAAACCTAAAATCAACCAAATGAAGTTAAACCCTGGTTTTGTTATTATTTTTTCAGAATGTATGTTATAGTATGATTGTATATTGGCCCCTTAGTGAATAAATAAAATGCAATAAAAGATGAATTTCCACATAAAACTTCAGAAGTTTAGTGATTAATTTCAGAAATTCAAAATTTTTTGGGAGAAAATTTCTGAGATTTAAAAATTTCAGAGTTTTTTGGCAGGAATTGACTCCTTTATTTCTCTCCGAGCTGCAGCAGATTTATTCTGTTTTCTGAGTTAAAATTAAAGTTTTTTGTTTTGTTCTAGTTTCATCTTTGCTCCCTTCAGGACCAATATTTAATTTGGTCTCCCTTCGTCTCCCAGTGCTTCCACCTCCGACCTGTCGGCCGGGTTTGACCCCAGCGGCGCCGGCGGCTACCTGAGGAAGAGTCCGGACCAGTACAGCTCCAGGGGCAGCATGGAGAGCCTGGACCCGGCCCAGTCCTCCCATCACCACCCAGTGACGCAGCAGCAGCTCCCACTGGGCCACCGCGGCCAGACTGGGCCCAACCCGGCCTACTCGTCCTGCCAGCAGCTTTCCTCTGCCAGGTCCAGAAACGCAACAGAACCAGTCCAGATCCTGAAACTTTAGATATAAAGATCTAAACGTCTCAGTCATTTTATTAATAGTGGTGGAGATGTTCCATATTCTTCCAGTTGTACCTTCATTTCTTGGTCTCGTTGTGCTGCAGGTCCAACAGCATCGACCACCTGCACAGCAAGCGCGACTCGGCCTACTCCTCCTTCTCCACCAGCTCCAGTATTCCTGAGTACCTGGCCTCCACGCCGTCCTTCGGCCCGGAGCGCTCCTGCTCCCTGGACGCCGTCCCGCAGCGCGGGGCCGGCAGCGCCGAGATGCTGCAGGCCGGCAGCGCCGGGATGCTGCAGGCCGACATCCGATACGTCCGCGCCGTCTACGACGCCCAGCAGGGCCTGACTCAGGAGCAGGAGCTGAACTCGTCCAGAACCGGGCCCAGGTCCGGGCCCAGAGACCTCCAGGGTGCGCTCTGGTCCCACAAACACTTTCTGAAATTAACCTTCTGCAGTCCGTAGAGTCCAACAGTTTTCCTGTGTTTCTGTTGGTGCAGGCTCAGTGGGCGGAGTCTGTTACCGAGGCGCCAACGGCAGCAACGCCAGAGGCGGCGCCGGCGTCCCGGCGTCAAACCGGCACAGCGTGGGGCCCATATGGGGCCAGGCGGCCAGTCGCAGCTCCTACGAGAGCCTGAAGGGGGCGCCCGCGCCGCCGAGGCGCAGCGACAGCTACGCCGCCATCAGGAACCACGAGAGGCCAAACTCCTGGTCCAGTCTGGACCACGCCCGGTCGCTGCGGTGAGTGCGGTCTGTGAGCTTCGTGTTTTATTGTGACGTCATGTAACCAGATTTTGTCTCCGATCTCGTCATGCAGGTCTCTGCAGAGCAGCTCCTGGCATCACTCCAGCGGTCCAGTGGCCTCAGGTAACAACCCTGATCCATAGTCAGAGAGGTTCTGGTGGTCCAGGCTTTCTGGACCCGTTTTTCCACTAGAGTAATAAAACTGAACATAAGGATGTTTTAACATGTAAAACCGCAGTGGGTTCGTTTGTTCCTGTGGCTTTGGACACAGAATGGTTTCCCCCGGTGTGTTGTCAGCCTGGAGGGCTGCCAGGCTTCACTTGCCTGTCCGCCAGACCAAGAGTCGCTTGTTTTTATTCTTTTTTTAATGCGTCTCTACTGCACTCCACCCCGCTGCGCACTTCACCTGCAGAGCGCAGTCGCTCCTGAAAGTCGTTCTACAGTTTCGTGTTAGAGTAACTTTTTTTTTCTGTCAGACGATGTAATTTTTAAATTATTAATAATTTGACCAGTTACTCACTACTTCAGTAAACTTTTTGCCAAATACATTTTTACGGGAGTCATTTCTTGGATGGATACTTTTTACTTTTATTTGAGTGAGACATGTTGACGTTGTGCTACTGTATCCACTCTGCTCACTTTTATCTCAAACGAGATGATTTGAGAAAACTGCTGCTAACGTTGCTAATTGATGACGGTGCAGCAAAAAGCATCTCATCAAAACTTGTTGAACTTTTCAAAACATCCAAGTAGATTAGAGCGTTAACTTTTATCTGGAAAATGAATTTAGCAGAAGCTAAGTGTGCTAAATGTTTTTAAAGTTAGCGAAAATGCTCACATGCTAAACACATAATTAGCTCTGTTACTAGCACGTTAGCATGTTGGCAGATGTTCTTCCTAAAGCGGTCATGAAGATCTTTGACGGATCAGTTTGAGATGGTTTCAAGTGACCGACCCTCCCGTCTCCGTTTGGTTTTAGCCAAAGCTTCGTTTGGCGCTGAGTGTCAGCTCCACACCGTGGTGGAGAAGAGTCCGGAGAGCAGTCCCACCACCAAGCCCAGGCAGGGCGCCGGGTTCTCCCCACCCCCCACCGGGCCCGGCTCCCCGCCCAGCCGCCTCATTCTCCCTGCCAGCGTTTACCCGGTTCCCCAGCCAGAACCTCAGTACGCGCAGACGCCCAGCTCCGGTCCCGGTCCGTCTGGACTCTACTCGGCCCTGACCAAGGACAGCGGCCGGCAGCAGCCGGTCCGGGACCAGCAGGCCACAGAAAACGGCCACCAAAGCATTGGTTCTTCACCGTACTCCCGCTCCTCGTACTCCGGACCTGGATCGTCTCAGCTCAGGTCCAGACTGCCCGAGGCGGACAGGTGACCTTTGACCCCATGTACCAACTCGTTTCTTGGTTTAGATGTTTCTGCTCGTTTTAACGAAGCCTTGTGTTTGTAGTTGGCACCAGCATCCAGAGTCGAACGTGAAAACCTCAGAGGGTCCAACTGGAGCCCAGAGGCCTCACCAGAACCTCGGCCAGAACCTCGACGATTCTCTTCTGAAAGCACAACAGCAAGAGCAGAACCATGAATTCAGGATTACCCCGGTCCATTCGGCCCCAGACCTCAGAACCAGGAGCGAGTCCAGAGACTACACCCGGTACGGCTGCTCCCTTTCTGTAAACCACTGGGGCCCAAAGTGAGGCCCGGGGGCCTCTGGGGGCCCTCTGACTGACTTTGTGTGGCCCTCAACTCCAATTTAAAAATTATGCAAATTTGTTCTATAAATGCAGGAGGAGGCTTTTAATTTGTAACCAGGGTAAAAATTGTTATCAATGTAATTTTCTTACAAGGGAAAATACAACATAAAGTATTTGTGTTTACATAACAGAGTTTTAACAAAAGGTAAAACCAAGTTTATCCAGAGACCAAATCGGCTTTTATTGTTTCCAAACTCGCCTAAAAATACCAACAAAGTGGAAACAAAATGACCAAATGATGTTTTTATAAATGTATTCAATCGAGCCCAAAGACAACTACAAACTTTTCTTTTAATACAGCAAACATGTCAAATCTGCTAGAAAAACATTTCATTTCTGTCAAAAAACTTACATTTTCAAAGTAATCTCCGGGAAAAAATTTGATTTTTAGGTTAATATCAGAAATTTTCTACTAAAAATAATTTTCTAGAAAATTTCAAAGCTTTTTTTTTTTACAAAAGTTCAGAGGTTTTGGTCTTTTTCTTTATTTAGCACCAATAATAACCGTCAAAAAAATCAATTTCTACTTGTATTGGGATTCTTGACCGGATTGATTTTGGACGGGTTTTTGACCCACACAGTGAAAACTTTGGACTCCGTCCTGCAGCCGTTCATTCTGATGTTGTTCTTCAGACCCAGAGACCCGCCCACCGTTCCATCAGAACCGGCCGGATCGACCCGGATCGCCCAGGGTCAGGTACCGCCCGTCTCAGCGCCGCATCCATCCGCCCAGTGGAGCCAGAGAGACCCGGACAGCGACCACCCTCTGACCCGGCTGGAGAACGCCCTGGCCGAGGTCCAGCGCGTCGCCGTTCCCGACGGCCCGGACGGCGGCCAGAGTCCGGCCCGCGGCCAGAGCCCGGCCCGCTGCCTCTCCGTTCTGGAGAAAGTCAGTCACTTTGAGCGGCGGAGAGACGGAGGGAAGCAGCGCAGCTCCAGCACCACCTCCTACTGCAAATCCTCCCACCTGGGGGTAAAACCCAAACTCTCCCTGCTGCCTTTCTGCTCTCCAGACTCTGTTCTAAGCTTTTTATTTTCTGGTTCTGGTCCAGGTGAGCGATAAAGGCCGCAGTTCCCCCTGTGGAGCCGAAGACCTCAGAAATATGCTGGAAAGGAGCACGAAAGGAACCAAAACCCAGCGGACCATGAGCTACAGAGGAGGCGGCAATGAGTTCATGAAACACAGGTACGGAAGCCTGGAGGGACAGAAAGGAGCAGAGCTGCTTTTGGGTTCAGCCAATCAGCAGTAAGGAAACAAACTGGTGCTTCTTGATTGGCTGATTCAAATAGCATTCAGCTTTGTCTTCCCAAACTTGACTTTCTAATGTTTTATACATCCAGTATGAATATTTAGCCCAGATGTTGGATGATGAGAAACTCTGACTGATTCCTGCTTCTTTCTTCTATTGAACTCAAATTTATTCATTCTTTTAATTCCAAATGTTTCTATGGACGATGAGCAACATCCACCTGCTAGCTAACGATGACTAGCATTGGTTTTAGCTGCTAAGCTATCAATATGACACTTTAATCCTAAATGTATGTTATTATGTAAATGAAAAATGGACGCAGTGCTTTGCTACTAATCGTCAACAATAAGATAATCACAGATAACCTTAGATAACATGATGAGGAAAAAGTTTTAATTACAAAAAAAATAGTGAGGGAGAAGGAAGTAGCTCAGTTATGCTAGCTTGACTATGACAACTGTAACATGTAGATGTGCTGCAGGATTCGGTGAGTTCTGATTCGGTAAAGGCGACCAAAACACCAACTCTGACAGGAGTTTAATTTAGCTACGCTAACACCACTGTGTTAGCTTAGCTGATAGCAGCAGTAGCTAATGCACCTCAGAGAATCGTTTAGCTCGTCCATAACGAGTAAAACGATTGTCTTTTTGCCCTGCTGTGTTGTGCTGTGTCTCTTACAAAAGGCTGTTAAATACTTTGTGTTTGGTCTTCAGGCTTCCAGCCGATCCCGTCTCAGCGCTGCAGAGAAGCCGCAGCAGCTTCCAGCTGGACGGAGACGTCAACAGGAACTGTCCTTACGGACCTGAACCCCAGGAGACAGCCGACCCCCTGCAGGACAGGTCAGAGCCCTCCCAGAGGTCAGAGCCCTCCCAGAGGTCAGAGCCCTCCAACATGTCTGCCCTTGTCCTGATGTTTGTTTCTCCTCCAATCAGATCTAACAGAGACTCTGTGACAGACGCCCAGCCTGCTGCCCTTCACTCCGCTTCATTCAGACAGAGAGACCTCAGCTCTCCGCCTCCTGTCGCCTCCGGTCCTCAGCCGTTCCCCAACCCTGCTAAGTACAACTCACTGGAGAAAAAAGGCCCCAAAACGAAGCCCAAACCGCAGGGGGTCATCATGGCACCAGTCACCTCCCCTCACACCCCGAGGGAGAGGCATGCGGTCAGCCCCGACAGCGGGGGCCAGAGCCCGCCGCCGCTCCCCAGCGTCCCTCCGGTCGGGCCGCCGGCTCCGGCCAGGATCTGCGGCCGCAAACGACTGACGTCCGACCAGAAGAAACGTTCGTACTCCGAACCAGAGAACATGAACGAAGTGGGAGTTTCTGATCCAGAAACCGCTGCCCTCTTCCGGCGAGGAGGAGGTAAAACATCTCACACTGCGACACCTCGTTAGCCAGCGTTACCCAGCAGGCTAAGCTGCTAAAGCGCTAATCAGAAACACGCACTAAGACTAAATACCAGCATGGTGTTTAGCAGAAGCTAACATGCTAATTATTATCATGTGTCTATGACACACCAAAATATTTATTATTGAAATTTTACAACACAGCCAATTAGCACTTTAGAATTTATAGGTAAGAATTTATTTTTATTGTTTATAAACAATATGTAGCGGCGGGTTTTACTGTTGGTTGTCTGATCCCTGCTGTTATTCCAGAAACGAGCGTAGCGGACCGTCGGAAGATGTTTGAGCTCGCGGCGAGCCACGTCTCTCAGGGCTCCGCGTCGAGACCGGACCTGCGCCAACTCCGCCAAGACGCTCTGGTTGAGTACATGGAGAGGAAGCGAGGGATCAGGAGGGACGGGGCGGGGCACAGGACTGGATCGAGACCTCACAGCACTTACTTCCACCCTGAGCAGGGATACCACTCAGGTCAGGGCAGCTCACGGTCCAGTTTGGTTCTGAATGACATGACAGTTTTGTCCTGATGACATTTTTGGCTTCTCTTGTTGGACAGACACCTACAGTCTCTCGTCCACCTCCAGCATGCTTTCCCTTCAGGACCCTGGTCCGGATCGAGGCGTCCGGCTCTCGGATCGGACCGTTGGAGCCTCCAGTCCAACCTTTTCTACCCGGGCAGAGTGACGACACCCAGACCTCCAGCTCAGCCCATCCCTGGGTAACCGATCTCTGACCCAGTCCATCTTGGCTCCATGAACTTTTCTTTTCTTCATGGTTTTTCTTCTTCCAGCTCCAGTCTTGATCTCCAAATCAGTCAAGATCTGAACCCTGAAGCCCGAATCAGCAGACACAGTCAGTCCGGTACCAGAGACTCGAACAGAAGTCAAGACCGGCAGATCGCTGAGCCTCAGTACAAACCAGGACTCTCTACGAAGGTCAACGAGGCGCTGCAGCGGGTCGGGTCGGTCCACAGGACCGGGAGGTCGGCCTCTGCTGAGGATCTGCTGGAACGTCTGGAAAACAAATACTCGCCTCAACACATTCGCTCTCGCTCGTCCCCGACCGCAGACCAGCTCAGCCAGGTAATCAGAACTTCGACAACGACGCGGCGGTTCTTGGAGTCGGAAAAGTGACAGACCTTTGTGTGTTTCAGAACTTACTTTCAGGGGACATCAAGAGTTTCGACGTCTCCTTCTGTGAATCTGGACGATGTGCTCTGGCTGCAGACCGGTACGGCTAATCTGCTCTCACACAACGACACAAACCGCAGCTCCAGCCATTTGTATACGCAGTGTCTGCAGACAGTCGAGATTTCATAGTCAAGCATTTTCACTATCTGACTGGATCCTAGAGAGTTTGATTTGCTAGTTAGGCTTCGATAACAAGGTCAGGAAAAAGTTTTAATTAAGAAAAAAAAATAGCAAATAGAACCGAAGTAGCTCAGTCATGCTAGCTTGACTATGAAAACTGTAACATGTAGATGTGCTGTGGGATTCGGTGAGTTTCAATTCAGTAAAAAAATTTAAATGAAGGCGACCAAAACATGTTTACATTAGCTAATCTAATGTTTTATAAAAAATGTTTTAAAATCTAACTATATGCAAACAAATCAGATTCCAGTTGGACTGATTTTATATTTAAAGATGTAAAATAATTAACATTTCAATTTTGTTAAATTTCTATTTTTTACTTATTTGTCTTTTTGTGTCTGTCAGACCTGCAGACATTCACAGATCAACAGAGTCAAACCGGTTCAACGACAACCGACCGACACCGTGTCCACAAGGTGAGACATCCAACCAAACATCCAACCAGACATCCAACCAAACATCCAACCATCCAACCAGACATCCAACCATCCAACCAGACATCCAACCAAACATCCAACCATCCAACCAGACATCCAACCAAACATCCAACCAGACATCCAACCATCCAACCAAACATCCAACCATCCAACCAAACATCCAACCAAACATCCAACCATCCAACCAGACATCCAACCAAACATCCAACCATCCAACCAGACATCCAACCAAACATCCAACCATCCAACCAGACATCCAACCATCCAACCAGACATCCAACCAAACATCCAACCATCCAACCAGACATCCAACCAAACATCCAACCAGACATCCAACCATCCAACCAAACATCCAACCATCCAACCAAACATCCAACCAAACATCCAACCATCCAACCAGACATCCAACCAAACATCCAACCATCCAACCAAACATCCAACCATCCAACCAAACATCCAACCATCCAACCAAACATCCAACCATCCATATTGAAGTTTACATCCAATTGTCTCCATCTTTAATTATAAAAAGTCTTTTAGAAATCTTCAGTCCCAACATTATATTTTGCTGAATCTTCTTTGTTCTCGTTTTAATGTTTTCCTCTGAAGTTTCACTCTTTCTGTCCTCTGGTCTTAGACGTCTCTCACTCCCGTCAGTCGGAGAGAGCGCCAGAGGAAACGGCGAACGTCTCCGGGCCTACAGCAGCTCCACCCTGGCGGCCTCCGTCGGCCTCCCCTCGCCCTTCTCCTCTCCGGGGAACCGGCAGGACGGCGGCGCCGCCGAGTGGACGTCCAGCGAGACGCTGAGCCAGGTCAACCTGGACGCCATCACCTTCCCGGGAATCCCGCAGCCCGGCGACGGAACCGCAGAGGACGGACACCGAGGCAGAACCTCAAGCTTGGAGTTGACTGGAGACATTTTGGCTGAAAATACCAAACCAGTTCCACCAGTTCCATCAGTCACATCAGCAGCGCCACCATGCAGGAAGACCAGTGGCAGCTCCACTTCCTCCCATCAGTCCGTCCATCCACACCTGTCCTCTCTGAGGATCTCTGAATCCAGCCTCTGCGGCTCCTTTGAGCAACAGCCGCCGCAGACGTCAACAGGAAACCTTCAGGAGTTTGACGACGTCTTCCTCACCAACCTCCTCCTCCTCCTCCTGCTCCTCTCACTCCACCCATTAAAGAGACGAACATCATGGAGGACTTCCCTCCTCCTCCTCCACCTCCGGCTGAGATGGAGGCAGATCTTCAGTCGTTACAAAGGTTGGTTTCCAATCCTTCCTGAATCCAGATTTATCATGAAAACGTCAAAGTTCCTGATCATTTCTCTGTTTTCAGCTCTAATCCAGAAACCTTGAGCAACTCGGCTCCCATCTGGACGTCGTCTGCTCAGTCCGCTCCTCCACTAAAGCCGCAGCCGTCCAACGAGGACGTCTCCGTCTTCCAGTACCAGCCGCTTCCCAGGAGGGAGAAGTCACCCGAAGAGCTGAGGGTGGAGGCGCTGACTCAGCAGCTGGTTCGTAGTTCGACTCCACAGGCCAAACAAACTGGATCAGAACAGATAAAATCACCAATAGTTCATCTCTGCACAATCAGCTTCAGAGTTCAGAGTCAGGACTTTAAGACCCAGACACAGTTTGGACCTTTAATGGAACCGATTCCAACTGGAACTCTAACAGTCGCTGTTGGTTTGAGGAGATGAAGAACTTGAAATATTTCTTCTTCTTCTTCTTCCACCACCAGCATTGACAGCTGGTGCAGTTTCTAGGGTTTAAAAGTCTGATCTTGACTCCCTTTAAAGTGACTAATTCAACAAAACTCCAGCTAATTGGCGCTAATCGCCTCAGAGCGAGTGGAAGAGTGATTGTAGTTTAAAGTATAAGTCAGGAGATGGATATGAAACAATTTGGCCCTGAATATGTGACAGAGGAAACGAGTCACTGGATGTAAATCATCTACTTCTGGTGCTCAGGTGTTGCAGGATCCCTCTCTGGCGCCCCTGCTGGACACCTGGGGAGGCGAATGCACCATGAAGCTGATGGAGGAAATCTTTTCAAACGGTGGAGCGCCGGGGAGTTCACCTCCGGGTCAAAGGTAACCTACACTCGCTTGCTTCTGAATATTATCTGAACCATTTCTACAGCTTCAATCTGCATTAATGAATCATTTACTGAGCAATAAAAAATAAATATATATTATATAACTCTAAATTGGTTTATTATTAATACAATTAGCTATTAACTGCAATGTTTTTCCTGGAGGAGATAAAATGGTTTTAAACAGAGGGTTTAAATTTGACTTTCAAAATAAAGCTAGTGTGTATACCTCAAATAAGAGTTTAAACATTTAAAATTAAAAAATTTTGCTGTAACTTTCAAAATAAAGTTAATGTAAATAATTTTTAAAAATTAACTTAAAGATTTTCAACTGAAGTTTTAAACCGGAATTTCAAAGTAAAGTTAATATTGCATTTCAAATTAAGAGTGTAAATATTTTAAAGAGAGGTTTTAATTTGGATTTTAACATAGTTAATGTGCGTTCCTCAAATATAAACGTAAATATTTAAAAGAGAAGTTTTAAATTAGATTTTCAAAATAAAGTTAACTTAAACATATTCATCTGAAGTTTTAAAATAAAGCTAAAATTACACTTTAAACTAAAAACTGTTTGATAATCTTCAAAATAAAAGATGAAACAGTGAAATAGACGTTTCAACTTTCAAAATAAAACTAATAACCACACTTTAAACTAAGAGTTAAAATATGTAAACTGAAGTTTTACTTCAAGTAAAGGTTAAAAAAAGTCTTAAACGAGTTAAAGAAATGGTTTAACTCAGACTTTCAAAATAAAACTAGCTGTTCCTGAGAGTTTAGTTCTGATCTAATTTAGTCGGGTTTTGGAAAAAGGAAACATTTATCTCCAAACTGCCGACAGTTTCTGGTCCTATCAGCTGGTGAAGAAGTGGAAGGAGAACAACATGGCCGCCTGAAGAGTCTGAGACGTGAAGTTTGTTTTTAATTTTAAAAAGTTTGTTTGTAATGAACTCGGTGTTCAGAGAAGGAATGTCACATTTCATTTACTGCTTCCCAATCAGAGGTTGAAGGAGATGAAACCTTCTTCTCTCGTTGTAAGTGCAGCGTGAGGATACAGCGACGACGCTCCGCAGGCGGCCTGGTGACCTGGAGGTCACCGCCTGTTTGTCTTGGCTTGTCTGAGGCGGCATCAGCAGGAAAGACCAGGATAACCTGATTATCGTTTCCCAGCAGCTCAATATCCTCCTTAAAACCAAACTCAGAGTTTCCTTCAACATTTTCAGGCTCGGTGACGCAGATAACCCCAGATCAGAGCTAAAAAACTCAGTTTGTCTCTTTAACAGCGAGTTCAACCGGAGGGCTGGTCAACACTGACACCTAGTGGCACACAGGAGAACTGCACAGATCTGATCCATATTAATATTATATTGTAAATAAACAAATAAATGCATCCATAGTTATGTAATCAGCAATTAAATATAAAAACAGCAGTGAGAACATTACTTTATGAGATATTTCTTTGGTTTTTGAATAAAAAACACTTTGTTTTGTATTAAAATATTTTTTTGAATAATCAATTATTTATTAGATAGATTTTAATTAATTTCTTTAATTTCAGGTTATATTTAATTTTTCATTTTATTTTCTGTCTTCAGGGGTAAAAATCTTTCATTTTTTGTCAAATAAAATATCTATAACTTTAGCAGAAAAGAACCTGCAGTTGTGTGGAAACAGAAAATCTAAATTACTTTTGTTCTTATGTATAAACTGAGATCATTTTGTGGGTTATTGACGCGTTTATTTCTCCTCTGCAGGATGCAGGTCGGTGTCGGTGATCAGAGTTCGGCCCAAACGAAGGAGACGGACGTCGATGACGACGAGAGCGACGTCAACGCCAGGAAGGTAAACGCCTCGCTGTCCAGCAACAGCAACTAAAAACATCAAATAATCCTCTGGAAAAGTTTCTTCGTAAAGTTATTTTAATTTATCAACAGGAAAACTCAGCTGTTAATTAAACTCTCAATGCTGCCCATACAGGGCAGCATTGAGATGATTTTAGGCCCAAAATGGAAGAATTAACATAAATATTTACACAAAAATATCAAAATATTGCTCAGAAATATAGAGATACAATCCTCAGCACACAATTTAAACACCAAGAGCTGAACAAACCACAGGGTGCACTTACTTTTCCCGAGAGTTTTTATTTAAAACGATGTGATGTTTGTCCTCCTGTCCACCAGGGGGAGCTGTGTGAGGCCCTGCGGCGCTGCGTGGCGGCGATGCGGCGGGAGAAGGCAGCTCTGGCGGAGGAGCAGCGGCGCCACCAGGCTGCGGGCGCCGGCATGGAGGCGCTGATCCAGCAGCAGCTGAAAGCCAATGAGAAGGAGAAATACAGCAGGTTCACAGGTAGGCAACAAGCAGGGACAGGTCAAAGGTCAGAGCGGGTCCAGTCATCAGCTGATCATCGCCGTTGTCTGCAGGAGACCTGGAGAGGATCGTCAACCTGCTGCTGTCTCTGTGCAGCCGCCTGACCCGGGTGGACAAGTCTCTGCTTTCCCTGGACAGAGACGGAGGTTTGACTGAAGACGCTGCTGAGGAGAGGGTGAGACGTACGGCAAGCTGTCCACGCATGTAATGTGTGGCCGGCCGGTCCACAGCTCAAAGACATGAGCTAACAGATACTTCTCTGCTCCTCCTCCTCAGGACTCCCTTCATCACAAGCGTTCGCTGCTCCTGCGTCAAACCGAAGACGCGCGGGACCTGAAGGAGAACCTGGACCGGCGGCAGCGCGTCGTCACCGCCATCCTGACCGGCTACCTCACCGAAGAACAACTCCACGACTACCGCCGCTTCGTCAGCGCCAAACCTCGCTCCTGATTCGCCAGCGCCAGCTCGATGACCTCATCCGGCAGCGGGAGGAGCAGCTGGCGCGACTCGCCGAGAGCCTGCCGCCAAGCCTGCCGCTAAGCCCCGCCCACTCCATCAGGTCCACCGCTGTGACATCACTGTGATGTAACAAGATAGATCCACACGTCCATATCTAGTTTTTTATCCGACTGTCCTTAAACAACCCAAATGGTGCTTTCAGGGACCTGAACAGGTCCGTTCGTTCTTAGGACCGACAAAACAAGGTCCAAAGACAGAACAGAGTCGTCTGCAAAGAATCGAACCTTCAGCCACGTTTTCCAGCAAAGGCGTCCGTAAAACCGCGCTCTGCTCCCGCACAGGTAAGCCAGCCTCCAGGAAAACGGACCGCCCCGAAACCCGAAGGACTCACATGTTTCACCTTAACGCACATTGAGGAGCGTCTGACATCAGCACCGTAACGCCGCCGCCGCTCTTTCTGAACGCAGCTCATTGCACTTTGTAGCAGTCGGACCACTGTTTCCAGTTCCCAACGGCTTCATGGCTGAACGCTCGCAAACCGGCCGGAAAACCCGCCGGAAAACCGGCCGGAAAACCGGGAAGAGACAAAACTCCCAGCTTTTTAACCTTCACCGTCTCACACTGGCATGTTTTAAATGTTTTATCATCACCTGTAAGCAAATTCTGGTCCGTTCTGAAGTAAATAAAACAAGAGGAATTATAAAATGGTTCCCAAAGATATTTAATTTTATACAACAGGAAACCTGGACACAGAAGTTCCTTCACCTCCAAGAGGATTTTTTCCACAATCTGGAAAATCTCAGAAAACCAGCAGGAGGCGCAAACTGACTTGTTGAAACTCCTCCGTTTCCTCCAGCTGTGAAATGAGTTCAGAAACACGACTCTTATTAATCTCCGCCTGAAGTTTTGTTCAATAAAAGCACTTTTTCAGCTCATCTGTTTATGTTTCATTTACTTTTCGGTTATAAAATCACAATTTTTACCCTGATTACAAATGAAAGCTCTGCCTGCACAACGGGACAAATTTGAATCATTTTTGATTGGCCGCAGAAAATCAACCCAAGGGCCACAAACGGCCCCGGGACCACAGTTTGGACACCCGGGCTCAAACAGTATGATCTGAAACATAATCTGATCTTTATTGAAATGTTGTCTGAAGTAAGTGATGTAGATTTTTATAAAAATCATAAAATGGTGAGTTTGGATCCAGCAGAGCCACGAAACCTAAATTTAAAACTCCAAACAAACTGAAAATTAAAGGTTGTCATAAAATCTCCTGAACTTTGACCTTCAGCAGCTTCTGCTGGGTCAATGTGTCCATTTTGTTTCTGCTGTTTAATGTTGGAGATGTGAGGCTTTAAAGAAGGAAAATGTTGAAATGTTTCAGGTTTCTTTGTTCTGATTGAACAGAAACCAGAGAAAATACTTCAGTTTTGATGCATTCAGTGTTTCTGTGGACATGAAGTTTTTACTATGAACGCAGTTTAAATGAAAACTGAAACGTCTGAATATTTTAGACTCCAGGGTGAAAATTATTCAGTGAAGTTTGAAAAAAACTCAAGTTTGATTTTGGAAAAACATGAGAGCTTCACTGATGTCGGGCAACGTCAACATTCTGTGTGAAAAATTCTGACTTTAAACAGTTTCTTGTAAAACATGAATCAAATATGATTTTTCTTTTATTTTGAAAGGAACATGATATTTCACAACTTAAATATTAAATACAAATGTATATTTTATGACTGAAACTAATCCATGTATCTAATAGATTACTGATATAAACAGTGTTATTTCACAAGCTGATGATGAAGTTAGTGTGTAAATAATATTCACGTTGTGGCACTGTCAGCACTCCATAGAAATCAGAACAGAAACAAACTTTAATGTGGCAGAAGAAAAAAATGAGCTTTGAATTGATCCATTTTCTGATCAATTTAATATTGATCAAATGTTTCTTTTTCTTAATAAAATCCTGTGTTTGATCAACCAGGTGAGTCTGCTGGACATCCGGGTCACCTGCTGGAACGCAGCAGGTGAGTTTGTGGTTAAATTCCTGCGGTGGGCGGGGCTTAGACCGCTGACAGAAACAGCAGCCCGACCTTTGAGCCGAGCAGAACCTGGACGGAACCAGCATGGCTACAGACTTCACTCAGGACGAGGTTCTGGTTTCCTGCAGCGCTGCGGCGGGTCGGCGAAGAACACCGAACTGCTGGCCCACTTTCTGCCCTTCCTTCGGGACAATCCGGACAACGTCGGGAACCGAGACCGCTTCAAGAGTTTCGTCAACTCCGTGGCAACCGTGTCGAAGATCGACGGGGTTTCCACCGTGATCCTCAGGAAGCGGTACCGGGGATATGTGCACGGTTCGGGCAGAGACTCGGCCGAACCGGGTCCGGTCGGAGACGCCGAGCGGAATCCCGCCCTGCCTGCAGCTGGAATCGCAGTGGAGACACAGAGGGAAGACCCGAGTCCAGAACCCGTCCAGGTACGAAACCGGGCCCCAGAACTTTCAGAGATTCCTTATCAGAGCAGAACTCAGGAACCGAACCGGCTGGATTCTGCTCCTGGTCCAGCTGAGAGACATCAGGACTTCATCCCTGAGCCAATCAGATGGCAGGAAATGCCTGAAGAAAGTTTCATTCCACAGCCAATCAGAGGACAGGAAGCCCCCCATCAGAACCGCTGTCCACAGCCAATCAGAGGACAGGACTACCAACCTGTTGGAGGACATGTTTTCACACCCAGACCCACTGGAAGGCAACAAGACACCCCCCATATGCCGTCCAGAAGAATGGACAAACCCCATCAGGGAACCGTTCCTGAGCCCGTCAGAGGACACATCGTCGGCCGTCAGGACCACGCCCCAGACCCCGGTGAAAGGTGGGATCCCCCAAATCAGGGAACCATCTCGGAACCCAATAAAGGATGTATCGTCAGCCGTCAGGACCACGCCCCAGATCCCGTCAGAGGACAGAAGACCTCTCATCAGAACCGCATCGCTGAACCCTTCAGAGGACATGTTGGTAACTATCAGGACCAGTTTCCAGGACCCGTTAGGGGACAGCAGGTCCCTCATCAAAGTCATTTCCCAGCCCCCAACAGAAGATGGGATCCCCCACACCAGGATCCAAGAGGATATGTGATTAGTCGTGTCCCAGAACCCATCAGAGGAAAGAATGTGTTTTATCAGGACCCCAGCAGAGTTCCTCTGAGAGGTTCTCAACCTCCCACATCTCAACCACCGAGAGGACAGCAGAGCTTTTATCAGGCCCCTCAAAATCCAGAACACCTCAGGGGATGGGAGATTCCTCATCAGGATCCATTTCCTGAATATCTCAGTGGACAGCAGGTCCCCCAGAATCTAGAACCATTCAGGGGACAACGGATTCCTTATCAGGTCCTTCAAAATCCAGAACCACTCAGAGGACATTGGATTCCTCATCATGTCCCGCAGATAACAGAACACCGCAGGGGACAGGAGATTTCTTATCAAGACCCTGTCCCAGAAGCCTTCAGAGGTCAGAACGTCTATAATCAAGATCCCATTCCAGAATACCTCAGTGGGCATCAGATTCCCCAAAATATAGAACTTCGCAGGGGACAGCAGGTCCCCCAGAATCCAGAACCTCTCAGGGTACAACGGGCTCCTCAACAGATACCAGAACACCTTGGGGGACGGGACATTTCTTTTGAGGATCCTGTCCCAGAAGCCCAAAACATCTTTTATCAGCATCCCATTCCAGAATATCTCTGTGAACATCAGATCCCCCAGAATCTAGAACCTCTTAGGGGACAGCAAATGTCTTACGACCCTGTTCCAGAACATATCAGAGGACGGGGAATCTATTTTCCAGATTCCAATCCAGATTTACACAGAGGACAGAAGATTCCTTATCAGGATCCAATACCTGAATACCTCAGTGGGCAGCAAATCCCCCAGAATCCAGAGTGTCTTTTGACAGCAGGTCCCCCAGAACCTGAGAGGAACATAGAACCTCTCAGAAGACAGCAGGTCCACCAGAATCCAGAACCTCCTAAGGGACAGCAGGTCCACCAGGGTCAAGAACCTCTTAAGGGACAGCAGGTCCACCAGGGTCAAGAACCTCTTAAGGGACAGCAGGTCCACCAGGGTCAAGAACCTCTTAAGGGACAGTGGAACCCAAAGAGTCCAGATCTACATAGGGTACATGAGAAGAACCCAGAACCTCTCCAGGGACTGCAGGTGCCCCAAAATCTGGAACCTTTCCAGAGACAGCAGGTCCCCCAAAATCTAGAACCTCTTAAGGGACAGCGGGTCCAGAGTCCAGAACTACATAAGGTACATCAGAAAATACCAGAACCTCTTAAAGGACAGCAGGTCCCCCAGAATCTGGAACCTCTTAAAGGACAGCAGGTCCCCCAGAATCTGGAACCTCTTAAAGGACAGCAGGTCCCCCAGAATCTGGAACCTCTCCATGGACAGCAGATTCCCAAAAGTCCAGAACTACGTAGGGAACAGAAAATCTCCTTCCAGGATTTGGTTCCTGAATCCCCCAAAGGACAGCAGAGTCCTCCTCAGGACCCAGAACCCGTTGGAGGACATGAACCCGCTCCTCAGCTCCATCAGGTTCCGGCCCGCCACCTCAGATACAGGCAGAGCTACAGATCAGCCGTTTCTCAGGATGACGACAAAGAAGAGGAGGATGTCCAGATCAGACGTGGCTCAGCAGGAGGTCAGCGGGCCCTGAACGCCCCTCTCAGTGACGTGGCGAGGGCCATGTCTGCCTCCTCACCGAGTGTCATAGACCCCGCGGTTCCTCCCTCCTCTTCCTCAGGGAATAAGGTTCCTCAGATCTACATCCAGAACTCAGACGTTGAACTTCTGGCATCTCGATTCCCCTCAGAGTCCAGGTCCAGACCTGGACCTGGACCTGGACCTGGACCTGTGGATTCCATGAGACGCAGTCTGCCTCTGGAAGCAGAATTCACCATGGAACGCCACCATGACAGACCTGCTGCTCAGACTTCTCAACCAGTCGGGCCCAAACGGAACCAGAGGCTGTCGTCCAGCCAGAGCGACGTCTTCGACCTGCCGTCGGCTGTGAGGTCATCGTCGGCTGTGAGGTCATCGGTCAGCGACTGGCCTCCGTCCGGGTCCTCCAGAACCTTCAGAGCAGGTCCAGCAGAGCCTTCTTCTTCATTTGACTTATTTTAGTTCTGCATGTTACTGTAAAATAATATATATGTGAATACAAACAAAAAACTGCTGTTTCCTATTAGCCACTTTAATTTCAGGATAACAACCATTTTTCAAGATGGCCGCCGTTATTGCCATGACTTGGATGAATGTTATGTGTTTAGCATGGTGTCTGCTAATATTTAAAAATATGTTTAGCAGTTTAGCATTAGCTTCTGCTTGGATTTTTTAATGTGCTTAGCAGTGGAGTGTTAGCTTAATGTTTGGTGATTTAGCATTAGCACAGCTACAATTCTTAAGTTGTGAGCCGAACGTTTTGGTTAGCTGTGCCGACCACTGCCAAAAACTACTGATAAATTATGCATTGTACATATGATTTATATATATATATATATATATATAATTTGAGATTTTAGTTCTGAAATACATTTTCTTTGGCAGCCATCTTTTGTCAGGATGATTTAATGGATGATTTGACACCAGAAACATTCATCGATGGGCAAATTTAGTTCAAAAATAAAGTTTCTTTGACACCATGGTGGCCATTTTGAATTTTTCACTGGCTAATGTTTTTATTCAAACAGTTGAAACGTCTGTGCCGATTTATGCGAAAGGTTTTCCTGACATATTCAGTGATCCGTTGAACTGTTTGTGTCGTCCATGAACAGATGAACCTGCGGCTTCTCTGGAAGTTCTGCAGGAGTCCAACAGAACCAAGCCGGAGCCTCCGGCCCGTCGCTCCAACCTGAAAATGCCGTTCCATCAGTCGATGGGGAATCTCTGCGACGACGAGTCGCCTCCCAATGGAAAGTTGCAGCCGTTCCTGTCCAGCGACCATCTGAATGACAACCAGCAGTTTGCGTCCAGAGGGTCGTCCCTCAATCAGTCCACAGGTCCGAGTTGAGACCCGTCATTGTTGTCTTAAATTTAATGTGTTTGGCAGATTAGCGTTAGCTTCTGCTACTTCTACAATGTGTTTGAGTGGCTAGCTTTATGTTGGGATAGATTTTTTTATGCTTAGCTTTAGCTTCTGCTATAGTTTTAATGTGTTTGGTGCAGGGGTGCCTGGAGGCCCGGTGTCCTGAAACCTTTAGCTGAGCCTCTGCTGCACCACCTGTAGAATAATTGGGTCATTCAGGTTCTGCAGATCAGAGGCAATGAGTCTGTGGCTCATCTAAACCCTGCAGGTCTGTTTGGTTTAGTGAAGCTAAAGTTTCCTGTCTTGTAGATGATCTCTACGATGACATGAAGTCGAGCAGCAGCTCCATCGACTCGCCTCGGGTGAAGCTCCGCTCGCCGGCGGCTCGGCGGATGAGCAGCCGGCTGAGGAACCGGATTTGCCGCAGCTTGGGAACCGACCTGGACCAGGAGGAAGCCGGGGGAGGACCGGAGGACGCCAGACTGGAACGGCTGCACCGGATCTCGTCCTCGCTGAGTCTTCCCCACCACCTGTCCTCCTCGTCGCTGTCGTCTTCCACCACGCCGCCGCGATGCCCCAGCCCCAACGCGTCAGAGGGCGGGAGGAAGGAATCCAGGAAGAGCCTTCACTCCCACAACGCTGGAAAGGTCAGACTAACACTGGATATGCTTTAATCCAAGTCCTGTTCGTTTGCCTGCTTAGTCCAGTTCAGACCCAAAACGCCAACCTCAGTCTGGGTCCAGCTGAAGTGAACCCTGGTTCAGTTTGAAGGCATATGTGAACGCCAAGCGGACCATAGACTGCTCCAAAAGCAGAAAGTGGAGTACAGAGCAGGGCATTCTGGGTTGTATTTACCCTTTATTTTTCCACTTCATATAAAGTTTTCTTGTTGAGTCTTTATGGCTCGTTGCCTTGTTGATGCTAACAGTCTGGATGTGACTGTTGCCAACAGTCTGCGGTTCCTCTGGAGCCCCAGGAGCACCACTGGATGGTGAAGGCAGCGGCGGGTGCCTGGCCCGACATCTACGCTCTGTTCAGGTCCGACTCCTCGCTGCTCAACCGGCAGGACTTCATCTCCGGCTTCACGGTTCTGCACTGGATGGCCAAACATGGCGACCACCGAGTGATCAACACCCTGGGGTGAGTCGACAGGCCGGGACGCCTGCGTCCTGCAGCCGCTTTCAGTTTGACGCTGGAATCTGGCTTGGCTCAGCGTCAGCATGCTAATGCAACGTTAGAAATATTTCCTCAGCCATCGAGCTGCAGCTGTTAGAATCAATTATTCTATAGATTATTTAGATCATTAGAGGGTTTTAAAAATCATTCTGAACATTTTCATTAAATTATCTTTTCATCTCAATTTCAGATTTTCTTTTCTAGCTAATAAATTTTTTTTTAGAGAATTTCAGAGATTGCTCTCAAACTTTCTGTCAAATTTCTGTCAAAAATTTCAAGTAAATTTCCAACTTTTCACGCTGAAAAATTTTAATTTTTTTCCAGAAAATTTTAGAATTTTTCCTGGGAAATATTTACTTTTCAAAGTCAGAAACTTTTTAGTTTTTTCTAGAAAATTTTGGAGATTAATTTGAAAATGCTTTTTTTCCTAGCAGAATAAAAAATTTTCAAAGTGAAACATTTTCTTGTTTTTCCTATAAATGTTTTCTGCTTTCAGGTACGGCGTGCAGCAGAAAGGCCTGAGCTTCGATGTGAACGCCAGGTCGACGGCGGGTCAGACTCCCCTCCACATCGCCGCCATGCACAACCACAAGAACGTCATCCAGCTGCTGGTGAAGAAGTTCAACGCCGACGTGAAGGTGAGGGACACGGCGGGGAAGAAGGCCTGGCAGTACCTGAGCGACCGATCCCCGGACATCCTGCAGCTGCTGGCGGCGCCGCCGAAAGCCGCGCTGACCCGCGGCCCCGAGAACGTCGACCCGGGCCCGAAGCCGCCCAAGCAGAAGCGCCACCTGCGCCACCACTTCTCCTCGGCCTCCTCCGGCCAGAGGCCGCAGACGCTGAGCGCCATGGTGAAGGTCAGCAGGTCGTCGTCCATCGCTGCGCTGCTGAAGCACAAATCGCTGCATCGGTTTTAGCAGAACCAGAACCAGAACCAGAACCGGTTTGCTGAGCCGCCCTGCTGTTACAGACGTGTTCCTGCCTGCCGCCCCGAACGCAGGCAGCCAAACGGGCAACTTTTATTTCCACTGTTTCTTACTGAAGCTAATATTAGCAGTTTAACATCCAGGCTCTAAAAAGCCTGTTGATGTTTGGACTTTATTAAAATTCTTCTCTAATCAATGGAAACATGACAATAAATGACGAAAATCCAATTAAACGTTTGATCCTGATGATTAAACGCAGAAAAAGACATGAAAATGTTTTTGCTATAAAATTATGAACATACATTAAAGAAACATAAAAAATGTTATTGGAGTATTAACATGACATTGATAGCATTTATGCTATTAGCCTCTTAGCTTATGTTTATTAAAGTTAGTTAATGTTTTCCAACATGCTAGATTCAGCTAACATGGCTAAGTCATGAAATTATGTACAAAATAGAAAAAACTAAATCCTATAAATTAAACTTTATAGTTTACTTTAACATAATTAAACTTTAATGTATAATGAAATAAAAATCCCATTAAAGAAACATTTTAAATCATAAACTTTAATGTCACGGTGCCAATGTAAAGGTTTGGGGCCTTTTACTGGATTTCCTATTTTTTCCTTCCACTTAATTTTCCATGCATTCTTAAGCTATCAATGATTTTGTCACAAAACTTGTTTTTTATGCTTTTTTATATTATTGTATTTCCCCTGGAACTGACTAAGTTTTCATTAAATGAATCCAGAATCATCTGGAATATGTTTCTTGAATTCATCTGTCTGTTGATTTGTTTGTCTCGGTCTGGAGGCTCCGCCCCTTCCTAACTGTAACATTTAGTTTCTGCAGCGGCTGAACACAAAGGACGGTTTCACCTTCCATGTTTCGGTCTGATGTGGGAGGAAAATCCGCCCGTCGTCTTGATCTCAGGTTTCAGCTCTGATTTTATACATAAATAATAAAAACATATTTCATGTCCCTTTCAATTCAGAGAGAGAAATTAATATCTGTTGGGTTTTAAAATGGTTTTGTTTATTTTTGAAAAAATCTAAATGTGGCCAAACTTTTACTTATGTGCTTTTATTTTGAAGGAGCGCTTGCTCTATGCTAGTTGCTGGAAGTTATTGAAATGATCTCTCCACATAAAAATATATGTAAACGAGTCAGAAATATGTGAAATTTGTGTAAATTTAATATTTTTGTTGTGGAAACCCAACAGGAAATGATGCGTCTCGATCTGTTGGCATTTCTGCTAAATTGGACAAAACTTTGATTTTTATAAATGAAAAAACTTCCTGATCCTCTGTTTAGTATAAAACTGCAACATCCAGAGAGTTGTAGGTTCAATTCCTGGTCTGCAAATAAAAAGAATATTTATGTTTAATTTGGTATTTCATGGGAGTTTTAATTTAAAACACAAAGTTCATCATAATCAGTCACAATTTGCTGTTTATGTTGAGAAAAACATGATTTCTGCTGAAATATGATGTTTATTGATCAATTTATTTTTACTCCAGGAATGAACCGATTGAGAATTTCAGCCAATATTCAGGATTCTGGCTTTTAGAAACCAGAGAAAATCCATATTATCTTTTGTTTTCTTTGTCACATGGCCAAACAAACCATCTGTCTAAATAATTTATAATAATTAATAAACTTTGATAAAAACATAGCCCCAGTAGCAACTATCAGCCCAATAAAACATTTAATCACAATTTTACTTATTTTTTCCACTAGTGTACCACATTATCGAACAAACTAAATCGAATGTAATTTCAAATAAATATTTGAGTCTGTGTTCATAAAACAGCCTGGCTCTCCAGTTTGCCGTCTCCGCCCCGATGTGTCATCCTGCATGTTGGGTCTGGTACCGACAACCTGTTGGGTTTGGTACCGACAACCTGCCGGCTGTTTGCTCAGAAACCTGTTTGACACCAACATGCGAAACACAAATCAGTCAGAAACGTTTCTGTTTTTAGGTTCAGGCCTGAAGAATCGTGATGTGATTCTGCTGAAATAACTGGTCAGATAGATTCTGTCAAAACAAAACCCAGTTTTTAATCCATCACCAAGAAAAAAACACTTTGAAAATATGAAATTCTTTCTGCAGGATAAACAGACTTCAGATTAGATTTCGACTGGAATGCATGAAGATTTGCAGCTTTTCTGATAAGAGCATCAAATTCCTGGAACAGAAACAGAAAAACAAGGAGGACAGAAACCAAACGGAGGAAAACGACTCTCAGGTTTTACTTTCTGCTGTCAACGAGACTCTGCAAGTCATGGAGAAGCAAAAACAAACTGAAAACTGCAGAAAACATGGAAACTTCTGTGAAATTCAAACAATGAGAAGAATCTCTTAAAAATCTCACTGGGACTGAAAACGTGGGCAGAGAGGAACAAACGCAGCAAGCAGGAAGTTTCTGGTTCCTCCTCCGACTTTAACAACGTTTTAAAACCAGAATGAATCACTGGAGGCTGAAAACGATGAAACAAGCAGCCAAAGTCCAAAACACTAAAGATTATAAAACTGTCCAGTCTTTTCCTTGTCACATTAGCAACCCAAACGGTTCTGGTCGGATTGAACTGGATCTGGATGAAACATAAAAATTTTATTTCTTTTCTGAACCTTGTAGTTCAGTCATTTCATTCATATATTTTCTCTGCGCTGCTGAGATTCTCTGAGTGATGAACCTGTTAGAAAAACCGCAGGCTGAAAGTCTCCGACAAACACCTGAACAAAAACGGCTAAAGATCCGACTGATTTCATCCAAGAGAGGAAAACAGTCACAACATAACATGACGCAAAACACAGTGGGAGGCACAGCTAGCTAGAAGGCTAATAGGCTAGCTGAAAGGCTAAAAGGCTAGCTGAAAGGCTAAGAGGCTAAAAGCCTAACTCAAAGGCTAAATAGCTGGTTGAAAGGCTAAAGGCTAGCTGAAAGGCTATAAGGCTAGCTGAAAGGCTAAAAGGCTAGCTGAAAAGCTAAAAGGCCAGCTGAAAGGCTAAGAGGCTAAAAGTCTAGCTGAAAGGCTAAAGAGCTCACTGAAAGGCTAAAAGCCTAGTTGCGCTATCATAAAGGACTCACCATGAATAAAAGCTTTAAAACGCTAAACAAACATTAGCTTCTGCTAAACACAGCAACATTGTATTTAGCAGAAGCTAAAGTTAAAATGTTACACATTTTAACTTGACATTGTTACACAATGCTAAATGTATAACTAATTCAGCTAATGCTAAATTCAATGTTGGTGTAACATTTCACTATTTAGCATAGGCTAATCCTAAAACTACCCATAACCCTAACACTTTATTTAGCACTAGCTAACACTAAAACGCTACACCAGCTTAGCTTATAAGAGGTTAAAACAAAATTGCTTTACCGCCATGGTATTTAGCAGTAGCTAATGCTAAGCACTTTACCAGCATACTTAGCAGAAACTAGCTAAGGCGCTACACCAACATTTGTTTTCAGTAAATGGAAATGCTACAGGGCTAAACTTAGCCATGTTGGTTTGTCAACATATCATCTTATTACTGCTACATTAACCCAAAGTTGCTTTTCCATTTCTACCTAAATGGTTTGGCATCAGGAAGCGAATTTACTTTGAATAGACCGTTCACCAACGCTTTTAGATTTACAGTTTTTCTAACTCTTATTTTGCAAATCTTGTATTGTACAATAGAAGAGCATGAATATAAATCTTATAATCAAATTATCAACACAAAATTTGAATTTCAATCAACTGAAAGTTTAGAAAACAGAAAATAAATGAGTGTTTTTGAATTTATACTGAAAAATTCAAAGTTATCAAAAATGCTAAAGTGCTAAATAAAAAAATAACCATCAGCAGAAATGTATTTTTGAATCGTTTATCTAGTTTTCTTTCTGCTGCTGTGGAGACACGAAGCTGCAGTTGTGAAAAAATACAATCTTTCAAAATTCAGTTTTTTATACGTTTCTGGGTGAGAAAATGATTTAACTGCAAATAAACATCTTAAGAGTTATTCATTAAACAAAATAATGCTTTCTGGAAAGGGAAAAAGTTTGACTTTACTGAAATACCTTCAGTAAGAAGGTTCAAGACTCAGACTGAGCTGGGCTTTGACTAGGCCAATGGTGAACCTACTGGAGTGTTATGGGTAATTTTTCAGCGTCAGATTAGACGCTCTGGTCCTGCAGCCCCAAGCCATGACACGTCCACCTCCATGCTTCAGGTGGTTGGAACATGCGCCCTCTGGTGGCTGTTTCAGGTGTAACAGCTCCTTCCATTTTAAATGGACCAACATGAAGCTGGACTCTTCCTGTGATTTTGCTCTAACGTTAGCCTGTAATGTTACGTTTGGTCTATTTAGGTCCGAATGAGGCAGCAGGAGAGCAGGACTCTGGTTGTAGGTCTTTATTTAGTGATCAGGGTCCTGAAGCAGCAGCAGCAGCAGCAGCTGCAGCAGCAACAACAGAGCTTTTTACACTGAGGAAAAATCATCTCAACAAAGTTAAAACGGGAGAGAATATCGTCTCTGTGAACGTCTGTCCAGGAGAAACGGACGTCTGTCCAGGAGAAACGGACGTCTGTCCCGGAGAAACGGACGTCTGTCCCGGAGAAACGGACGTCTGTCCCGGAGAAACGGACGTCTGTCCAGGAGAAACGGACGTCTGTCCCGGAGAAACGGACGTCTGTCCCGGAGAAACGGACGTCTGTCCCCGAGAAACGGACGTCTGTCCAGAGGAGCAGCAGCTTCCATGATGACCGGAGAATCGCTGGTCGGGTTTGTTCAGAAAAACCAAACGGCCTCAAAGCAACGAAACGTTTCTCATGCATTCGCTTCAAGGTGACAAACCGAAGAAACAAAACCGGCTTTTGGCAGCTGGAAGCTTTTTAAATGTAACATGAAGAAATGGCACCGAGTTTCTCTGAGTCGTCGCATTTTAGGAACCACAGAAAGGAGGAAACATGCAGACAGGAAAACTGGATCAGGTGAAAGCTTCAGCGACGCGTTCAGGTGTTTCAGGAAGTTTCATGTTTAAATATTTTTTGTGTGAAACAGAATAATTACATCAGAAGCAGATTTTTTTTTTTACGTTTTGGATGTTTAGTTTTTTTTTTGCTCTGTTTTCCAGCTGCAGGGGCTGATGGGAGCTGCGCTCAGTTCCAGCTGAACGGATCCGGTTCCCGTTTCTACGAGGCGCCGACCGGCTGCAGAGGAGGGCAGGGGGAGGAGCCGCCGCCGTAAGCCCCGCCCCCGCTGCGGGCGGCGCCCCCTCGTGGACGGCGGCGGTGACGTCTTCGTTGTAGAGGCGCTTGATGCCGTCGTAGAAATCGTCCACGTCCATCTGCTCCACCTGGAGGCGGGCGGAGGTCAGTGAGGCTCTGATGCTGCGGCGCGTTTTAACCGCAGTGAAACGTTTGTGCTGCCATCATTTTACAGATGTTTCCAGAGGTCAAAGGTCAACCAGTCCACATTTACAAATCTAATTAATTATTGCTCATTAAGTGTCCATTATTTGTGCAGCAACATTTTTTATTTTTTCAGATAAAAAAGAATCCAGGTCAGCAGGGATTATCGATGCAGATTAACTTAAATTATTTTTTTAGCTTTTTAGCATCTTCAGAATGACAGCAGCACAAACGGAACATTTTGCAGCACAAACGGAACATTTTGCAGCACAACAGTTTGAAGGAGAGTGGATCTTTATCGTGGCGGCGGTCGCGGCTCCACGCCTCACCTTGCGCTTGGTGGAGGCCTTGCAGCGCAGCGTCACTTTCTGCAGCTGCTTCAGGTGTTTTGGCGAAGGGGGCGGAGCTTTGCTCTCCTCTCCGGCCGCCGCCGCCGCCGCCGTCGGGTCGGGTTGGTCCCTGGACGTCTCCATGGTCCCTGGATCAGAGCAGACCAGAAGAACCACATTCACTCCCTCCTTTCACCGCATCATGTAAAGAATCAGAGCTGAAATGATTTATTGTGGCCATAAAAGACACAAAAGAGTCAAAATAATCAGTTAATCTGTTAATAAACTAAATAATAGATTAGACCAAATATTTAGTTCATCGTCTGAATAAATATTTGTATTTTTCCAGACATCGTGCTACTTGTGGCTGTAAGCCAGTTTTCCTGGCTGGTTCTGGCGGTTCCTCTGGACCCGGCCGTTCTGGAGGGAACCTACCCGGCGGGCGGCGGGTCGGGGCGGCGAGCTGCAGGGGGTGGAAGATGTAAACGGTGTTGGGAGGCAGGGAAGCTCTGGGGGTGGACAGGCTGCGTGACACCAGCTCTCTGCTGCGGATCAGCGCCGAGCTGTCCGTCTGAGGAAGAGGAGCGGAGAGGAAGAGTTACACCTGGTCACCACGGTGATACAGGCGGTGACGACGGCTCTGATTGGAGGATTCAGACTGAGATGGGAATGATTTAGTCAGGCACATTGAGAGGCAGCTAAACAGATGAAACTGATAGAGGAGAAGATGGAGGGAGGGAGAGAGAGACAGAGAGAGAGAGAGAGAAAGAAAGAAAGAGAGACAGAAGCAAAGAGAGAAAGAGAGAGACAGAGAGAGAGAAAAAGAGAGAGAGAGAGAGAGAGAGAGAAAGAGAGAGAGAAGCAAAGAGAGAAAGAGAGAGACAGAAAGAGAGAGAGAGAGAAAGAGAGAGAAAGAGAGAGAGAGACAGAGAGAGACAGAGAGAGACAGAGAGAGAGAGAGAGAGACAGAGAGAGACAGAGAGAGACAGAGAGACAGAGAGAGAGACAGAGAGAGAAAAAGAGACAGAGAGAGAGAGAGAGAGACAGAGAGAGAGAATAGTAGAGGACAAGTGAAGAAAGAGATTTATTAACATATATTTAACATTTTAGGGAATAAAATCTTTTTTTACTTATTTCCTCCAAATTAATCCAAACATCTGAAATTAATCTCCATCGTTTCTGGTTCAGAACCTGGGACCGGGTTCTGGTTCTGGTTGAGTCCATTTATCTTCCATGTGAAACCTGATAAAGGTTTAACCTTGACCTTTCAGCCTGTCCTGTCTGGACTCACCTGAGCCTTCCTCAGCAGGTTGATGGTGAGCGGCAGCCAATCAGAACAGCAGGTCTCCAGCTCCAGGCTGATGAGGGCCAGGGCCAGCATGGATCCCCTCAGCTGCAGATCAGATCACAGCCAGTCAGAAACCAGCCGCACAAACAGGAAGCGGCGGCGCGGCGCGGCGGCGGCGGCCCACCTGCATGAGGGCGTGGTCAGCCAGGCAGGCGTAGAGGCGGCGGGTGAGGAGGCCGAGGTGCTGGGAGCGGTTCAACCCGACGGAGTCCAGGAAGCGGAGCGAGACGACGTCGCCATCGCGTGGAACTGAGGCACAAATCACAGCTGTTCACACTTCCTGCCACCAGGTGGCACTGCTGAGCCGATTCAGAAACGACTCCATCGATCAAAACGAGGATCAATGTCTGTCATCTACTTTAATCTATGACATATAAACTGAATAATTTGAGTCACAACAACTTTAACTTCCCTTCAATAAACTATTTTTGATTTTCAGAGACTGAAAAAACTTTTAGTTTAAAGAAACCAAAGGATGAAATTTATTCTAGTGATCAATTATTCAGACGATTAATCAGTGATTAACTGAATAATCAGTTATTCAGACGTAAACAAAGATTTTTTTCATTTAACTGCTCAAGTATTTTTATGCAATATGATAAAAAATAAATTAAATTCATTTTTACATTTTGCTGCCTGAACTGCAACAATATTGATTTAGTGAACAGATTAATCAAAATGAAATGGATTCATTTCTATCTAATTAGAATTTAGATAACAAGATGTGATTAACGAGAACAACTAAAACTGAATCGCAATTTAATCTTTTTATGAATCGTTACTGAAATCAGATTTCAAACATTTTTCTGCTTTTAATGTTAAGAAAAGTCAGATTTAATTTTCCTCTGCATCAATAAGATTAGTAACGATAATCAATTAACCGTTTTAGCTCTAAGTGTGTGTGTGTGTGTGTGTGTGTGTGAGACGCGTACGATGTGCAGGAAGTCCAGCGCGGTGGCGGTGTGCAGGTCCCAGTCCAGTTTGTCCAGGATGAGTCTCTCCATCCTCAGGATCTCTGACGGAGAGCAGCCGCAGTTACTGCAGGCAACCAGCTCCTTCAGAGAGGGAACACACTGACACACACAGACACACACACACACACACACACACACACACACACACACACACACACACACACACACACACACACACACACACACACACACACACACACACACACACACACACACACACACGGTGAGCCTCTCCCTGAGGGTCCTGCGGCGGCGCTGGCTCAAGGCGGCGTTTACCTCGTCCTCCTCGCAGGTCTTGGCAGCCAGGAAGAAGCAGGCGACGGCGATGCAGCGCAGGTACTTTGGACGGGCCTGAGAACAAATAATCAATCGATTAATCGATGAAAACACATGAAACCAGCCCTGGTAAAATCAGAATTGTCAGTTGTTATGTATTCAGAGTTTAATGTTTCATAACATGGAAAAGTTTCTGCTTTAAACATCCAGTTTGTTTTCTTTCACTGAGTCAACAGAAAAGTTGAGTGGAAGGAAAAAAGTTTAGATTTTGTGCTGAATTGCTAAAACAGATTAGTTATGGGTGATATTGTTTTGATTAGACGTTGATGCCTGTGTCAGGTGGCAGAACCAGAACCAGAACCAGGTTGTTGTCTCGGTACCTTGATGGGAGCCAGGAAGCGGTCCAGGATGCTAACGGCTAACACCAGGGTCTCCGGGTAGAGCTGCAGCCGGCCGTGGAGCTCCGTCAGCCAGCGCACCGCCTCGTCCCGCTGCGCCGGCGAGACGTCTGCATCCTGACAGCGGGAAAACGGGTCACCATCACAACGGCCACTTCAATCGCTTTGAAACTACTTTACAGGAAGTGCGATTAGAGTTATTAAAGTATTTTTATGGTAAAACCAGAAATTTAACAAAACAAAATGATTTCAACATTTGGCTTAACATATAATATAAAGCAAATTAAAAGTTAACAGTAAATGTTCAAAATTAAATAAATGTTCTCTTCAGGTTTTCTGACATTTTGCAAATGGAAATAATTGGACTAAATTTACTGAACAATAAAAGTTTAGATTTAACTTAAAAAGAATAAAGTTTTATTGTTTAACAGATGTATAAAAATGTCTGATTTCAACTGTAAGTAACGTTTTTAATCAAATGTTAGATAAGATCTTTTAGTCTGAATAAGAAGCTCTTTCCAAACCTTAAAAACTCAATTCAAGGATTTTCAAGAACTTGTAAGGATTTCAAGCACCAGGAAGAAGCCTCTCTGTGGGGTCATAAGGTCAAATGAAGCTTCGCTTTCTTTATTAATGGATGTAAACAAAGTGAAGCGAAGAGCGAGATCTGGAAAAACACGGGTGTTCAAAGTGTGGCTCAGGGGCCATTTGTGGTACCTTGAAATGATTTTGTTCGGCCGTTGAGTCACAAATCAAAAAATGTTAAAAATTTGGCCAAAAAAACAGTTGAGAACGAAAAAGTTAGAAAATGTTACACTGAAGGCCTTTTATGTTAGTATCTTTCAAGGATATTCAGATTGTATTTTTATTTTTGAGCACCAAACAAACCACCGGGAAAGAAGTTTGAATTTAGTGACTGTGTTTTGCACCAGCAGCTGAATTAAGGCGTGTCCAGGATCTGACAACACGTCTCAAACAAACGGGTGACGAAGCGCCGACAGGGTGAGACCAGCTGATTGTTCTGCAACACACACACACACACACACACACACACACACACACACACACACACACACACACACACACACACACACACACACACACACACACCCTGTCAGCTGGTTGGTTCTGACTCAGTCTTTCTGCTGCTTCCTGAATGTGTGTCACACAGCAGGTTTTATTTGTGTCTTTTGTGAAACGCTGAGTCGAAACGCCACCCAGACTCACGTGACCGGAGCAACCGAACAATTTGTCAACAGTTTAACAATCGTTTCGCAACATTAACCTCACGCTTTGGAAACACGTCACTCAAGGAGACGCGAGGAAACAAAATAAAACACATTTTTAAGGATAAAATTCTCTGTGGTTGGTTGGTCATTTATAAACCGGTGAATGAATAGATGGTATTTATGGCATTTAATAATTAGAAACTGGGTTGGAATGTTGGTTTGTTTTGCTTTCGATTCCTAAACCAAATCTATTTAAAAGAAACAGCAGCTATTGACTGGACCGAGCTGCACAAACAGAATGACTAAAACTCAAGTCGAAATAAAATACAAGAAAACATGACAGACAGAAGAAAAATAAAATGATTCCCTCTCACCTCTCCTCCATTTCTGGATCCAAATAAATTAACAAATTCATTATGTCTGTTAATTATTAAACTCCAGGGAAACATTTTAACACATTAATTTTAATTAATTAACACATTAAAAATTTAACACAAATAATTTAATTTTCTTTTGTATTTTGTAAATGTTTTGGGCGGAACATTTGTATTTGCGCGTTTCTGGTACGCCCGTAAATCTGACGCACAGGCGACGTCCGCTAACAGCTTCGCTCTGTCCGCTGGGTTTTAATTTCTGCTTCTGAAAATGATCTGATTGGTCGCCAGAAAAGACTTCTGGTGTGTTCCAAGTTCTGCTAAAAGGAGTTAGCCTATCAGCGAAGCTATGCTAGCCCAAAATAGCATATCAATGCTAAAGATGTAGCAGCTAACTCTAATGTTAGCTGCTACATCTTATAGCAGTGTTATCTAATACATCTAATGCAGCAGTGTTATTCAGAACCTGGAGGTTTGGTGCCTCTGCAAAAGTTAATAAAGTTAAATTTATGAACACAAAACTGACTGCTGCTCCAACATGGCCGCCGCTGTCTGCATTTCTCCTTCAGTCAAAAACAACAAACAGAAACTTTGACCAAAGTCGACTTTGACCTGCATATGGATGTATCTGCATGTATATGAGAGAGAGAGTCAACGCCTCCCACTTTTTGCCGTTTCATAACTGAAAGGGAAGAAAAAGCAGAAATGAGTTTGTTTTTGACGTCGTTCAGGTTTTCCCCTAAAAACCAACTGAAATCAGTGACGTAAAAATCCAGAATGAAGCCAGAAACATCCAGTTTCCACAGTGGGAAATCTCTGACGGCGGATTTCCCCCAGTCAGAAACCAAATTTAAAATAAATTCAGTTTTTGAAATAAACAAACTGTTAGGAATATTTTTACTGCACTGTACTTTGGGTACTTTTATTATGAAGTATTTCTGCTCTTACTGGAGCAAAATTTCTGGATTTTCTTCCCAATAAATGAAAAATAACACACACACTGAAATAACTTCAAGTGTTAAAGTTATTGCCTTATTTATTGTTATTTTTATAAATTATTGTCATTTTGGTCCTTAAAATAGTCACATTTCTACTTAACTTTATATTTTGGTTCATCTGATGATGTAATTTTTAAATATTTGATCAGTTATTCAGTAATAGAATCGCTGTTTTACAAATACTTCTTTACTTGAGTAATTTCTTATTAAAAATATAGTGAAGTCCTGCTATTGTTACTTCAACAGTTTTTGTGTTAAAACACCTGAAAGAAGAAAACTAACTTACAAGCAACTTTCCAGCAAGAAATAAAGTCAATAATTCCTAAATATTAATGACGAAATCAGATTATTTCACTAATAATGTGGTAACAATGTCTTGTTTTTAAATAAAACAAGCTCAGATTTCTTGCTGAAAACTAACTTGTAAGTTAGTTTTGCCTTATTTCTGGAGACATTTGCTCTAGAAACGTGTTGGGAGTTTCTGCAGTGGCGCCGTCCTGACCTGGGAGGTGGGCTTCTTGGCCACGTAGCTTTTCCACGTCTGGGCTTCCCTAGAGGCGGCCTTCTCCAGGAGAAAAGACAGCCTCTGGCGTCCCCAGGGTTGGGCGAACTTCATTCTGGCCTCCCCGGGTCGAGCCGACCTCCCCACTGGATACAGCTACCTGCGCACACACACACACACACACACACACACACACACACACACACACACACACACACACACACACACACACCATGACGACACACAGATCAGCTTCACGTAAACACAACGTGTGTTTTTATGCTTATGCGTTCAAAACGCCTGGGTGGACCTAGCCCCGCCTTCTAAACCCAGCTCCTTCAGACTAGCCAGAAGCAATTAGCAAAAACCTGCTGAGCTCATTATAGGAGCTGCTTCTCAGAGCGACAGTGGTAAAAGACGCTTTGTCAAAGGGTTAATAAAGGCGGAGTTTCAGAGAGAGCAGGAGTTTCTTAAAGAGACAGAAGCCCAGTTTTAAGGCGTTACATTACTAATTAAATATATTTTAAGTCATACTTGTTACACGTAGCACTTTTAAAACCATCAAAGGTAACAGTTAGCTCATTGTGTATAAAATGACACTACATAATACCACATTAATTTTGTAAAATTGCCAATCTGCCAATATTTACATGTGAAGCCAATCGATCTTCCTCCATAAAAGTCTAAAATCAGACACTGTCCCCATTTGCTCTTAATGGTTTCTGTCCAAATAGGAATTGCCAAGTCAGGATCTTTAAAGATTGATGATCAGACAGAAAATTGTAATCAGTGCACCTTTAAATCAAACTTGAAAATGTAAGGCTATGCTTTTGTAACTCAAAAATTAGTTTTTACTGGCAAACATATCAAATTTTATGATAATCTGGACCTAAATATCTAATAAAAGTAATATATTAACCAGCAAAATGGGGTAAAACATTAATTATGAAAGATTTCTGAAGTTGTAGGGCAAAATCTAAAACGTTTAAATATTGAATTTCTGAGATTTTTAAATTTTTTCTTCCACATTTCAATGTAAGAAATTCAGCTTTGAAAATCCGACACGTTTCAACATCTGACACTATCGCAGCTGAACAAAATATGGTAATTTGTAAAATTATTGTTCAAATTTTGCTATCAAAACTTAAATTTACCTGCTGCTGTTTTAACTAACATTTGCATAAAGACACGGATCAATACTTTAAATCAGTTTTTGCTGACATGCAGCTGAAAAATGTTAATTATTGCAAAAAACATCTAAGCTCAGTCAGACTGGATAGAAAGCTCTATTTTCAGAATTTAGATCTCGACTTTGACTAGACCATCCCAAGACTTGATCTAAGTCATCCTATAGTATCTTTGGATCGATAATTTGTCAATAGGATTGGATTTTGTTCATAAAAATGATTTTAGTAGCTAATTTTACACAGAGCTGCAGAAACAACCGGGGCTGCTGACAGGTTGGAAAACACCTGGAGGGGGGCAGAAATGAGGGGAATTCCAGATCTCAGTCTGCAGGTGCATCTGAAAATGAAACAGACTACTTTCTGGAACGCAGCTAATTTCACAGCGCAGCTAGCAGCTCATCACGGACACAAAGAGCAGATTTAAGGTTTAAATATGTACTGGAAACTGGACTCAGAGCTTCCCGTTTGGGTGAAATAAAAGCGATTAGTTTCTGTATTGCCATAATAAACACTAACAACAACACAGGGACATTTAAATGCCTGAGTCAACGCCAGGAAGTAGACGGAGCCCGTCTTACCTCCCCTGCGAAGCGGAGAAAACCACAGTTGGGTTTCATCCGGTCCTCTCGATCCAAGCAGGAAGAAAGACGGGTGGAATCGAGGACCGTGCTGCGGTTTAATCGTCCATTGTGAGTTTTGAGGGTAGAGGGGTTGATATATAAATATATAAAAAAAATAAGAACGGAATATAGACGGGATACGTCTACTTCCGAGGAGGGGACTGGGAGGAGAGAGGTGGAGCGGATGAAACCCCGCCCACCTCCGGCCGGAGCTAACGCGAGAAACAATCGCACCTTGTGTTTTGCAGTTTATTGTTATGCAACGATTCCACTGTAAATAAGGCGTTTCATTTGTACAAACAAGGATTTTACCTTCTGCTTCACGCTAACAGCGAACTGACACTAAATATAGACTTAGAGGAGATAAAAAGAACAAATATGTACATAAATGTACGCAGGTTAGTATGATGGAAAAGTACTTTTTTTGTTCCCTAATAGTATTTATGGAACAAAAACAGTCCAAAGTACTCGTGATGCAAGAAAATAATTATAAAAACAATTAAAATAAAAAAAGGGTGTGTGTTTCACTTTAATTAGCCTGTAAGGCTCTTCTAACGTTTTAACCATGAACTAATGACCTATTTTTACATAAATCATCTTCATCAGAGTCCTACAGAAGACAGTAAGTCTCTTTTATGATTACAGACATTGTTTTTAGATTTAATACCAAGTTTGGTTGATAACAGTTGTTAAAAGGCTGTCAAATACAACTACGTAATGGCCTTATTACGTCAGGAGCATTGGTTTCCCTAGACCAATCAGAATGTAGAATTTTGGGCGGACTATTTGAACACAACAAGCTGCCGGTTGCTGATTGGCTAATGGAAAAGTCAGTCACAGGGGGGTGCGTCTCGCCGAAGAGCTTTTAGATTTCAGCCATTCTTAATATATCTCAACAGATGATACACCTAGAGGATCTATATGGATATATTAGGTCGAAGTAAAGTGAAAGAAGTTGGTAAAATCGTCGTTGCAACCGTTGATTTATGCGATTAGCCCTTAGAAGGAGGCGGTTGCTAACGCCAACCAAGGCTGTGATTGGTTGTTGCGGTTTTGCTAGGATATGTGGGCGGGGCTAGTCTGAACATCAACAAAGAGAGGAAAGAAAAAGGAGGAGGAGAAGAGGGGAGAGTAAACTGGAAGGAATAAACGACAACAGACGACAGATATGTGGCTTTAACCAGCAATAACAGGTAGGAGAACCATTTTAAAGTGTTTCCCAGCTTTTAACTCGTTCTGACACCGAGTTGTTTCGGGGAAATATTCCGCTTAGATTCGGTTTCAGCTAAGAAATCCCCCCCAGGAAGAACAGACAGCCAACAATGGTCTTTTAGCTACAGACATGTTACCGATAATATTAATATATGAATGATGTTCAACCGTTATCAAGCTGTTATTCCCATAACAGAAAATTACTCCGGAAAGACGACGAAGATGGTGTCCGATTCAGAGCCTCAGTAAAGGGCTATTCCGAAGCTTTTTACAAATCTGGAGCATTTTATTTTTTATATCAGCTGGAGTTTAAAATGTGAAGCTGATCGATTAGCTTATGATGAATAGAAACAAGCCTCAAAAACAACATTTAAAACCGAGCCGTTAAATGTTCGTCGTGTTTGTGTGTAAACAAAAACAGTTTTATTTTCTCTAAAAGCTGAACCAGATCCAGATCACTTTAATCTGCTTTAAATTAAATTTATGCTCCTTAAAAAACTATTTAAAACCTGTGAAACATGCCTGCGAAATGCATATTAATAAATTAATTTTAAACATTGATTCCTCTTAATCTGAACTCTGTTATTTCGCTGTTAGATAAAAGCACAAAAATTCCAAACGTTCAACTTGCGAAATATTAAATTACGATGCAATTTTCTACTTTTTATGGTTTTGTTAGCAGAAAATTTAAAAAAATGAACGTTTCCTGGACCACCACAGAATAAACTGATCTGTTATTAGTCATGAATAGAATTGAAAATATCTCATTATATCAAATTTTTCTGAATTTTCAGCCAGTAAATCTTGAATCTTGTTGAAAAAACTGAAATCTCCTTTTCACTTTGTATGTTTACGTGACCGAACCGGAAGCCAACTTCAGCGCCGCTCATCCGGAATCTCCAAACATTTTGGACATTTTTGCGCATTTTCTGTCACATTTCTGTAAAAAGTGAAGCTGCAGAAGCGCAGTGTGTGTCTGTGCTGGACTGACGGGATGTGGCTGTTTGTGTAGCAGCGGTTCCCCTCCCCCCGCTCCGACCACAGGATTTAAAAACGGTTCGGCTCAGTTCGACGGTAACGGTCCATTCCAGCGACCCGAACCCGGCGGGTTCTGGTTTAAACGCAGTGTTTGCTGGTTAAATCGGAGGGAGAAACGTTTAAAACCGAAGGTTTGAGTTTGTGGGTCAGACTGAAGGCGTCCGCCGGAGGGAACCTGACACCGGATCCCGGGTCCAGCTGGGGGAAGTGGGCCGGGTTCGGGCTCCCTGCAGGGTTCGGGCTCCCTGACGGGTTCGGGCACCCTGCCCGGGCCAAGAGGCCGATCACTGACAGGTTACATCACAGCGCAGCCCCGGAACACAAACCGGGATCGACCCGAACCGAGAGCGTTACGAGGAGGTCAGAAATAGTTTATCTGAAAAGTGCGGAGTGCTTTTTTGTTTTTAGAAACCCAGTTTTACATCATAAAAGCAGGAGAAATCACCAATTATGAAACTCGGTGTGACGATATGCACTTACATTTTAAACATCATATTTTAATGTACTATTGTAATAACAATAAAAAATAATTTATAAAATTTTTTAGCTCATATTATGACTGATTTTCAGAAATTGTAGCCCCACAAACAAATACTGTTGTAGAAAAACATTCCTGTTTCTAATCCAGTCACACAAAGAAGTGTGATTAGTACCAATAAACAGCAAACAGTAACAGCATTTAATCATATTTTCAAATTTATTGACACTTCCTTAGAACAAAAAAAAAAAAAGTACATATCGTTTCAATGGCTTTTACACATCACTATTTAGGATTTATCATGACTGATAAATTAAAATTGTCATAATAAATGATAAACCATATGATAAATGGGACTCTTTTGAAAGCTTTTTCTAATATGTGCAGGGAAGCTACCTTTAGCCTACTATGCTAGGCTAAAGGCTAAATGATCTTCTCTTTTTCTTGCAGTTTCTGAACTGTGGTGGAAAACAAACCGTGAACATGGACGCCGTGCGGCTGATGAAGGAGCTGAGGGTGAATTATGAGCAGGAGGTGAATTTCCTGCCCAAAGAGACGGGACTGAACCTCATCGTTTCTGCCCAGCAGGTGAGAAACGCGTCCGTCCGCTAAAGTCCAGAAAAACTCTGCTGTGAGTCTCTAAACTGTCTTTGCTCCCCAGAGCGGTGAACAGATCACAGCCAGGAGCCGGGACGTGACTGTGGAGGATCTGTGGAGCCTGACCAGCTTCTTCGGCTACAGCACCCAGAGCTTCGTCCAGGCCGTCAGCCTGCTGGACAGATTCCTGGCCATGATGAGGGTACGACCAAAAACTTACTGGGAAAATCTATAAACTGCAGATACAAGCATTAGCATTAGCATGCTCACTCCTCTGGTCGCGTTTTTTATATTAGCCACTTGAATTTCAGAGTGGCGGCCATTTTGTGACCCTGTTTGGCTAATTATTGTCATGAAATCTTAATTTCCAAGACTTGGATGAACAATAGAGGTTTGACGTTGGTCATCCTGTTCATAAAACTTGAAAATAATAATATGTAGCAAAACTTTGCAGTTTATGAGTCTCTAAGTAACTAAAAACTGGAAGGAGATGAAGACCTGCGACAATTGTCTTACTGGTTAGCTTTAGCTTCCGATAGTTTTTTAATGCGTTTAGCAATTTAATGTTAGCTTCTGATAATTGTTTTATGGTTTAGTGTTAGCTTTCAGTTCGTTTTTATATTGTGTTTAGCGTTAGCTTCCTCTGATTCTTTTATGCTTATGATTAGCATAGCAAAGATTCTTGCTAAGTGAATTAGCTACCTGTGAACGTTTTGGCTAGCTGTGCCCATCACTCACAATAACCTGCTGATTTTGGTTCAAACACATTTTTTACTACAACCACGGCGGCCATTTTGAAAACTGTCCATTAGAAAAAGGAAGCGCAAGATAATAATCATCTGTGATACATTTCTCAAATTAAGAACATGTATTTTCCTTGGCAACCACGGCAGCCATCTTGAATTAGTAATGGTGTTTCCCCTGGTGAAACAATTTTTCTGGAATGTTGCTCAGGTCCAGCCCAAACACCTGTCCTGCGTCAGCCTCAGCTGCCTCCACCTGGCGGCCAGAGTGACGGAGGAGGAGTGCGACCTGACGCCGGCCGACGAGCTCATCCGCATCGGCCAGTGCCGCTTCACCGTGTCCGACCTCGGCCGCATGGAGAAGATCGTCGCCGAGAAGCTGGGCTTCAAATCCAAAGCCGTGACCGCCTTAACCTTCCTGCAGCTGTACCACCAGATCACGCTCACGCACGCCACCTACAGGTGAGGCGCAGACCGCAAACACAAGCGTTTCAGTCAGCAGCTATCCTGACGATTAATCAAATGGGAAAACGGTCACATCCTGCACATTTTTCATTTAGTCACTTCAGCCTTCGTCTGCAATATTAGAAATACGTTAAAAGGTCAAATGATTAAATCAGAATTAGGATCCAATCAGCTTCAGCCTCCATAAAGGCTCTTTGCTGTGCCGGTTCGGGTCAGAGCTGCTCCCTGTTTGCTGCAGAGGGTAAAGTAGGGCAGCCGGCGCTGATAAGGCCGTCTGCAGCCGCTTACGCAACGCGCCTGCTTCCAGACTGCAGAGGTTGAACACAAAGTTCAGAGCAGCTGGATTACACTGCTGACAGATTACCTGTCAACAAGCTGACAGGTAATCTGTCAGCTTGTTGACAGATTACCTGAGAAGAAACATAAAAATGTCCAGATTTCTTCTGGAGTCGGTTTATTACAGGAATTTCACCTCCAAAAGTCGGGTCTGTTCAGAAGTTATCATGATGAAATGATAATACTGTGAGGGAAGAACATATTCAGGAAGATCAAACTTTAAATTCTGCTGAACATTTTAACCTGAACTGGGCTGTTAAATGTTGACGGTTTATTAGAACAACACATGTTAAAAGAAGGAGAATTAGTGATTCAAGTTTTTGGGAAATTCATCCTGCAGCGTTGTGCTGATCTGGCTGAACTTTTCTGCGTCTTTAGATGCAGAATCTTGTTTTTAGCAGCAGAAAAGCGTCGTGACTCGGTTTGGTTGTTTCTGTGTGAATAGGAAGGAGACGCTGAGCCTGGAGAAGCTGGAAGCTCAGCTGAAAGCCTGTCTGTGCCAGATCGCCTTCTCCGGAGCAAAGGTAAGACGAGCCGTCGGTTCCGCCGAGCCCCTCCGGGTCTGAGCGCACAGAGGTTCTGATCCGGCCCGTCTGTCCCTGCAGCCGTCCGTCCTGGCCCTGGCTCTCCTCAGGCAGGAGATGAAGAGCATCCAGTCGGAGGACATGCTGGAGATCGCCTTCCACATCCAGAGACACCTGAAGGTACGTCCAGAACCGGGCCCACCGGGTCCAGAACCGGGCCCACCGGGACGTTTCCATGGATCAGGGACTTATTGATGGTCTTATATTTGACGTTTAAATTGGGGGATTTATTTTTTGTTAAATGTGTTCAGTCAGCAAACATTACAAAACGTAATGTGATCGTGTTCTACAGCAGGAAACTAAAACATAAGGACAGTAATAATATCATAAATGACGTTTATGTGACGTTGAAGTGGAAACGTCTGCAGCAGATGAAGACGCAGCTGCAGAGTTCAGTTTCCAGGAACAGAGAGAAACTTTCTGTCTCTGAAATTCCCAGAATCCCGTCCTGCAGCAGCAGCAGGTCGGCCTGCAGCAGCAGCAGGTCGGCCTGCAGCAGCAGCAGGTCGTCCTGCAGCAGCAGCAGGTCGTCCTGCAGCAGCAGCAGGTCGGCCTGCAGCAGCAGCAGCGTCGTCCTGCAGCAGCAGCGGTCGTCCTGCAGCAGCAGCGGTCGGCCTGCAGCAGCAGCGGTCGGCCTGCAGCAGCAGCGGGTCGGCCTGCAGCAGCAGCGGGTCGGCCTGCAGCAGCAGCGGGTCGGCCTGCAGCAGCAGCGGTCGGCCTGCAGCAGCAGCGGGTCGGCCTGCAGCAGCAGCGGTCGGCCTGCAGGCTCTGAGCTGCAGCTCGGGTTTTAACCCGCCGACCCGAGCAAAACGGCCCGTTTCTGTTTACGGCTCTTCAGGAAAGCCTGGGCTTTGACCCGCCGTTTGACCCGCTGTCTCGGTTTCAGATTCCCGACGCGGAGCTGCAGCTGTGGAGCGAGGCCGTGGCCCGCTGCCTGTCGGACTACGCCTCGCCCAAATGCAGCAAGCCCAACCACCGGAAGCTGCAGTGGATCGTGTCCCGGCGGACCGCGCAGAACCTGCACAGCCACCGCAGCGTGCCGGAGCTGCCCACCATCCCCGAGGGCCGCTGGGACGAGAGCGAGAGGTGAGAGAAACCAGGCTTTGACTGGGCCACTGTCCGCGCGCTGGGCTCAGCCCGGATGGCTATGCGTGAGACGCTAACGAATGCTAACTGCTATTAGCCGCTATGGAGGGAGACGGCTTGGTCCGAAACCCGCAAAACGGAGTCAGTGTCACAGGAACAGCTTCGTCCTCGATGCTGAAACGCATCAACAGGAAATATTGAATTAAGAGACAAAACAAAAGACTGTAAACGTCGAGTCAGAACCGAATAAAGCCCGGTTAATCAGCCCAAACTAAACTACATTTCATTTCTGTTCTCTCTGCTGGTTTTCAGTGGAATTTCCTCCATTTTTAACTTTTGTTTTAATATCTTCCCAATCCGTTCTGTTGCTTGTTGTTCAAGAAGAGCAATACATAAAAACATAAATCAAAAATACCTGATTCACGAAAAAATAAAATCTTCAAACTTCAGTTCAAGGGAATTTAAAGTTCAAAGTTCACTCATGACCTCAATAAAATGAGTTTTTAATTTTTAAATTTAATCTGTTTCTGCACTTTTAAAATAAATGTATTTTAAGCAGTAATTATATTCTGGTTAAAAAGAAACTGATTTAATCGATTAATCGTCAGAATAATTGATAGATTACTCGATTACTAAAACAATAATCTGCAAGCAGACCTGAAACAAACACGCCCTGAAACTGGAATCAAAATAAAAGCTGTGAGTGAAACGTTCCAGCGACGCGTTGCAACAGCTAAACACGCCTCACAAACTTCTCAGGTATTTCACCTGGAAGGGAGGCGGCCACGCCCCTGCATCGTCTCCTAGGCAACGCCGTATTTACCATCAGCATTATTGAGTAAAAGTCGAATCGCGTCACATTTACAGGAATAATCGTCTCTGAGGCAACAAAATGTGCATCAACGCTCGGCTTTCCGATGTGTCACAACGCGGCGCCGTATCTGGTCACGTCCTCAGTGACGGTTTCATTACATCACAATCAGCAGAGGGGGGGGGGGGGAGGGGGCGGCAGGGGCGGCGGCAGGGGGGCGGAGGCGCGTCACGGTTTATGTAACTCTGAGTCAAGAGGAAGAAACCCAAAGGAGCTCAGTGTGTTGATGTTTAACCAAGAGCAGCAGCTGATCCGTCGCCTCCCCTGCAGAACCGGTTCCAGCTCAGTTTTTGTTTCTAAATCAAAAACATGTCGGTCCACATTCTGCCCACAGAAAACCTGGAAATCTGAGTTTTCTTTGAAGCAAAGGAAGAATGAAACATGACGTCTCTGGATTATTGGCAGAGAAACTCAATATTTAGTTTGAAATATAATTTCAGGTGAAAAACGAAGCAACTTAAGGTTCTGTGTTGATCTCATGTCACCACATCCTGGCTACGGTTTCCATTAATCGTGATTAATCGTTTCAAATCAAATGTTGAGAGACGTAAGGTTGTGGTTGCATCTGGAGACGTTGACGTTTTTCCCGTCTTCTCGTCCACAGTGAGGACTCTGGTGAAGACGTGATGAGCTCAGGAGACGAGTCTCTCTGCAGCTCTCTGGGCAGCGACGCCGAAGGCCCCTTCTTCCCGCTGCACCTCCACCGCCAGTTCCTCGCCGCCTGAAGGCCCCGCCCCTTCCCCTGGCCGTCTCTCCGTCCCCTTCACGTCCTGCCGTCTTCGTTTAACGCTCTGCCGCCGGCGGAGCGGCGCACAAGCTGCTAGCTTTAGCCTGTAGCGGCGTCACATTCCAGGATGCGACGGCGTCCTGGTCAAGCCTCGGTGCTGAGTCAGCAGACCAGGCTGCAACAAAGACTATTTGCCAAAACGTTTGTCCCACAGAATGTCTGTTTTCCTTTTGACTGTTATTAACATGTGACTGTTTTTCTGGAGCGCAGAAGGTCGAAGCAGCAGACGGAGTCGTTTTGTTTGTGTTTAATCCCAAATATCAGCTGAAAACAGTGAATCCACAGAAAGCTGCTGCTTTTTCTTTCTGTTTCCAACTTTAATTTGCACAGTTTTTGTTTGTAACGTGTTAGAAGGAGGACGTGTGTTTAGCGAACATGTGGACGTGTGTTTAGCGAACATGTGGACGTGTGTTTAGCGAACATGTGGACGTGTGTTTAGCGAACATGTGGACGTGTGTTTAGCGAACATGTGGACGTGTGTTTAGCGAACATGTGGACGTGTGTTTAGCGAACATGTGGACGTGTGTTTAGCGAACATGTGGACGTGTGAACCTGCTATGATGTAGCTTAGCTCAGTTTGAAGGTGAGGATGTTGTTTCAGTCTAAATAATGCAGAATGTGTCAAAAAAAGTGAAAAATGTTTATAGAAAAACCTGTAAAACTGTAAATGGTGTACAAAAAAAATCTGTTAATAGTTCTGTAGATAGTAAGTTATTTATTCTTTTTGTCACATGTCCTGAAAAAGAAAAACCTTATTAAAAAAAAGGCTATTTTTAATCCACTGCCTGCTGTTTTCATTTTTACAGCCTCAAATCTCTAAAGATCCAGTTAAATTTTCTTAATTCTTCAAATTTGAAATCTGGAGGGTAAAAAAAAATCTGATCTTATTGCAGTTTGGAAAAAAAACAATTATTTTCTTATTTAAACGGAGCTGAATTATTTAATTTGCATCTTTTAATGTGTACCAAAAAAAAGCTTAAAGGTTAAATCAAAACAATCTTGAATGTTTTTTTAAACTCAATGAGAATAATTAATTTAATATTTGATTAATCAATCACTGGCATTTCCTCAGGATCAGTTTGATGATCTGAGTTTTTATCAATAACTTGAGAGAGTAATGTAATTTGTTGTGGAAACTTTATGATAATTTTTAAGATTTAATATAATTTTAGCTCTTTTTCTGGCAACTATTCATTTTCTTGATAAAATTACATTTTCATCTCCTTTTGACGACGAGATCTTTTTCCAATTTTTCAGCAGCAGCTGATAATTTTGTTGAATTTTACTGTTTAATATCAAAATATTACAATCTGTTGAGTAAAATCAGATTTTAATTCCGTTTGGATGAGAATATTGATTTACTTGGAATTATTGAAATTATTTCAGTAATCAATTATTCTGACGATTAATCAATTAATCGTACAAAAGTTGCTATTTAAATGTTTTCTATTTTTAATCAACGAAACGATCGACTCAGCAGTTTTCCATCTTCAGCCTCATGGAAGATTTAAAATCCGTTTCTGTTCAGAAAGTTTGATTTTCAGGATCTGGAGAGACAAATTCGGAGTCTGGTTCTTCACGCTCAGTTTTATTTTATTTTGTAAATGACGGTGGATAAAACCAGCCGGGTTATAAACGTCTTTCACTTCCTGCTTCTCTGTGCAAATATTTGTTTTTCAAACGACGTTTAAATCCTCGTTTAGTTTTTAGCACCAAACATCCACAGAGTCCTACCAGACGCTGCGTCTTCGGTTCCGTCCTCCGCCGGGTCACTTCCTGCTTCCTGTTCCACCAACACAGTCACAACGATCCAATCCTGGGATCAGAATCCCATCCGGGATTTCTTCTTCTTGGGCTGGGACGCCTGCGGCGCCCCCCGCTGGCTCTGTGACGCCTTGGAGGGCGTCAGAGAGGAGAAGCTGGGCCACTGAGAGGAGGAGGAGGGGGCGGGATGAAGAGGAGGATCATCCTGAGGAGACAAGAGACAGGAAGTGATGTCACAGTGTGGTCCAATCAGCCATTCTCCTGGTTGGGTTAATCTGCCCCCTGCTGACAAAAACGCGACCCTGCAGGCTTTCCGGTCATTACAGGAAAACGTCTGCTGTGCAGCGCGCTACGCTAACGAGCTCAGATGTAAAATCAATCAATCAATCAATCAATCAATCAATAAAATAGACTGCTAGCCAATAGTTAACACAAAAAAATCCACTCTGGTGGATGAATAGATTACTTTTATTACATTTACATTACATTTATTATACTATTGATTAGTTGGATGATTAATTGATTAAAATAAATGATCATATTCTGCATTTCTTTCAGACAATATTAGAAAAACATTAAAGATGCAAAAAAACAAATTAAATTCATTTTTAAATAAAAATAATACAAATTTATCCCCCAGAATGTGAAGCAATGCTTCAGTGAACACGATTAGTCGATTAATTGATCATTTATTGTAGTTTTAGCTTCATTCCTGTTTTAAGCTTGTCGTTTTTCCATCTTTTTATGAGTCTGAATACTGGAGACAACTATTAATTAATTATTAAATTAGTTGAAGATTGTTTGAATAATTGATTAATCACGATTAATCATTTCTAGATTGAGGTATGAAGATGCTTATAAAAGCAGTTTATGTGTTTATTGATTAGTTATTGGTGATGATTGGATGAGAAGCCGATCATATACATGGACAAACTGATGTTTTTGTCTAACATGAATAAATTAACGCCTCATCAATCCCACCTGTGTTTCCCACAGAGAGCTCAGTGATTGGTCGGCCAGATTCCTGCTCCTCTGATTGGCTGGTTGTGGCTCTGGAGTTCTGCTGGGCGGATCAGATGGTCCGGCGGCGCCGGCGAGTCGTCCCAGTCCTCCAGGAAGGCGGCCAGCTGGCCCAGAGGCCTGCTGCGCTGGCTGTCGGTCAGCGGGCCGCTGGCCCCCGAGGACCAGCCGGAGAGGTCGTCCAGCTCTGTCTGGTAGCTGACGGAGGAGGTGAAGCTGCCGCTGAGCTGCAGGTGGCGCCCCGCGGCGCGCTGCGCCTCCTTCTCCCTCCTCCTCTTCCTCCTCAGCGCCTCCTTCCTCCAGGCCCGGTTCTCCCCCCGCTCCTCCTGCCACCACTCCCGCCACGCCTCCTGGCCGCCGCGCCACGCCGTCGTCAGGCGGTGGCTCAGCAGGTCGTGCCACGCCTTGGCGTTCACCAGCGGCGGCACCGGAACCGGGTCCAGGTCGCTGTTCAGCAGCAGCGACCGCGTCCGCATGCAGCGCTGCAGGTCCTGCTGCAGCGCCATCTGCATGCGGCTGGCGGCGGCGCCGGGCTCCAGAACGCTCAGTAGTCCTACGGTTTGGACCGCGAGGTGCGGCGGAGCGCCGGGTTTCCTCTCCTGTCTCCTCAGCTTCTGCAGCCAGCGCCTCCAGGCGAGACGCGTGGCGCCGCTCAGCACCGAGCGAGCCGACCGATCCGCTTCGTTATCAACAGCGACGAACGCCGGGATCTGATCCGGAGGCCTGGCAGGAAAACAAACATCAAAGATCAATACAGATCATTCACAGATCAATAAACTTTAAATCGTACCAGTGAACTTTAAATATCCAAAATAAGGAAAACAACAGAAACAAAAACTAAAATGAATCATAAAGTTTCTGAAAACCTTCAGAATAAGAATTTAGTTGAGACCAAAACAACAAACTGAAAGAGTTTGAAAGACAAAATTGATAAATCATGCAAAGGAAATTATTGAGTTTGTTTTAAGTTTTCATTTATCAGGCGTACCGATCCGAACTCCGGTTCCCGTCCGGCGTTTCTGGGACAAACATGCAAGTGTTGGGAGCCTGCGTCGGCATGACGATGTCCTCATCGCTGGACATTTCAGCGACCAGCAGCGGGGATCCAACTCCGGTCTCAGACGCTCCGGTCTCAGCCGCTCCGGTCTCCGACGCTCCGGTCTCCGGCGCTCCGGTCTCCGGCGCTCCGGTCTCAGACGCTCCGGTCTCAGACGCTCCGGTCTCCGGCGCTCCGGTCTCCGGCGCTCCGGTCTCTGGCGCTCCGGTTTCAGACGCTCTGGTCTCCGACGCTCCGGTCTCAGGCGCTCCGGTCTCAGACGCTCCGGTCTCCGGCGCTCCGGTCTCCGGCGCTCCGGTCTCTAGCGCTCCGGTTCAGACGCTCCGGTCTCCGACGCTCCGGTCTCAGGCGCTCCGGTCTCTGGCGCTCCGGTCTCCGGCGCTCCGGTCTCTGGCGCTCCAGGTTTTCCGTCGTCCCGCTCCAGGATCTGGTAGAAGACGTCCCCCGCCGCCGTCAGCTGGAGGACGACCATGGTCGCCGTGGAGACGGACGTCTTCTGGAAACACGTCAGGCCTGGAATCACGATGGAAATGTGTTGAAGGAGGGAGACTCGGCGCTGGCGCCCTCTGCTGGGGGCGGAGCTGACCTGCAGCCGGTGAAGCCAGTCTGTGCGCGGCGTTCTGCTGACTGTGGGGGATCTGGACCGGGAGCAGAGCCAGACTGTCTCTGGGTCGGAGCAGAACCTGAGGAGAACCGTGGCTGCAGCAGGCCTCTGCAGCGCCTCCTGGAGGAGGAGGAGAAGAAACATCGTGGATAAAAACAGTAACATCGCTCCACACATCTGATATCTGGGACGATTTCAGCACAAAATAAAATCTGTTTTCTGCAGGATCAGATTCAGAAGTAATCCAAAAAGAGACAACAAAATAACAAAATAGGTTGTTTAGTTTTAATTTATTTAAACTAAACAACCAGAATGAAGAAAAGAGATTTTAAAATTAAATGTAAAATTCAGGGAATTGTAAACAAGCCTGGTGTCCAATCAGATTCGCCAGAAAACAAAAAGTTTCCAAAACCAATAAATGCAGCAGGACCTGCTGCTGCCCCCTGCTGACTCACCAGAGTACTGCAGCAGAGTGATCTCCTGGGAGGACTGCGACCCAAGCAGAACCTTGGTGGTTCCGGAGCCCGGAGCCACGTGGCAGAAAAGGGGCGGAGCCTCCATCATGTGGTCCCACTTCAGCATGGGGACGCAGGGGAAGCGCTCGTCCATGATGTAGGCCGAGTGCTGCGCAGAGACGGACAGGAAGTTCAGGTCCATCTGGAGCGCTGGGACAAAACGGGCAGAACCAAGAGACTCACCTGCGTAGTGAGGAGGTGGTGAAAGGGGTGAACGTCTCCCAGGAATCTGACCAGCAGGAGGCGCTCTCCGCTGTGGCAGTCTGAGGTGCTGCTGATCCGGAACAGAGTGTAACCCGGGTTCGAGTCCAGCTGGAGGACAGAGAGCAGCGATCCAGAACCGGCTCGATAATCACAGTATCATAACTGCTGTGTTTCAGCTCAATTAGAAACACAATTAAAATAGTTGTTAAGTTTGTTCATAAGTCGTTAAAAACCAGGCAGCCACTTCCTGTCGTCTTCTTTGTTGTTTCCGCCAGTAGCAACGTCTGGCATTTTTCCATTGGAGGGTCAATGAAATAATTTCAATGCAGCTGAAACATTTCATCCTAAATCAAAACAAGTTTTCAAAACTCACTTCAGTTTCAGTTAAGAAAAGTGATTTTCATAAATCCAGTTTATGCAATTTTACCAACAGTGAAAACAGCAAAACGTCAAAATGTTTAAATATGGCTGAATGTTTCTCATTTCTGCCTTTTCCTCTTCGTTGGGTTTTTTCCACACATGCAGTCTCCATGGCGACAGCATAGCAGCAAAATGGAGGCCGACAGACAAATGATTGGATTTAAATTGTGAATTCAGCGTTAATATCGTCCCACCTTCGCCCTGAAGTCTGTGAGCTCCGCCCCCGTCCGGTCGGCGTACACCATCACTCGTGGGTGGGCGGAGAATTCGCACCAGCGCCATGACGACTTGGCGTTGAAGTACAAGTTGCTCTCCTCCGTCCGGATCGTCTGCATCCTGAGGAGGGACAGGAGGAGACGCTGTGACTCCTGCAGGCGCTTGGACCCGACCTGCAGGTCGGCTTGTTCCTCACCCTCGGCCGACCGTCCACAGGGTCGCCGCTCCGCTCTCGCTCGCCACCAGAACTTCACCCAGAATGTGCGGACTGAGGAAACAGGAGATCAGCATGTAGAATATTCTACTGACTCTGGTTCTGCGGCGCCGGCCCTACCTGACGCTGACGCAGCTGGCAGCGGCTCTGGTGCCGACCGCCTGCAGCAGGCGCGGCTCCTTCTGCTCCCCCGTCCCCCAGACGCCGCAGACGTGGTCGGAGCGCACGGCGACGCAGCCTGCGGGGCGACAGGAAATGTTCAGCCGAACCGCCGGGCGCGTCGCCAAGCCTGCCGGAAAACGCCGTACTGTCGCCGAAGCGCGAGCCGCAGCTGATCTGTCGGACCGGCGCCGTCAGCTGGAAGCTGACCGGCTTCCGCCCGGCGGCGTCCACGCAGGCGGCGCCGTCGCGTTCCAGCACCACCCTGTGGAAGTCTGAGGTACTGCGTTAAGAACAACGCCGGTTCCAGTTTGTTTCCCTCCTGTTCGGATTTTACGCAACTGGAAATTTTTTTTTTTTTATTTTCCTTTTGGACCCCTGTGATGCGTCACCATGGCAACTTTCTAACCATCTCAAAAGCTCAAATAAGACCTGAACTTTGACCCCAAGGAGCAGAGCAGGATACTGAGGCGGTCCATTCCCGGGCCCCCGGGGTACAGCAGGCAGCCCTCGCTCTGTGAGAACGGGACGAAGGCCAGAGCGCCCCCGGTGGCCGCCTCGGAGAACTGCATGCGCTCCCTCTGCTCGGTCAGCTCCTCGTACAGCAGCGAGCCCAGCAGCTCCGGCGGGACGTCGTGGACCACGTCCCAGCAGGCCGGCGTACCGCTCCAGTCTCCTGGACCGGTACGCCATGGGACAGCTGGAGGCAAAACAAATCATGACCAAAACATCAATAAATATGCATCAACATCAGACAATTATATTTCTAATATACTTATTATGAAATTTTAAACTATTTTTTAACAAAAATATCAGCAAACATTGGATGAAGTGGCTATTTTGATATCGGCCTTCATGTTTAGATCGGTTCATTCCAAAACATTTGGTTTTCACCGCGTCGTCTAACAAATCAAATCTTCTGCTCTCTAGCAGAACCAGGTTTTCTCTGCAGTTTGTTTTGAGTCCATCAGGTTGGTTTTCTGCTCACATGTTGAACTTCAGCTGGTTGGTGAAACGCTTCATCCTCCACATGTTGATCGAATCTTTCCAATATTTCTGCAAAACAGCAGCAGATTAACCGCTTTAATCTGAAGCTTGAATCTGAAGCTTGAATCTGAAGCTTTAATCTGAAGCTTGAATCTGAAGCTTTAATCTGAAGCTTGAATCTGAAGCTTTAATCTGAAGCTTTAATCTGAAGCTTGAATCTGAAGCTTTAATCTGAAGCTTTAATCTGAAGCTTTAATCTGAAGCTTCAATCTGAAGCTTTAATCTGAAGCTTTAATCTGAAGCTTTAATCTGAAGCTTGAATCTGAAGCTTTAATCTGAAGCTTTAATCTGAAGCTTTAATCTGAAGCTTCAATCTGAAGCTTCAACCTGAAGCTTCAGATTGAAGCTTTAATCTGAGGCGTCGGCCGCAGGTTGGGCTGAGACTCACCTTCTTCTCCCTGGCTTTCTGGAAGTGGAAGTTTTCGCCCAGGATCTCGCTCATGCAGCCGAAGGCGTCCGGGCCGTGATCCATGAAGAAGTTGTGCATCTGGACGAAGGAGCAGGAAGCCGTTTCTTTACACTCTGAGCCTTTTTTTAATTTATTTCAGAGGAATTGGGTCAAAAACTTTCCACTTAAACAATTTGGATCTTTTTCTGGTCATTGAAAGCATCAATTCTACTGTCACAGTCAAATAATTTCATTTTATGAATTAATCAAATTTTGCTTTTTGAAAACTTCCTTCAACTTCAGACTTAAGTCGGCCATCTTGTTTATCTTGTATTTGTTTGACCTTTGAACTCAGGTGGTCAACTGTATGACAAAGTATTAGCACTGAGCTAAGAATATCTTTGCATTAATTATTGCAATAAAGTCTAAATGATACAAGAGTAAATTTGTGGTATCAGGAATTTTATAAAAACTCCAACATGAAAAATGAACAAAAAAATTAAATGAGGAATGTTGGAAATCTTTAAAATAAGTTTAAAAAATAAGCAAATATTTTTTATGTTTCTCATTAAAAATAGTTTATTTTTGCATTTTTTAGACATTGTTCTGGTGATTAGTGTCTTTCCTTTTATGATGATATTTTCATAATTAAACAATTAAAAACATTTTGTGGTCGATACTCTGTTGTACAACATGCAGAAGGAATTATGATAAACAGTTTATAAAAATATTTTCTGTCATCTTTTGTTATATTTTGTTATATTTTACTATAACTGCTCAGTGTTAGTTTAGATAATCATCAGCTGAAATTGGCTGTTAATATCTGATCGGTTTATTAAAATGTTCCTCACGTGTTTTAAGAAGTCCAGCGGCTCAGGAGGCGTCACCAGATCCTGGAACGCTGCAGGAAAAACACAAAGCATCAAACAGCTACTTATTACGGCTCTACGCCGCTATTAGAGATCATAAATGCTTCACGCAGAGACGATGGGAAATAAAATAACAGAGCGCTGACTCTGGATGTTTTCTGGATCAGAACCGGCTCACCGTTCCTGGGTGATAGCAGGGGAACCGGAACCGGCTCCGTCTGGCGCCAGACCTCCCCTCCGACCCGCCGCTTGGACGTGAACGCCCAGCTGGACAGAGAGCCGCTGCCGCCCTGGAACCAGAGCCGCATCAGCTCATCATCACCAAACTGAGGCCAAAGACTCTCAGTAATCATCACTAATTGATTATTGACCATCAGCTAATTTAGTAATAGATCAATCATTGACTGGATTATAGACTCAAAGATCATTTGTTTAAAACAAATGTATATATATATATATATATATATATATATATATATATATATATATATATATAGCATGTATTCTGCATGACAGATTAAACATCTCTCTGTGAAGATGTTTATCCAGTTCAGATTCTCTGAATAATTTCTAGTAAACAAATAATAAAGTGTTTATTTTCATATTTAAAGAAAGAAATAGATTATTTGTCCGTTTGTAAAGCATTTATAAATTGTATAAAACAGATAAAGATGTTACATTAAAAACCTGTTGAATGTTTCACTTTATAATCCATTACTAAAATAAATGATTGTGTGATTTTGTAACAACTATTGATTTTATCAAAGCCAAAGTTTTAAATTCCCTGCCTGTCGGTGAACGCAGCATGGCGTATTGAACGTCATCAGCCGAACCTGGACAGGGGAGCCCAGAACCCACCTGCGGCAAGGCTCCGTGGTAGCAGCCCCATCCTCCGGCATCGTGTCTCTGGACCCGGTTCGGCGGCTCGCAGCTGAAAAACGAGGGGAAAAGCTGCTGCGGAAACTGATAATCCATCGTCCTGAACGATCCCGGTCCGTGAGCCCGACAGTCGGAACAAGTCCAGACATGTGGAGGTGACCCGGCAGCAGCTGGTTCCGATGGGGCTTCGGTTTACCCGCCGCAAACAGCCGGACCCGCATGTACCAGCTGGACCCTGCAGCTCAGACTGTGGACCGGACGGTACGCAGGAGAAAAGACTCACAAATTAAACCCAATAATCAGAAACTTCCACTGCGAGCCGCTCAACACGTGTTGCTGCTCCGGCTGGCTGGGCGGAAGTCAGGAGATGAAACAACAGCAACCACTTCCGGTTTCCTGCAGGAAGTAGAACAACAACAAAAGTCCCATTTATGAAAAACAAAATAAAACAAATAAATCAGTTATCAGATGCAATGGCATGAATTAATATTTGACGAAAGCAAGTAGAGCTGCATAATACGGAAGAATATACAATAATAATAATAAATACTTAATATATAATTAACCCGCCTTATATGTAAATTCCTCAGGAGTTGATTATCTTTTTGCTGGTAGGTCTTGAATTGAAGCTGTATTTCCCACATGGCTGTGATTGATTAGTTCATTCCTGATCTGCTCCTTATTTTGGTAGCAGATCAGGAAACGAAAGAATTGCGCAGCACCTTGTTGAATCAATAATTACTGAGATTATTGTGTTTGTTTGGTCATGAACTTGAACATGTTTTGTAGGTTTGTTGTTGCTGTTCTTTAATAAAGTTAGGAACCTGTTGACAGTGAGTCAGAGGACCTGCAGGCCTCAGTTTGTCATTTCATGATCGACTCAAAACCTTCGCTGCTCTAACAAAACACCAACAGTCCAGAAACAATGTGAAATGGGAAAAAGCTCTTTATTAACTGATTAAGACGTGTTTCACATTGTTCTTGATAAATTAATCATTCACGGCTGATTAGTGGACCCATTGATTTTTCCATTAAAGCCCTCGTCTCCAGCAGGTTCTGCCTGCCCAGTTAAATCTTTCAGAGGTTCTCAGGACCCAACCAAACTCCCCTTCTTTCAGCCCTGCTTGTATCCAATATGTTCCTCCAAAAGGTTCTGGTTCTTACAACTCTGTCACTGAAGCTGGTTGATCCCAATTCAGACATAATTTTGAGATTTTGCACTTTAATTGTGACTCGGCATTTCAAAATCACGACTTAAGTTTCTTTCGGTATAATTTCTATATGCTATTTCAGAATTTGGTTTTAGTGTGCGACAATTACGTCTTTTAATTAGAGCAGGTTTATTTTTCACACAGTACAAAGTTAGAGTAAATTCTTAATGGTTCTCCTTTTATGCAAAATTCATTTTTGTTTTTCCATTTGAGTCTCTACTAATTTTTTAGTGTATTTTTTCCTTAAGTGTGAATCTCTATGATTGGTTGATTGATGATTAGTTGCTCATATTTTGGTAAATTGACTTTCTGTCTGATACAATGGGTACATTTTATTTTATTTTATTTTGGTGAGTGACCGGATGTAGCTGATCAGCTGACCCGTCCGGTCTGTTTGTCGGTCGGACCAGCTAGCAGAAGCGGCGCAGAATAACAGCGTCTGTTTGGTCTGAATTGGCTGTAGGAGGAACCGTTTTCGTGAGGCCGTCGGCCTGTCGGACCTGCCCCAGTAGGACGTCAGCGTCTGGTGCGTCTCTGCCGTTTTGTATCGGAATGTTTTGCTAGGCGCTAGCAGTTAGCCGCTAGCTGGTAGCGTCGCTAAAGCGGAAGTGAGAGCGCTAACTCTGTCCTCTAACGTCCGATGATTAGGGACAGTTAGCTGCTGGGTTAATTATCTGTTACTTGTGATGTATATCTTGTATATGTGTCTGTTGTTTAATTTCAGGCTGTAAAATGTTTGGGTTTAAATTGAGGCGTTAGCTTGTTGGTCTATATTTGGCTGTAAACAACCAGCTGTGCATTCAGCTGATGCTGATTCTGTCCTGCTGTTCCTTCATGGCTGCAGAAATGAAATCCTCTTAACTTCATACTAAAGCAGTGAAGCACCACATTTATATTGATCACTGTTTTTAAGAGTTTTATTTCTGCATAATTTCATGTTTTGGACACATTTTAAGTGAGTCTGATGCTGCAAAGCTGCGAGATTTCAATACAATTCACTTCGAAATACTTTATTTATCCTAAAATGAATGAAATGTCTTAACTCATGAAATCACCACCAATCTGATCAACCGCTTTTGCTTTTGCTCCTCCTCTTTAAGTCTATCTGGTCTTTAAAGGGATGTTGGAGTAGGGGAGTCTCCTCCTGTTCACCTCCTCTGGGATTTGGGGTCAGAGTTCAGGTTTTATTTGAGCTTCTCAGAAGCTAATCTGCTACGTCCAGGTAGTTTTTGCATAGTTTACATGTCAAGAAGAAAAAAAGATTAAGAGCATCCAGAACTAGAGGTAATAATTGTTCAACCTAAATGTGGAGACAAAGCGGTTCTGTCTGTTCGGGTCGGTCTGGTTCTGTAGCAGCAGGTTTGTGATAAAATGGCTTCTTCTCATGTTTGTTTGTCAGCATCATGTCGGGGAACAACCTGGTGCTGCCCATCGTGCTGTGGGGCCGCACGGCGCCCACCCACTGCATCAGCAGCTTACTGGTGATGGACGACTTCAGCACCATCATCACCGGCTGCCATGACGGTCAGATCTGCCTGTGGGACATGACGCCCGAGCTGCAGGTGGGGAGGGCGCACTGCTTCCTGCTTCCTGTTCACTGCTTCCTGCTTCCTGTTGCTTGGACTTTATTCTGTTTTAATAACCATTTATTTTAATTTTTCAGATCTTTCTTTAAACATATTTTCTTAGTTGAAACCTTTTGTTACTTGTTTTTTCTCTCTTTTTGTGCTTTAATATTACAATCTTTTCCTTTTTTTGTTTATTTTTTATTGGTTTTTTAGCCTTTTAGTGTTTGATTATTATTTTTACTTTTTTTGTACTTTAACACAAAATATTTTTCTTTTTTGATAAAATTTTTATTATTTCTTGCCATTTTTCTTAATTTCTTGTTGCCCTTTTTCTCTTTGGTTATTCATTATTCGTCCTTTAATATTAAAATCTTCCCTTTTTGAAAAAAATTGATAATATTTTTTGCTATTGTGCCTTTTCTGTTTTTTTTTTTAATTATTTTTAAAATTTTTATTTCAGTCACAAAACACAAGTGATCCATCATCAGCCAATTATTTTAATATTTAAAAATGTAAAAGCAGAAGCATATTTTCTGTCCTCTCCTCTGATTGGTCGGTTTCTGCCTCCAGATCTGTCCCAGAGCGATGCTGTTCGGCCACACGGCCTCCGTCACCTGCCTGTCCAAAGCCAGCGCCAGCAGCGACAAGCAGTACATCGTCAGCGCCTCGGAGAGCGGTCGGTTCCACCGCATGCACTCTGACTGTCCTGAAGCCCAGCTGGACCTCATGTTTCTGATGTTTCTGTTTCCAGGGAGATGTGTCTGTGGGACGTAAACGACGGGCGCTGTATCGAGTTCACCAAGCTGGCCTGCGCTCACACCGGGATTCAGGTGAGACACAGACTCACCTGGTGGGATCAGGTGCAGACAGGAAGTTCACTCATGAGCTAAACGTCAGGTTCTTCCTCAGAGTTTAACATAACATTTATTAAGAAGAAATATGTTTTATTTTTCCAGAAATAGATACAATTCAGTCATTTCTGTAGGAGAATATTTTTAATTTTCATGTTAGGTTTTGTAGTTTTGTTTAACTTTTGTTCTCTTTCCTTCTTTTTGTCTGTTTTTCTGTCTTCTTTCCTTTTTTCTCTTTCTTTATCTTCCTGTTTCTGTCTCTCTCTCTCTCCCTCAGTTCTACCAGTTCACCATCGGTACGCTGAAGGAGGGCCGCCTGCTGTGTAACGGCCATTACCCAGAGATCCTTGTGGTTGACGCCACCAGCCTGGAGGTGCTCTACTCTCTGGTCTCTAAGATCTCTCCTGATTGGATCAGCTCCATGAGCATCATCCGCTCCCATCGGACCCAAGGTGCGTTTACCTGACGGTGACCGCTTTATGCTAGCAGCTCAAACACGCCGTCCTGATAAAACCTGATTTGCTCCTCAGAGGACACGGTGGTGGCAGTATCAGTGACGGGGATTTTGAAGGTGTGGATGATAACAGCTGAGGTCAGCAAGATGCAGGTTTGTTGCTGCAGGCGATCACACACACACACACACACACACACACACACACACACACACACACACACACACACACACACACACACACACACACACACTCTGATCTGAGCCTCTGGTCCGTTTCCTGGTTCAGGATCTGGACCCGGTCTTTGAGGAAGAGTCCAAGCCCATCTACTGCCAGGGCTGCCAGAGCATCTCGTTCTGCAGCTTCACCCAGAGCAGCTTGCTGGTGGTCTGCTCCAAGTACTGGAGGGTACGACACTCCGTCTGTCCGTCCGCCCGCCTTTTTCTTTCTTCTCCATTTTTTCTCTTTGTCTGTCTTTCCTTTTGTCTTTATTTTATTCCTTTTTCTTTCTATCTCTCGTCTTTCTGTCTTCTTGTCTTTATTTCCCTACCTTTTGTCTCTTTTGACTGTCTTCATTTCTTTCTTTGTAATTTTCTGTCTTTTTGTCTCTTTCTATTTTATCTGTGATTCTTTCTGCCTTTATTTGTCTTTCTTTGCCTTTTCATCTCTTTCTTTTTGTCTATCGTGTTGTTTCTATTTCTGCTGTCTGTTCTTTTCTCTGCCTTTTTGTCTTTGTCTCTTTTCCTCTGTCTGTCTCTTTCACTCGTCCTGTCAGTTTCATAACGTTTCTTTCTGTCTCCCAGGTGTTCGATGCAGGAGACTACTCTCTGCTCTGCTCCGTTCCCAGCGACAGCGACCAGTCCTGGACCGGCGGTGAGTTCATCTCTGCGGATAAAGTCATCATCTGGACCGAAGACGGCTGCAGCTACATCTACAAGCTGCCGGCCAGGTAAAGCCCAACGCCTGCGGCTGGAGAAACGTCTCTGACCCGTTTGGGTTGACGCTCTGTCTGGTTCTCAGCTGCCAGTCCGCCAGCGAACATTTCCGCAGCGACGTTGGGCGAACCAAGGAAGGATCGATCCCCCCGCTGATCTACAGCATCGCCGAGCGCTCAGACAAACAGGTCAGAGTTCATCCTTTCAGAGCCGTCTCTCCGGTTCTGATCTCTTCAAGTCCCACGGGTTTTCTGTGGACTGAGGCGGCCATTTTGTTTCTGTAAAACACCTGGTCATGACCTGGGGTCTCAGTTTGGTACGTGTTCAGTTTGTTTCTGTTTCTGTTTGTCAGCAGTAAACAAAGAATATTTTTCATCTTCTGAAATTAATTTGATTCTATTCCAAACCTTAAAAAGTGGAAACTAGACTTACTGGCCTTGCAGCTAACTGCTGGTTCATGGAGGCAGCTGAACGGTTTTAAGTCAGTTTGATCTTGAATTGAAGGAATAATAATGATCTGTTTCCTTGGTGGGTTTGTAATCCGGCCCAACATCCCGGCTAACGCGGCGCTTTCTGCCGTATTTCTGTTCTGGGCTCGTTTCAGACACGCGGATCAAACCAGCTGATGTTCATGTTAGACCCGAATGAAGCAGCATGGGAGCAGAAATGTTCGCTGCTTTTCATCTGTTGTTTCAATGTTTTAGGCTGTTAGACTTCCTGTTTGTCCTGAATGTTATCATTTACTTTTGTTTACGTTTTGTCTGTTGTTTTGTTTTTATGTTTCTTTTATTTCCTGTTCTCTGATTGCTGCCACCCCCTCCCATATAAACCGACCCTCACCTCCTCCCAGAGGGACGAAGGTGAGCAGGAGGAGCAGGAGGTGGAGGTCATATGCCTCCGTCCCAGTGGCTTCGCCCCAGAGCTCTACACCCCACTGCAGCTTTACCAACTCCGGCCTCTAGAGGCGCCTGTAAGCCCACAACACGCTTAGCATCAGCAGCAGGCAACAAGAAGAAGAGACTGAGCTGCAGAAATCAGCTAAAGAAATTGGCTAATAGAAATTGAGGAACTTGGACAAGCAGTTGAAGTAAAATGATTAGAACTAGAACTGGAACCAGATACGCTTGCAGATGAACTAGATGAAGTGTTTAAAACGTCGAGGACTTCCAGTTAAAATCCGTCTAAAATGGCGTCTCTCCCTGAAAGCCTGCGGCGAGTTTCGGCCGGATTGTCTGAATCTGCCGTTGCTGCTGCAGCTGTTTTTATTTTCAGTTTCTTCTCAGCTGCCTGCTGCTGATCGGCCTCCGTGTTTCTTCCCTCCTGTCCTGGTGAGCAGAACTTTTCCCCCCCTGATGTCTGGAGCTGCTGTGCCTTTAAAAGTTTTCACACCCTGTGAACTCGTCCATGCTTCTTCAGGTCAAACTGACATTTCTGCTCATCAAATCAAGGTTTGGGCTTTGACTAGGCCATCTCCTGTTATCTCTAGCTGCAGGTATAGGTTGGTTTTTCTGCAGTCTCTAGCAGAAGAAAGGCACCCCCACGGCATGATTCTGCCACCACCATGCTTCAGTGTGAGGACGGTGTGTCTGGCAGGACATACTTCCCTTTGGCTCAGATTTTGCAGAATTAAAACGTCTTAATTTAAATTTTAAGTCTCATTCTGACTATGAAGGTCACAGTTTTTACATTTTCAGTAAATGTTGATCATTCATCATCATTTTTCCACTTTGTGTCATAAAATCCCGATAAAGTGTTGAAGTTAGTGGGGAAGCAGCCGGGGTGTGAATACTTCAGTGTGGCGGTGGTTTGTCGCCTGGTGGTTCTCGGCGTCCTGATCGTCTCTCCTCCTCCTCCTCTCTCCTGTTTCGTCCGTTCAGTCAGAACCGGGTTTCAGGTCAGTGGTCCAGTTCAAGCTGCCGATGGATCCATAAGAAATGATTTATTTTTTTTCTGGCTTTTCTGGGATTTGGACTCCGGTCTGTCCAGGTGTGACGTTGGCTGTTGATTGATGTTTCTGTTTCCCACCTTCCGGCTCACATGAGGAAGAACGAGGCGCCGCAGCGGCCGCGCTCTCCGCTTCCTGTCTGCGTCACGCCTCTGATCCGTTCCCCCCTCAGCTCCTCATCTGCCCCCCCGGTGACCCGGTTCTTCTTCGGCCGCCGGGAGCCGTTCCACAAGCTGCTGATCCAGGGAGACTCGGCCGGCCGCCTGTCGCTGTGGAGCGTCCCGGACGCCACGCCGCCGCAGCCGACCGCAACGCCGGCAGGTGACCAGCAGTCTGACGCTGCGCTGCAGTTATTTTACCAATTGATTAATGGATTATTCTGACGATTAAGCGATCATTCCAACAATTAGTCAATTATTAATATTTTAAAAATGCCACATAGAAATACATAAAATTTTCAAATAAATATTTTGTTCCCTTTTAAATAAGAAAATAAACATTTATTGGTTAAATAACATAAATCTGAACAGGGTGAAGATAAACTTTATAAATTAATTTCAACAGGTGGTAATGATCCTTTTAAAAGGTTAATTAAATAAAAACAAATAAACAAAATACCATATGAATTAAGCTGAATATAAATGTCTCTCTGGTATAATTTATTTTCTATAAATTGCTTCCAATGAGCTTTTATATGATAGCTGCTGCACATGAGTGACATCTGGTGGACAGATGATGTCACTACTGCTGACTGTAGTAGAGCACAGCAGCAGGTTTTCTCATGAACTGTGTATTAATTGGGTTAAGTGTTTAATGATGATGTTCTGTTGCAGAGCTGCAGATGTCGTCCTCCATCAGCCTGCAGGAGGCGTTCGATAAGCTGACGCCCGTCTCTTCTGGGATCATCGACCAGCTGAGCGTCCTGCCCAGCAAGCAACAACCCATCAAGGTTCACAGGAATGAACAGAAGCAGAATGAAAACCTGCTTGTTTCTGTTTGGTTGGGTCACGTTTTGCCGTTTTGTTGCCCAGGTTACGGCCAGCGTCTACATCCCGTCTCAGGGCCGGCTGGTGTGCGGCCGGGAGGACGGCAGCATCGTCCTGGTCCCCGCCACGCAGACGGCCATCGTGCAGCTGCTGCAGGGGGAGCACATGCTGCGCAGGGGTGATGATGATGGTTTACTATCGTGAAACACAGGGACATGTTTCTGTACCTTCAGTCTGAATGAAATGATTAAAATGGCCGCCACAACACATTTGAACACCCCTTGATTTAAAGCGTTCCACACCAAAGCAATGCAAAAACAGTCATTTAATTTAGTGAAAGTTTTATGTTGGTGATTTGTGTTTGCTTCCTCTCCCTCCGTTGCCTCTCGGCTGGTTTCCGTCCTGCAGGCTGGCCGCCCCACCGGACGCTGCGGGGTCACCGGAACAAGGTGACCTGCGTCCTCTACCCGTACCAGGTGTCGCCCCGCTACGACCAGCGCTCCCTGGTGTCCGGAGGAGTGGACTTCTCCGTCATCGTCTGGGACATTTTCACCGGAGATGAAGCACATCTTCTGCGTCCATGGAGGGGAATCAGCCAGCTGATCGTCCCGCCGGAAACTGCAGCGTAAGACGGAGACGTCTTTTGTCAGCCGTCCTCCTGTCTGTCTCCATGTGTTACCACCAACTAGACTGCAGCCAACGACTCATTTAGCTATCGATTATTTCTGACGATTAATCGATTATTCTGATGATTAATCGATTAATCGTGTCAAAATGTGACACATTCTCCAGGTTCTCTGCCTATGAATCATTTATTCTGACGGGGATCTCTGCTCAGTCGCGGTTTGAGCTCAGACGGGTACGTTTCCTCCCTGCAGACCCGCGTGCAGCACTGCGTTTGCTCCGTGGCCAGCGACCACTCCGTCGGCCTGCTCAGCCTGCGGGAGAGGAAGTGCATCATGCTGGCGTCCCGGCACCTCTTCCCCATCCAGGTCATCAAGTGGCGTCCGGCCGACGACTACCTGGTGGTGGGATGCTCCGACGGCTCCGTCTACGTCTGGCAGATGGATACAGGTAAGACCCGACCGGGAGAATCTGGGCCATCGGGGCGTCAGTTAAAAACAACTCAAGAATAAAACGTCTCAGAATCATCAGGTTGAGATTCGCCGGTTAATTAGAAAACTGAGTGGCAATAAGCAGAGAATGAAGTTGTAACTATTTGAGAGTAAAGTCATAATATGAGAATAAATTATTTCTAACATTACACATAGTGTTTGTAAGGTTATGAGAATGTCATAATATAATCATCATTATGTGAGAATTTCACTTATTTTAAATATTTTTGCCAGTATTTTGTATCAGTTTTCTCTTCAATATTAAAGTCTTTTTTGTTGGGTCAAAAAGCCAAATGTTGCTGATTTTTCATTTTGTGAAAACGTTCATGGGGGGAATAATTTCTGTAACTACTGGACCACAGCTGCTCCAGGTCTGGTTCTGGGGCCTGCTGAGCCGTTCACCGCCGAGCCGTTCACCGCCGAGCCGTTCACCGCCGAGCCGTTCACCGCCGAGCCGTTCACTGCTGTGTTCAGATGTTTTTCTCATACATTATGAGTCCTGGTCTCTGGCTCAGCTGTGGTGGATGCAGGCTGGGGATCTGGGTCGGGTCGGACTGGAGAAACATCAGCCTGATGAGCTGCTGCTCTGCTGGGCGGCTGCAGGGTAGCTAAGTGTGAAATTAAAGGAGGTGTGGAAGTGGTGAGGCGTTGGACAGGTAATGGGGGCGCGGCTGACGGCTCCTTCATCACATAAACACTCGTTCAATACCTGATTCAGTGACTGACTGCAGAACGCTGCTGTGATGATGTTTCCATAAACATCTCTGCATGCAGCCAGAGATGGAAAATACTGAGTTACACCAAAGGAGCTGAAAGATCTGCTGGTTTGACCTGCACAATATTATTACTACTGTTGATAGGAACTAAAATATATAATGGACTGATAAAGGAATAGTTTAGTGATTTAATATGTTGCACTAGATAATTATGTGTTAAACCTAAAATTATCTGTATCTCAATTTCACGACTTTACTCTCAGTTTTATCATCCAGTTTTTGGTAGAAAGATAAATCTGTCCATCTGGTTTCAGGCAGCCAGGCCTTCCTGTTATCTGTTAGGGATTTAAATCAGCAGCTCTCCCTGAACTTCCTGTTTGTGCTTCCAGGAGCTCTGGATCGCTGCGTGATGGGAATCACGGCGGTGGAGATCCTGAACGCCTGCGACGAGCTCGCCCCCGCCACCGTCGACGCCCTGAGCCACTCCGCGGTCAACCTGAAGCAGGCCATGACGCGCCGCAGCCTGGCGGCGCTCAAGAACATGGCGCAGCACAAACTGCAGACGCTGGCAACCAACCTGCTGGCTGCTGACAACGCCGACAAGGTAACGCCTGGTGATGTCACCAACCAGCCCGGTGGGGGAGCGTGTGGGGGACCGGGGGGGCGCGTGGGGCCCAAGACCCTCTGGTCTGTCCTGATGCATCACCAGCGATCAAATTCATTCTGGTTTGGCGGTTCTGGTCTCTGCATCCACAGTCAACCTGGCCTATCAGATACCAGAACCAGATCTCCTGGTTCCGGTTCTGTTGGTCTTCTTTCCCTCAGTGTTTCCAGCTGTTTTCAGATCTGAAGTTTCTCCGTCAAACTCGGCGGGTCTGACCTGTCCTGACAGAGGCCACTCCGCCCACACGGGGGATCCCAGAGCGGAAAACAAGCGCCATGAATTATTTAGTGTTGTGAAGAGCGTTTAGTTGAGCTGCTGTTTGACTTTTACTGGTTCCCTCAGGAAGTGGATCAGACGTTTCTTCGCCTAACCTTCATGTTGTTGTTCCGCCGTAATCACAGCTGAAACACCCAGAAACCTGCAATCCTCCCTCCATTTGACGCTCATCGCCCTTTTCTGCCTCCTTCCTCATATCAACTCAGAACCAGCCATTATCCCCAGTGTGTGTGTGTGTGTGTGTGGTGTGTGTGTGTGTGTGTGTGTGTGTGTGTGTGTGTGTGTGTGTGTGTGTGTTTTATCCCCCACTGTGGGTAATGAAGGATAATGACCGTAAATATCAGGCGGTGAAGCCGAAGCGATTCCAGCCGGCTGGTGTTTGATTTCTGCTCAGCTCTTGTTTTGAGGCTCTGGCTGTGACTTTCACTTTGTCCTCAACGGGTCGACGGCGCCGGGCAGAAACAGGAACAGACGCTTTATTTTCACTCCATATTTGGCACAAATCACTGAAACAGCTCCAATAAAAACCACAAATGATCTCCTGCTTACAGCTAATCAGTAACTTTTAGCTACTCTCATCTGTTAGCTGTCCTCAGTAAATCCTATTCTTCCCAACATTCGTCTGTTTCCTCTGGTGTTCCCCAGGGCTCAGAACTCGGCTCCCTCCTATTTATTACTTTATCATCTTTCCGTTACTTAATTAGTGAATCTGTTCACATCATACAAACTTTTAAATCTTCAGATAAGTGTTGCCTTTAAATCCAGTTGTATTCTGTTTACGGATTTTGTGAATGATCAGAAACTCACAAAGTATTCGCAGTTTGTTTAAAGGTCTGGCAATCTCAGTGTACATGAACTTCTAACTTTAAATCAAGAAAAAATCCAAAATAAATAATTAAGGCAATCATAAATACCCTAAAGTGTAACAATGTAGTCTGATTTAAAGTCAGTAAATTATTCATTCAACTACTTTGAAATCAATAGAAATTCTTGTGAATTTTAAAATTTTGGTTTTAAAAAAAGAACAGAAATGGATCAAAAACCAGAATAATGTCTGAATTCAAGGCCCAGAACGATGGACTCTTAATGTTTACATGTTAGTGGTTCTGGTGCTCTGATGAAAACATTGGACTGATTTAAATCAGATTTCCCACCGTTGGAACGGTTCCTGAACGCATCGAGGCTGCAGCCTGTCAGTCAGCTGATCACTGGGACTTTTCATTTTCTCATTTAAGTTTAAACTGGAGAGAAAACCGGGCAGGTCAGCAGTTTACAGCATGAGCTTCCTTTGTGAGGTCTGTACTGAGCGTGTGTGTGTGTGTGTGTGTGTGTGTGTGTGTGTGTGTGCGCGTCCATGGGTGTGTGTGCGTGCGTCCCTGGGTGTGTGTGTGTGTGTGCGCCGTTTGCCTGAAGGGCCCTGCAGGACGATGACCTTTAGATCAACTTCCCGGCAGCTAGAATAAGTCAGCCTCGCCTGAGAGCAGCTGCTTCCACCTTTTCCATTTGATTTAAACTCACCTCAGACGAGCTGCTGCAAATAAAAATCAGTTTAAAAATAAACTTAATGTTGATGTTTACAGATTAAATCCTCCTAATTCGCCTCAATTTGGAAATTCCTTCATATCCTTCTACTTTCCAAAAATATCAAACTTTGTTTATTTCAGAAATGTTATGAATGTTTTTGTGATCTGCAGAACATGCTGGTTGTAATGTGGCCTTCTGCCTGTAGATGGCACTGTTTCTCCACCAGAGTACTGACAGAAAATGAGGCTGAGGCACAAACATGTTAGTAAAAGAAGGAAAATGTTGGTAATGTGAGTGAATCTGAGAGTTCATCCACAGCAAACACTCTGACTTTAATCTGGAAACAAATGCAGGGTGGCAGCACGTTTACCAGCTTACAGTTCTGTTAAATAACTAAAATATAATTGAACTAAAACCAGCATCCATTCTGTGTTGTTACTCTGGGAGAATCTTTGCTGTTATTGAATCTGTTTCTACGAAGCTAAAAACTGGTGCAAATATGAAGCGCTGAGGCAAACTGAAGACTCACACCAGCAGCAAAGCTTCACATGTTCATTATTAGCCAGAATATTCTGCAGGCTCAGCTGGTTAATCCAGATGTTAGTCAGCATGTTGGCCTGCAGTGACACGCTCCATCCATTTACACACAGCAGCGTATAAACTGAAATGAGCAAAAATGCTAATGTTTGCTTAAATTAAAATGTGGGCTATAATTAGCATATTTACAATGGCAGGCCACAAATATGCTAATGTCAGAGTTTACTCCAGTTGGAACCTGATCGAATGAGTTTAAAAATTGCTCTGACTGACTGAAACGCTCCAGTTTGCTAAGTTTTAAGTTTTCTTCCTTCCTCCTTCAGGGTAATTTGCCCAAATACTCCCACAATGCCCTGGTGGTCCAGGCGATGAAGACCAACCTGACGGACCCCGACATGCACGTTCTGTTCTTCGACGTGGAGGCGCTGATCATCCAGCTGCTGACGGAGGAGGCGCAGCGTCCGAACCCGACGCTGGTCTCCCCGAGACGCTGCAGAAGAGCCAGGCGGGCGCCGACAAGGGCGGCTCCTTCCTGGCCAACAAAATCTTCAAACAGGTGCGTGGACGACCCGCGGGGGTCCGAGGTTCCTGAACGCATCAAGGCTGCAGCCTGTCAGTCCTACTCTCTGCCGACGAACCTCTGCTGTCTCCAGGTGAAGGAGACGATGAAGGAGACGATCAAAGAGCACCTGCTGGACGAAGACGAGGAGGAGGAAGAGGAGATGAGGAGGCGCGAGGAGAAGTCCAAGTCTCTGAGTCTGCTGGAGTACAACCTGACCATGGACACGGCCAAGCTGTTCATGTCCTGCCTGCACGCCTGGGGCCTCAACGAGCAGCTGGACGGCATCTGCCTGGAGCGACTGGGCATGCTCAGACCGCACTGCCCCATCTCCTTCGGCCTGATCTCCCGGGGAGGACACATGTCCCTCATGCTGCCCACCTTCAAGGTAGGACCGCACCTGGACCGGCCGTCCAACCGTCTGTCCATCCGTCTGTCTGTCCATCCAAGCATTTAACCATCCATCCACTAATCCTCCAATATTTTTTAAAGATAATTATGGTTCAGGATTCCTTTCTGACATCCTTTGTTTGTTGTAAACAGATAAAAGTTTCCCTGTATTTCCCAGGAGTCTTTGCTGCGCCAGCTGTCGCTGGCCACCGGCCTGAAGCTGAGTCTGTCCGACATCGTGGGGAAGGGGACGTACGGCGTGTCCCGGGCCGTCACCACGCAACACCTGCTGTCGGCCATTTCTCTGGCCAACACGCTGATGGGCATGACCAACGCCACCTTCGTAGGCGAGCACATGAAGAAAGCCCCGGCCAGGTAGTCAGCCTTCCACCAAACTTTACCCAGAAACACCATCATGTTCAACAAAAACTAACAAAACAAACTCCTGATGCAGGAGTCCAAACGAGCTGGACTGAAAGAACAGCCTCACATTTTTCACACAGACAATAAACCCTGTGTGTGTGTGTGTGTGTGTGTGTGTGTCGTCCGTGCGTGTGCGTGCGTGTGCGTGAGAGCTGATTGTTCTGAGCTGTGAAAGATTTAAGAGCGACGCTGCAATCTCGCTGCTCCAACAGCATCACAACATTTCATCAACCAGCCGAATCCTGAAACTCAGTGAGCAGAGAATGGATCAGCCAGACTGGGATCTACTGGGATCTACTGTCCAGTTTGGGATCTAACTTCCCAGTCTTCTTTCTTCATCAACTTCATTCTTCAACTTTCTTCTTCTTGGTCTGTCGCTGGTTCCCTGCATCGTGGACGACGGCCAGTTTGTCCTTCAGGCTGTTAGCAAAGTGTTTTTGTGTTGGGGTCTGATCAGAAGCAGCTCCCGAAGACGTTCTTCACTGAAATTAACGCTCAACATTTCAACTCGTGCTCCCTGTTAATTGGGCAAACTTTGACTGTTGTCATTACCGACTGCCAGTGAAACGTTTCAGCCTCCCGGAAGCAGCCGACGTCGGGCGGCTCAGAGCTGCTGTTGATCATTATCTGGAGAAGACGGAGGCGGCGAGTTGTAGCCAAGCAAAGCTTCAGGTGATGATGAAATACTAAAACCCTGTCGAACACACACAGGAGCCTCATCAATCTGAAATGGGGAACATGAAAAAGCCAAAAAGCCAAACACGGTCAAATATTCACCAGTGCCTGTTTGGAGTGTTGGAAGTGAAAATTCCTCTTTGACTTTTATAAGGCGGGAGCCGCTGCAGAGGAAGAAACTTCACAGGAAGGTGGAAACTTTCAGCTTATTTCCACAGATCTGTGTGAGGAAAACTAAACGCATCCGAAGTCTGGAGCCTGGCAGGCCTGAAGGAAGCATTCATAGAGCTTAAACTTTCCTCATTTCAACAAAATCTGCTTCTTTTTGGGATTTCAAAGTTGTGCTTTTTGGCTTAGTCCAGTTAAATAAAAGCCTCTGATGTTACATTTCCCTTTAACAAAACACAACGTGTGGAAAAATATCCACTAAAATTAAAGTTATTTTTAAATACCCAACATTTTTTTTGTAAGGTTCTTATATGAAAAAAAACATTAAACATTACTGAAAAAGAAGAAACGTAAATTTTAATCTTTAGGTGATGGAAAATTTTGGCAAGTTTTCCAACTGATGAGAAATTAAAAAATAGTTAAAATAAACGTCACTTTTATCCAGTGACGTTTATTCTATGGAAAACTGTTAAAACTTTGTTAAAACTTACATTTGTTATTTTCCCAGCTGAATTTAAAATATTAACTGATCCGATGTGGAAGGTCCAAAGAGCCGCCTGCGGCCCGGGAGCCACAGGTTGGACACCAATGGTTTAGATCCACGCAAATTCATCCTGGGTTAGAACGGCCTAGTCAAAGCTGAGGACCTGTCAGTTATAACCAGACGTCTGGTTTGTGAGTAGGAGTTGCAGCGTGACCTTTAACCTTTGGAGGGCCGTCCCAGACCATTGTTTCTGTCCCGTCTCTGAAGTTTCTGCGTTTCTTCTTCTTTCTTCTTCCTCTTCTTCTTCTTTTCTTCTTCTTCTTCTTCTTCTTCTTCTTCTTCTTCCTCTCGCTGGCAGTGATCTGTGGCCTAGCAACCGACTGTGCCATCGATCCTTGTATTGGAAGTGTTTGTGTCTCTGTGAAAGTTCGGCGCCTCCAGTCTGTTCAGGGAGGACTGCACCCAAAATTCAATAGGCTGGAGCCCAACACACACACACACACACACACACACACACACACACACACCTGAAGCGAGCTCGAGGAGAGCAGAATGAGTCAGAGTGAGACCTCCCTCTTGCTGTTTGCTGTGGATGGGCTTGTCTTCCTGTCTCTGCCCCCACGCCTCATTAATATTTGATGGCTCCTCTTTGTTGCCCCCCCCAGACCCCCAGACCAGGAGGAACCCCGGAGTCTCCTCGGAGGACGCCCGCCGCCGCCCCCCAGCCCTCCAACCCGGCGCTACAGGCCCAGATCAAACAAGGTAACTACAAAAGGGGGGGCTTGCTGCGGTCGCCCCTGAGGCCCTGCCAGGCGAGGGGCGGGTGGGGTTTATAATGCAGCCCACCGGCGGTTAACCCCGCAGAGACGTGTCATATTCAAGGTTCGAGGGCCAAATCCGGCCCACCTGGGCGTCCATAGCGGCCCTCTAGACCAGAGTGCTCCGACCTTTTGCCACTTTGGTGAAAATCATCGAATGAAGTTCTAGCGGGTCAATTGCTCTAACGGTTTCATGACCCATCACCACAAAATAAGTCGTTCATGTATTTTACCTGCCTGTGGAGTAGAAATCAGGAACCAAGACGTTTTCATAGCGTTTAAATGTTTTTCTTTTGGTTCCATGTCAACTGAAAACTGCAGTCCAGCTAATTAAGACCCAGTGCAGCTAAAGTTACATGACAGATTTTTGGGTAAAATATCTACTAAAGTAAATGTTATTTTAAAGAACAACCAACTTTTTTGTCTTTTGAAGGTTTCCAACCAAGAAAAACATTAAACTGAGAAAAAAGGCATAAATACATTTACTGGAGGCTGGAAGCAAATTTTGGCAAATTTTCCAACTAAACCAAACCAACCAATTTAAGTATTTTAAAAGTGGTCACCTGGTCCGACTGGATCAGAACCAATGTAAAAGTGAGACGAGGTGGAATAATGATGAGTCTGCAGGTACCAAGCTGTCTGTTCATGGTGGTGAAATGAACGTATGAAGGGATGAAAGTGAACCAGGTTGGATACTAACTGCTCACATCTAACTCACACAGCCTGAAAACATTCTTCGCTCCCCCGGACCTGGGCTTTGTTTAGGCCGTTTATTCAGACAAATGAAACGTTTTTAATTCATTTCGGCCGATTAAACGAAACGTTGTGGCTGCAGATGAAGCAGGAAGGTGAAGCTGCTGCGCCTCACTGTAGGGGAGGTTTTAACCAGCTGCCACCATCTGCCACTCCTCACACACACACACACACACACACACACACACACACACACACACACACACACACACACACACACACACACACACACACACACACACACACACACACACACACCCCTGGACGCTGTGGAGGCGGGGCTTCCCTGCTATTGTCCCGCCTTAATTGAGGCCAAGCATGACAAGCGTGCGGACTTATTCATACCACACGCCTATTGAGGCTCGGCCCGGCCCGGCCCGACCGCTGCCCCCGCGCTGCGGCTCCTTTCACATGGAAATAGAGCCAGGAGGCCCCTCTGATGTACTGCAGCAGGAACACACACAGTCCCAGTCCCGTCCCGCTTTTCCTCAATGGGAACAATGGGGAGATTTTCTGCACTTTAGCTCCTGGTTTCCTGCACAGATCAGAACCAAAACATTTTACCAGAGTCCAATTATCTGAGCTAAAACATGATGCTACAATGTTGATGAGTGATTTTTTTTCTCCCCACTTTGACTTTTACTCATATCTTTAGACCAACATGTAAACAAATATCAGACATTTTACAGAGTATTATAACCTATCAAGTCTTCTCCCATTTAAACGGATAAAAACACATTTACCAGAATAAATAATACATTTATTTTGCTTTTTTTATGAATGAATAGTGCCATGAAAAACTATTTGCCCACTTTGAAACAGAACTAAATAAATCTTAAAATTTGTTAATTTATGGTTTAACAAGCAGAAAATACATTTCTATTCATTAAAATTTCAGCAATTTGACCCAGGAGTAATTAGATTATTTACAAACTTTTTGTTTTAGCTCAAGTTTTATTAATAAAACTCAGAAACTAAATATATATTTCAGATGACTGTTTCCTGTTGGAAGCAGGGGGCAGCAGCAGCCATCTTGTTTTAGTTGCAGTTTAAACACTAATAACTGGTTTTTAGTGAGTGAAGTGTTTAGTTTTACCTTTATGCTGTAAATATTGATTATGATTAGCAGATTTTAATAAAAGCTAGCCAAGAGCTTAGAAACCCAGCTGGACTGGTGGAAAATCAGCAAATATTGGGTTACATTACTAACTGAAGCTAATAGCTAACTGAAGCTAATAGCTTCCTGTACTTCCTGTCTGTCTGAATGTCGATTTTAATTCACTTCCTGTTTTGTTTTCCTGACTTCCTTCCTCCTCTGGCAGCTTTTCTGTCATATTTCTAACCTTTTTCTTTTCTTCTCGACTATTTTCTCTCCCTGTCTTCCTTTCCAAGCTGCCAGCACTGCTGCTGCCGCTGCCTGGGCCCCTGGGGGACACCCTCAGGGGGCCCCTGGCTCTCATAACATCCCCTCAGTCAACGAAGGTACAGACTGATGTGACGGGTGCCGCTTAGGGAAAGTTTGCAGCTGTATCCATGCTTTCTGCAGAGCCTCCATTCCCTGCCTCTCCCTCCGTTGGGTTTCCTCTCTGTGCTTCATACGTCTTCGCTTCCTCGGTCTTCTTCTCTGTTCCTTTCCAATCTGCCTACCTTGTTTCTCCTTTCTTGCATCAGTCTTGTTTCCCCCACAGTGTCTGCTCTTCACCTCAGGTCTATAGCTCCAGTCTTTGTCCTTGTTTGGGTTGAAAATGTCTTCATGTCTCTGTTGGTCTCAGTTCGCTCTCAGATCAGTCACGCTGCAGTTTTAAAACTCGGATGCTTCAAACACTTCGGGGAATTTCATGTCACTTTCTGAACCAGGCCTGTTTGGATTCTGAAGTATAAAATTTTGTGCAAAGTCTTGAGTCTTTCATCCTTTTGTTAAAAGATTTTAATCTAAATGTTAACCAGTCAGTATTAAAATCTAAAGGATGAATTCTTTACTTTTCCATTTATATCATCATGCAGGATATTTTACACTAAAATTAATACTGTCATTGAATGGATTAACGTCAAGCAAACCCATAATTTTCTGACTGTTCATTACTTTGATTATATTCCATTAATGTAAAGAAAATTGTTACTTGCTATTGCTTTGTTTCCATTAAAAAAGAAATAAAATTAAATCACAAATAAGATTGTTCAAACTAGACATTACAAAATCATGTCATACCTCTTTCTATCGTTGTCTTCATCGTGCTAACATCCGGTTGTTGATCAAGTGTTTCCATTGCAGTTTGAAATTTTACTCAAGAGAAAAAGGTAATAACTCTTAAAAGTATTTTTATTTCAAAATCCCTACTCAAGTAAGTGTAATTGATTAAATGTAGTTAGTTACCACCCAAATATACTCATGACCCAAGACTTTTGCACAGTTGACAAACTACACTGGAAATGTAACAGAATCGTAGGAAGAGTTTATTTATTACTATCTAATCACATCAGTTTAGAAATACTTTAAATCTGCGTTTTATGAACCTGTAACTTGTGTTTTTCTAAATTTGGAAACAAGCAGAATGTCATCAGCCAACAGTTTGACTTTTCAGATAGAAATGCATGTAGGGCAGCGCTGGTGGGTTTGAGAGCGCACTGACTGCTGCTGTCCTGACATCTTGCTCTGTTTGTCTTCTTGTTTGCAGTGTTGTGGAGTCCCTCCTTGTCTTTTCTTTCAGTCCTGATGTTTCAGTCTCTCTGTGCTGTTTGTATGCTTGCTATTTCAGTCATGTCTTTAGCTAGAAGAGGGGAATGGGTCGCCATTAAAACTGCAACACAATCTGAGCCTAAAATGTAAGAAATAAAGTTCAGCAGGGCTCAGCAGCGCCGTCATTTTCACCAGCAGCTCATCTGAGACTGTATTTTGTTTGAAACTGGTGAAAGGCTGAATGATAACTGATGCTTTTATTTAATTTTTTCAGGTTTGACTCTAAATGAACTTTGGTGCAAACACTTTTAACCTGATGTCAAACTCATCCTTTTCTTCCAGTGTTCCTACAGGATGTTGGTTTTATCATTGAGCCCTTTTATTTACACTAGGAATGTGCTTGCATATTTCTTAAACGCTTGTTGTTTGCATCTGGGGCCTTGAAGTGCCTTTTCCAAGCTTGTTGAACTTTAATTTCCAGCTAGCGTGGCAAAAGCCGAGTTTGTCAGAATATTTATTGGTCATGGGAACAGCAAGCATGCTCACAGACTCATTCTTTGCTTGTACCTAAAACTATTTTCTGAAGCGTTTAACATCCACCACAGTATTATAACGACCAGAAAATGGCCGCTGCCCTGCAGAAACATAAACTTTATCATCTTTTTGTGTGGGAATAAATTAGAGAAATTGTTGGACTTATGTTGAAACTATTAAATTAAATAAAATTAACATTATTGTGACTACATTTTTGTTTGGAATTATTTTTGTCTAATATAAAAAGTAAGATATATTAAGAAATATCTATTGGTAATGATATATTTAGACAAAATTAGTTTGTATTTTCCTGAGTTTTAGTCTCTTTTTCTGCTTGAAATAGAAGAAAACATGTAAAGTTTCTGCAGGACAGTGAAACTGGTTAATTATAGATTGACTGATTCATTTCTTCTGATTTTAAATCCCAACATATTAAAATAAAATAACATTATAATTGTTGCTTCTTGCAACTTAATGCTGGATTTACTCATCGTTATTTTTTAAGCAAAATTTCTTAAAGTTTGATTTGGAAAAATGAAAATATACCTGAAACTTTCACCGTATTTTATATTTTATCTTTGGATTAAATTGAGAATAAATCAGTTAATCTCTCACTGCTAAGAGCCAAAAGTGCCACGATTCAATAAACAAAAAGGTCAACAAATAAAAATAATTTATACATATCACTAATAAAATACTGTTAATAACAGAATGCATATAAAATTACTTTTATGTTTCAATAATTTATAAAATACATTAATAATACTGAAAGCATACATTTAAATTTAGGTAAATTATTGTTTTCAATTAAAATTATTTTAGGGTGGACAAAAGAAATATGTAATATAAAAGATTTTACCTTAAAGTTTTGTGTCTTTAAAGTATTTAAGTTATTTAGTGTATTTATTAAAGTTTTATTTTCAATTCATTTGCATGAAAAGTAAATTTGTTGGGTTGTGGCATTTTTGGCCCTGGATTTTTCTCAGAACTGTTCTAATATTTCTAGTTTTCTCTGTTTGTCTCGTTGGAAAAGGTAAGTTCAAAGATGGAAACTGGTAAAGAAATTTTCCCTGAAATTTCTTTCCTGCTTTAAAGCCATCTTCCCTCCATCCCTCACACGTAGTGGAAGCCATATATTGAGCTGATATATGTGGACCAGGTGAAGCATCGACGGATGTTTTAGTCTGTTCCCGTCCCCTGGATGGAAAGCTTGGTGCATATTTTGGTCTAAAATATGAATGTTTTTGTCTCAGACCGACGCAGCCTGATGTGAGGCGACGCAGAGACATTTTTAAATGTTTTCTTTCGTCCGTTAACTGGGTCACATCTGTGTCGTTTCTTCAGAAAACCTTCCGGGTTTTCTCGTTGTTTCACATCTGTAAATTTAAATTCATTTGTTTGAACCAAAGTATGGTGTGTGGTTTACCTCACGCTGATGTATCTCTGTTGTTGTTGAGCTGTTTTAACGCCATCAGACACTGTGGTGAGCAGAAATGATGAGTTTGTTTGACTGAGGCGGTAGACGACTGAAGTCATGTGAAGACTGTGTGTGTGTGTGTGTGTGTGTGTGTGTGTGTGTGTGTTGTGTGTGTGTGTGTGTGTGTGTGTGTGTGTGTGTGTGTGTGTGTGTGTGTGTCACTGCTGTTATATTAAAACTCTAAACCAGGCTTTCTCAAACTGTGCTCCCGGACGCCCCCTAGTGGTATTTATTTGCCGTGACGTTAGTGCGAACTGCGACCCACACAGCTAGCTTACCAAAGGACTGTTAAAACAATAATGGGTAAATGGGAGATCTGATGATACCGGTGTAAAGAAAACAATGCCAGGATTGATAATATAATCGTAGGAAACTAAATCATACCTGCTGAGAGTTTAATGAATCGTTCACCATTGAATCGATTCTTTTGAGTCTCAGTTAGTGAGAACTGTGCTTTCATTTTTACAACTTTGTTTGCTTACAATGCTCTGGCCACACATCAACACCTATTTATTTAAAATGGTTAACATAATTAAATACAACCATTTGAAATTGATGGATAATTTCATATTTAATGGTGCAGACTCAACTCCAGTCTATTTTCCTTTATTGTGCTTCTTAATTACAAATATCTCTAAATGTTATTAATGCACACACTTGGTAGTAAAGAGCAACTACTTTCAGAATCTGTAAATAACTAAAAATGCCCTGAATAGACATGTTTCTGGTTTTGACAACCAGCCTAAAAACAACAATAACTGCGTTAAGAGGTGAATATTTTCATTCGTGTTGTGTTACAGACCAGATAATTTTGAGTGAGGTGATCTGCGTGTTTTTGCTAAATGGCTAAAGTCAGGGAGTCAAACTCCAGCCTGTAGGGTCGCTGTCCTGCGACCTTTCGATGTGGCTCTGCTGCGCCACATCTGAATAATTAGGTGATTAAGGCTCTGGAGAACCTATCACACAGGGAGGAGGTAATGAAGCCGTTTCATTCCAGTGTTTTGTGCCTGTGGCTCATCTAAAGCCTGCAGCACAGCGGCCCTGCAGGACCGGAGTTTAACACCTGTGGGTTAAAGGATCCTGAGCCTGAAAAAGTTTGAGAAACATTGATCCATTTCATCTGGGATCTGTCGCTGCTAAACGATGGCGAAGCGGCGTTTTCATGTGGCAGCAGTGACGCTTGTAGATCGGCACGTCTGAGCCTGGGTTGGGTGGATTTTGCTGATCTTTGGCGTCTTTGTGTGCAGGGTGGAGCCAGCTGGCCGCCATGCACTGCGTGATGCTGCCGGACCTCCTCGGCCTGGACAAGTACAGACCGCCTCTGCTGGAGATGCTGGCGAGAAGATGGCAGGACCGATGTCTGGAGGTACGCAGAGAGCTGCATGGCTTCCTGAAACAGGGAGTCTGGCCTTTGACTGGAGCATCGATTCACTTCTCACTCAGTCATTCTGTTAAAGATTTGCTGTTATGTTTGGGACGATTGCCATGTTGACAACCAGTTTGATTCTGGAATACTTTGTTCCCACAAGTCTGAACTTAAAGTGATCCGCCGCCATCTTGGTAGGTAAAGCATGGATGAACCATGGCTTCAAGATCCACGAAAAGAAAGACAAACACTCTGGACCAATGTGCCAGAAAAATGTACATCAACCAAATGGCTGCTGCTGGGATCGACCCGTATGAGATAAATAATGTGTCAGACAAGCTGCCTGCAATCTCATACTACCATAAAGTTACAATGGTGAACATGAACAATGTTAGGAAAGGTTGCCGCATGGAAAATACCATTTCTCATATTTATTTGGTTCCTTCACATCCATTCTTTGTGTGGATGATTGAATATTGTTCTGACCCGTTTCATTTGTTTAGGTCCGGGAAGCGGCGCAGGCTCTGCTCCTGGCCGAGCTGAGGCGGATCGGGCAGTCCGGTCGGAAGGACACCATTGATGCCTGGGCTCCGTACCTGCCCCAGTACGTGGACACGGTCAGCTCCCGTAAGTCTCATCCTGACTTTAGGAGGACGAAGGTTTTACAGGGGGACAGCTTCTCAGGTTCTGGAGACACTGATTTTCTGTCCTCCATCTTGGTTTTGGCTACTTTTGTTCCTCGGTTTTCAAAATAAAAGCTCTTTTAGATAGATGTTCTGTGTATTTATTGTTTATTTTTTACAAACTGTGTCAGAAGGATGGAGAGCTGTGACAGCTGGATGTGAAGTATAAATCTGTATCCTCTAGTGGATTTTTTAGTGGACATGTCAAACCCCGATGAAGGTTTAATGATGCGGTTCTGGTTCTGACCCGGTCTGGGTTCTGACCTTCCTCAGATGAAGCTTTATTTGGTTTCTATGAATCAATCAGACATAAAAAAACAATTTAAAGTCACGGTGGACAGCAGTATAAAGGTGAATTCGTCGCCACCACGCAGTTGAATTTCTGCTGCTTGTCTCGTGTTTCTGATGATGTCGCTGCCTCCCTGCTGCTGATTGGCTGCTGCGGCGCAGGAAGCGGCCGTCGCTCTGTTCCCTGGCGTCGCTCCGCTGGCTATAGTTAGACCTGCTGATGGGAAGAAAGGTGAATCTGCACCTTGCTTTACTAGAAGCCGCCTCCTGAAATGCTGCATTCGTCTGAGCGCAGGAGCCGCGGTTGCAGAGGATGCTGGGAGTCTCTCGGGGAACGGTTGCCGTAGCAACGGGCACCGGTCAGTGTTGTGTTACCGCAGCAGGACCGCAGGCGGGGGGGGAGGGCGATGGAGATGGAGAGAGGTCAAAGGGTCACCGAATCCGATCCCCGAGCAGGCCGGGCCGTAAGACGACTCCGGCTGCCGGTGGAGACCCGGAAAATCCCAGCAGGGTTCTGGAGAGGTCCGGAGGGTTCTGGAGCAGTCCGGAGGGTTCTGGAGAGGTCCGGAGGGTTGTGAGGGTGGAGGGTTCTGGAGGGTCCGGAGGGTTGGGAGCGGTCCGGAGGGTTCTGGAGAGGTCCGGAGCGTTCTGGAGAGGTCCGGAGGGTTCTGGAGCGGTCCGGAGCGTTCTGGAGAGGTCCGGAGGGTTCTGGAGCGGTCCGGAGGGTTCTGGAGACGTCTGGAGGTTCTGGAGCGTCCGGAGGGTTCTGGAGCGGTCCGGAGGGTTCTGGAGCGGTCCGGAGGGTTCTGGAGCGGTCCGGAGGGTTCTGGAGAGGTCCGGAGCGTTCTGGAGAGGTCCGGAGCGTTCTGGAGACGTCCGGAGGGTTCTAGAGGGCATGGAGGGCTCTGGAGAGGTCCAAAAGTATCCAGGTTGACCGGAGGGAAACAGAACCACTGCAGCAGTCTGGTTCTGGTTCTGGGTCTGGGTCTGGTTCTGGTCAGGAGGTTTTATAAAATGTTTTGATCATTCAGTTGAATTTGAGATGAGAAACGGGTCCAGTTGGCCCAATTCTACAGAACCCAACATGAATCAATGAAACTTTTACAGCTGAACCCAGAAATTTACATACAGAAAGAAAAAGACATTTTTCAGACCAAACTTCTATCTGTTCTAGTTCTAATCACTCATTTAGTTCTCGTTCATTTAGTTCTAGTTTTAGTTCATTTAGTTCTAGATTTAGTTCATCCAGTTGCAGTTCCTTCATGTGTCCAGCGGAGCCCGGGTGGCGCTGCAGCAGCTGCAGAAACAGGAAGTGGTTTCTGGTTGATAAAGTTTTTCTCAGTTTGGCTCCTGATTCGTCCTCACAGGCCAGTCGCCTCTTGGGAGTTTTGTTCATAGGATGGACATGAATGTAAGGGTCTCTGGGTGCCCGTCAATGTCTTCCTGTGTGAGTGACCTTTGACCCTGCAGCCTGGACTCCTCCTCTGCTGCTTGTATTATTTTCTGCAGCATCTGTGCTGCAGCTTCCAGGTTACGCTCAGCGCTCCGGATCAAGCAGCGGTTCTGTTCGATTAGCCGCCTCTTCGTGCTTCCAGCCTGCTGTGGCTAATTAGCCACGGCCGCCATGTTGCAGGCGCCGCTAACGGGCCGGTTCCTACCGACCCGACAGTCCTTTGTGTTCTGTCCCTTCAAACGCCTCCCGGAGAGCTGAAAGGTCAGCCGGGCTCTGCCTGCTGTCTGCCAGAGAAGTCGCTGCCGCCGTTGCTCCTCGGCTCGGCGGCGTTTCCTCACCGTCTAACATAAACTGAAAACCTTTCTAACAACGTGAGCAAACGCTACGACGAGCTTTTGCTGTCATCACGTTTAGCTTCATAAATTAAAACTGTGTTGGTAAATTAACATTTACAGTTTTTCCTCCACTTAATCTTTCTCATACAAACATCATCATCTCCAGCCTGGTTTTCTTCCACATCTATCCCCACAGCATGATGCTGCCACCACCATGCTTCAGTTTACCACCACTCATGGTGATTTAGAAGTTGATTTCAAAACAGTAATTCTGGGTTTGTTCCTGTCTGTGGCAGTAAAGGTTTGTTTTCCTTGCTAACGGCTAACTGGAGTTTTGAACTGCAGCTTTTCAGGACAGGCTGCAGCGTCGGTTTCATCAGGGTGAAACGGGGGGGAGGCGGAGGAGGGATGCAGGATAAGTGGGAGGGTGGGGGCGTGATGGCGTGCTCCAAGGTCAAGCTTGTCATGTCAGCCATGACACATTGCTCCCAGCATGCCTTGTTAACCTCCTGGACCTCCTCCTCCTGTCTGCTGTTTAAAACATTCACTTCTTGATGTTTTTAAAGCGCAGCGGGCCCGCGGCTCGCTCCGCTCCCACATCCTTTTCATTTCACAGTCCCTGTGAAATGAAAAATAAATCATTTGGAACAAAAAAAGGAGAAAAACAAAACATGAAAGTCTTTCTGCAGGTGATTCTGTTTGAGGCTCAACGCTGTTACTTTACGGAGGAAAAGATTTGGGAAAATTTAAGTAAAAATAACAAAACTGAATCTGAGACATCATGAAATGAATGAAAACAGTAATTAATTAAATTATTATTGGACCACTGCTTAATTTAATTCTCACATGATGTTTCTCTGTAAAATGTTTTCAAACGAAGCTGTAAAATATTTTAAAAAATACAGCGTCCAAATCCCCATTTACTGTCCATGTTTTCTGACATGTAAAAAATAATAAATATGGTTGCTTTTGACACATTGGGTGTGAAGTTAGCAATTTAAAATAATCCCACCCCAGTTTAATTCACTTTAATCCAACTCTAGTTCATTTGTGGAGGTGTGAATGTGAACTCTAGTCAGGAAGTGGACTATAGTGCAAAGCATCCTGGGTAAACACAACCAAAACAGACATGCTAGCTTAGCGCTGACGGGAGAAATGGCTCCAGTTTTTCTGACAAAAAAATCTGACGACTCCATTTCAGTTTCCATTTGGTGAAGAAGGAAGATGCGCTCAGTGTCTTTTTCATGTCATTCCCTTCAGTGGTTCTTGGTGCAGCGCCCCCTCAGGCGAGGAGGGGAACTGGGTTTTCAAATAGTTTGGTTGGTTTGACTCAGCAGAAAATGAAACAAATGTTGGATCCCAAATGGAGCCGAGTCTACTGGACCATCAGTGTGAAAACGGCCGAATATCTAGTCATGTTCTTGTTCTGCCCGGTTAATTAGAGCCTCGTTAGAATCGGACCTTTCTGCTGAGTTTCCCCGGTGGAAACAGTTTTCCTTCTGTTCAGCCACAGCCCAGCATCGTTATGTTTTAATTAAGTCCAATTAAGTTTTTATCACTTTAATGTTCCAGACGAATAATCAACAATCAGGCGGCGTATTGGTCTTCTGTCAGAGTGTGTGTGTGTGTGTGTCGTTACTGAGCTGTCTGCAGAGTCTCAGCAGGTTAATTGGAACAGGAAGCTCTGAGTTAACCAGGATTTATCAGTGTAATTACACACACTGTAATTAGAAGTGTTTTATTGCTCTAATGAAGCCAGCAGTATGAAATTGTTTGTGATGTTTTAGTTACTGATGTCTTTTTCCTCCTTGCTTTCTTAAATTTGTGCAGGAAACAGAAATCAGTGTGTCCAGCGGAGTGTTTGCACTCATTTATCAGTGTGTGTGTGTGTGTGTGTGTGTGTGTGTGTGTGTGTGTGTGTGTCCCCACGGATTAGAGCGATGTTGACTCTGTTACCTTTAGCCGCTCCGTTCATTAGAGCGTTATCATTCATTAACTTCAGCTGCTAATTAAAATCCGCTCTTAATTGGCAATGCGAAGATAATTCTGTCATTTATTCTCTGGATAACAGGGAAGCCCAATAAACCTTTATTAGCTGCTTAACCAGAGCAGTTAGCCTTTTAATGAGGCAACCTGATGAGGTTTTCCTCACACACACACAGGCAGGCAGGCAGCGCTGCCGCCCTGCTGCCTGCAACAACACCTGCTGCTTTTATGTCCTAACCAAAGGTTGTCGGCTCGATTTCCACAGCTGGAACAGCAACAGAGACCCCGCCTCAAGCCCCGCCCCCTCCAGAGGCTCAGCCAGTGGAAACCAAGGCTCCAGAGGAGGAGCTGGACGTGACCGACGATGACATCACAGCAGGTACTGGTGACAAAACCACAAAACACAACAGCCTGGTTCATATACCAGATATGAGAATTACCAAAATAAAACTAAAATCAGATGATGTAAATCAGGAAGAGATCAAACTAAAACTAACCTATGCTAGGCTATGCTACTTGGAGCTAAACTAAGCTAACATGTACAAACTGAGCTAAACAACACTGAGCTTGTTCATCTGAACAAAAAGTAACTCCTAACTGATCCAAGTGGCCTGAAATAAACAAAAAGCTAAAATAATTACTGTTAATGGACTTTTTTTCTTTTCTAGCGAAAAATGAAAGTTTTATCCCATAACTTGTGATGTTTGTGGTTATTGAAAGCTAACTGATCAGTTTGGATGACATTTTTCATTTTCTGATAACCCAGAACTTTTTCTGTTCTTCCATCTGGAATCAGTTTGAAGATGTAAGGAAAGACTGAAGCAGAGGAAGTGAAGTGTTCATATCTTCCCTCTGCTGGTGTTTTGGTGCCAAGCTGAAGCTTGTTTCTCCCAGACTGCAGGCTGCAGGCCTGAGGAACCCAGAGATCTTGTTTATCACCTCTGGGCAGCTTGAACTCAGGCGATTTGCTCTGCTGAGTCTGTATTTAAGCCAAACGCAGTAAGTGTTTCTGCATCGGTGCCACTCTGAATTCCAGTGAACCTGAATGGTGTTAAAAGCCGTTTATCGGTCGCCCGTCCCACAGCTACACAGAGGGGAGGTGAGAAACGGCCGACACCTGCACCACAGGTGGAAACACACACCTTCCACTCCATTTCTCTGAATACACCGGCTCCACTTTCACCTTTTAACCTGAGCGTTTACTCACCGTGTCGCCCTGATTTATGCTGCCGTGGAATATTAGTGACCAGAACTCTTGAGCTGAAAATGGGTCTGTCTGTGTCCGATAATATTGCTGAACATTTACTGACTTCATTATGCAGCCGTATCATCATGCCACCACCACCGTGCTTCACTTTGCATGCCGACAAATCACCTGCAGCGTTTCGCCTCCTGAGACGCGAGCGAGTTTTAAAAGTCGCTCGACGAGACAAAGGAGGGAAACCTTCAAAACACAAAGACGAAAGGACAGACCTGAGACAGCCGCGCAATCACCTGGCTTCAGGCTGTTTCCACGGCGATAGACTCATCTCATCAATGTGTTGTCTCCCCGTCGCTGTCACACACACACACACACACACACACACACACACACACACACACACACACACACACACACACACACACACACACACACACACACACACACAGAGTTCAGGATGTGATGACATTTGTTGCTCGGTGCCACAGCTGCAAAACCTCAGAGACACACACACCTGGACCTGACAGTGTGTGTGTGTGTGTGTGTGTGTGTGTGTGTGTGTGTGTGTGTGTGTGTGTGTGTGTGTGTGTGTGTGTGTGTGTGTGTGTGCGCTGTAATTATGTCTCTAACAGTGTCAAGGGATGTTATTAGGATCCACATCACGCTCACACACACACACACACACACACACACACACACACACACACACACACACACACACACACACACACACACACACACACACACACACACACAGACTGTATGGGCAGGACTTATTGCTGAGAAACATCCCATCTATAAGGGAAGAGACATTAGAAAATGAATTTCACTTTTTCTAAATCACAAACCATTAATTATCAGAACTCTGGGTTTGGATGAAATTAGTTCTGCTGCAGCAACAACAGCTTTACAGCTAAATACATCCGACTGAACAACAATTACACATTAGCTTTGTAGTTGGAAAGGGAAGTCTAAATTATTTCTCTCTTTGCCTTATTAAAAGAAATGTTGCAAATTTTCTAGACATCTGTTGGAAAAAATGAACAAAATTAGATCTATTCTGACAATAATGTTCTTTAAAAACTCTTCCTATATTTAGCCAAGTTCAGCAAATTAATTCAAAGCAGGTCTGGGTGCAGAACAGTGCAAAAAGTAATGATATTTAAAGAAATAATTGGTGTTGTTACCAACATTTTCTATTTTTAGAAGATTTGATTTTGATGCTTTTACACTAATTGTGAATATTTAAAGAACTAGAATGTTTCTATCGAATTCAAACACCTGAACTGGGGCCACAAGGAGCAGGAGCCACAGACAAGCAGGCCCTGGTGACTTCCTGGAGGCGGAGTTTCACAAAGAACAGAAGCTTCTTAAAGAGACAACACTTAATTTTTCCACTTTAATGCTTATTTATGTGATTTAGCAGGAGAGTTTGGGGGAATATTTCTTTGAATATTCATATATTTTGAAGTCGTACTTTAAAATGCGTCTCATTCAGTTAATAACTGTAATTATTATTATGATTTCCTTTATGATTGTTGGATGAAGAGCAGTGTTGGTGGTTCCCACTAGAGGGAATCCTGGCTCTGCTAACTGGGACTCCTCTGATGGAGAGGTCGACCTCTCCAAGGTCAAAGGTCCCAACCACCTTCCCACTAAACGAACCCACTTCCACTGAGCTGGGAGCCATTTTTGTTTCCTTCTGGTTCCTGGTTGCTCAGTGAAACTTTCAGCTTTCCATGTTTTTCCACTACATTTTATTTTAGCCGCTAAAATCTGCTGGGATTTCTTTCTACTGTCTTTCCTCCTCTCCGCCATCTTTGTCCCTTCGTGTCTCTCCTCTGTCTTCCCCAGCGATTGAGGTCAGAGGTCAAAGGTCAGGCAGGCCCTCACCTCACGGTGTCATTAGCCCGGTTGTGATTTGGTTAGCTGAAACGCCACGCTCCCCGTCTAATCTAATCCCCCGGCCTGGGGGGGTCGGCCGGGTCAGATCGCGTTTCTCCTCAGAACAGATTGAGCTCCTGTGGAGATAAATGTCGGGAGCCGCGACTCTGAGGGCTCTGATTGTTTCCGATGATTGTTCCTGGGTGTCCCCAGAACGGGACGCAGCTGCAGGATGGGAATATTATTTTATTACAGCAAGAAGCTCCTCTCTAAATACTGGTAATGTGGAGGAATGCATCTCCGAGAAACAAACTGGAGTCGTGCTGCAGCAGTTTTCTAGAAATACCAGAGGTGAGCAGATCGATCCAAAATATTGATAATATTGATATCAAGTTGGTATCAATGTTAGTACATTTTTGTATGTAATTTCTTGACTCAAAGAAGATTTTGTTTTGGTCTCAAGGGATAATCTTTTGCAGTTTTAGAAAAAAATTAACACAAATTTCTTCATTTTTGGGTTTTGTTCATGTGACACCAGGTTCTCTCTACACTTAACCCAATTAACGATGTGACCTCAGCTTTTGTTGATTTGGATTGAAAACAATTAATTCCTCATAGCTTTCACCATTAAATACATGAGCACAAAAAGCCACAACTAATTATAAACAGTAAGCAGTAAACCAACCAATCAACCAACTGAACTAAACCCAACCAACTGACCAAACTTAACTAATTCAACCAAACCAAAATGCCAGGCTTAAAAAAACTAAAACCAAAACCTCAGCCAATCAAATGCTACGTTCCCAGAGTCTTGAGACTTGGTTGGACTTGGTTTTCAGAGAGTTGCCTTTCAAACTAAAGTAACCTGAACCAAACAGAACCAAACTGACCAACCCATCGACTAAATAACTGAAACCAACTAACCAAATGACGGTTAGTTGAACCACCAGCAGCAGCTGATTAACCAACACAAACATCCACCAAAATAATTTGAAATATTTAATGTGGATTAAAGTGTTTGGATGAAAAGTTTGACTCTCTGCTTGCTCAGAAGAGAAAGTTGGTCTGTTTCCTCGTCCTTCTGAACTTGAATTCAGTTTGTCTTGTGGTTTCTGGTGAGGACGGACCCCCTCCCCCGCCTGCCTCCATGCGGTCTAATTGAAGCCCGGCGTTCACGCTGGGCGCAGATAGCTGCTCTGTCTGTGTCTTAAGATGGTAAAATACACTTAACCTTCAGCTGGACTCGGCCCGTTGGAAGGGCAGCCACCGTTTCAGGACTCAAATCTTTTTTCTTTATCAACTTAATTGTGTTTTCAATTATTTCCCCAGATTTTCAGTCTCCTGACATTTACAGTAAGGACATGGTTCCTTTCCCCAGGCGCCGCCAGCCGTCCTTCGTCTTACTCAACGCTTTCCTTCAGCTGGGAAGGCTGGAATATTTATTCACATTTATTAAACATTTCTCTCAAAGTTGTCTCTCCTCCTGCAGCGTTTTCCTTCTTGCACTTTCTCACATCATTTCTGTGCTGCTATTGATCCCCTCCATCGGTCCCCGGTGATCGGGTTTTACCAGTCTCCCATTGATTACCAATGGAAGCAGAGCATGATGGGAAGCTGCTGGGGTTGCCTTTGTAGGAGGGAGCAGAGGGAAGGTTGTCGGTTTGATTGCCCTCAACTCTCTTTATCTCAGAGTTAAGTCTGGGCTTCATGGGTAAAGCAGCAAACAAAACTTCTCAGATCAAGGAAAACATTCAAAATGTCTCCTGGCAGGGATGAAATTCAGACGGTGAATATTTAATATTCACCGTTGGGTAGAAAATAAAAATGTATGACGGCTTCAAACACCGAGCTGAAAACTGGGAACAAGATTCTGATAGAAAGATTGAGAATCCTGTCACATGAAATGAATCCTTCACACAGTTATTTATGAACAGTAATGGATTTAAGGACTATTATTATTATTATTATCAAATAATAGTTTAGATCTGGAGGCAAATGGGGCAGGTTTGGATTTTTATCGTGGATTGGACCAGGAAATGGTTTTCAGTCAATAGAGGTTTGAGCCATGGACTTGAGTCTTGGTTGGACTTGTTCCCAGAGTCTTGAGACTTTGTTGGACTTGGTTCTCAGAGTCTTGAGACTTGGTTGGACTTGTTCCCAGAGTCTTGAGACTTGGTTGGACTTGGTTCTCAGAGAGTTGAGACTTGGTTGGACTTGGTTCCCAGAGTCTTGAGACTTGGTTGGACTTGTTCCCAGAGAGTTGAGTCTTGGTTGGACTTGGTTCCCAGAGTCTTGAGACTTGGTTGGACTTACACTTTAAAGACTTTTGTCTTGACTTTGTCTTTCTCCCAGAAACAAAACTTGACTTCTCCTTTCGCCCAAAGACTTGGTTTGACTTGGTGAAATGACTCATGAACGTCTCGATGCTCCATCGATGTCGTGTTTTATGACCCGTCATAGCTGATCTGATGATTTTATGAGTTTTAATCTCATTCCTTCTCTGTTCGTCCATCTTTTCTTCCTCTTTGATTTTGACAGTTTTCTGTATTTTCTGTCTCTCCTCATCATTTCTTTTCGTTTCGTCTTTGAGACGTTTCTGCAGACATCTTGGTTTCCGAATCGGATCAGAACAAAAGCCGAGGGAAAATAAACCGAAATATAAAGTGCTCTTTAAAACAATGTTGATGTGAATTATTAATTTTATTGGCGGAGTAAAACTTTGTCTTAAAGGTCACAGTTTTATCTGCTGAGTGACATTTCAGTTGCTTTTATGAGATGTCCTTAATTTGTCCATCCGGCCGGCTGGGCTCCACAGGTTGCTGCATTACGGCGCTCCGCCTTTCCTTTAATACATTCCTTCCTTTATGGATAATCTCATTTCTGCCAGAATTCCTTTTTCCCGCTCCATTTCTCGTTTTTATGAAGATTTAGCCGAGCGGAGGCGAGTGCGGAGGGGCGCTCCTCTGTCCTCCTCTTTACTTTATTGGGTTATGTTTTGGAGTTGGTTGGCCCACAAATAGGATTTAGATGCAATGTCATTATAATAGATCTGCTGGTCGCGAAGGAAGCCGATCGATTGGCTTCAAAAATCAATTAGTGGCTCCGCGGAGCAGAGTTCGGACCGGCGGAAACCAAACCGGCCGCTGAAGCTCCGCTGGAAAACTTCAAATTTAAGTTTGTCTCAGACGATTAGAGGCGACAAAACGATTCGGCATCAGATTGAAAGAACAAAAACACGACTTTGTTTTTTATTTATTGCTTTATTTTTGACCGGTTTATTTAACTAAAATTTTTGCATTTTAACTGGCTTTTCTTGTCTCCTTTAACTATTAAAATCAGAGCAAAGACCTGGATGAATACTTTCTGTTGCATAAGTAAACATTTTGTTATTAAATCTGCACCAGCTGCCTGGATCGTGATCAGTTGCCCCAAAGGATTTCAACTTCCTGGATCAAAGATAATTTTGCAATTGTGATTTTTTCCCCCATTAATTAGGAAACTTAATTAAAATCATGTGAATAAGTTTCTTCAGGCTGTAAGTTGTTTTAAAACGTGCAGCGCCGTCATCCTCCAGTCACTTCCTGTCTTTGTCGTCTCCGTCAGTAGTAACATCCGGTTTTTGATCATACGACTCGTGTGATCTAAAAAGTGTGTCAAAACGGCAATTTAGTCGCAGAATGTAAAAAAAAAAGATTTTAGTTGTGCAAAATACACAATTTTTGCAAAATATGAAATTTGCTGCAAGAAGTAAGAAAAATGTTTCCATTGCAGTTTTGCAAAACATTAATTTTGTGCAAAAAGAAGTTTTTTTCACAATTGCCTTGTTTCAATTAAGCAAAATTATGTTCGTAATCCCATTTTTCGAACAGAACACCATGGAATTTGGAAATGCAGCTCCTGATCTTTTTCTCTCTGGCGTCTCTTCAAGTTTAACTGCATCCGAACATCGTAAAGAACTCGGTCAGCGATTCGCTCTGCAGTTTGAGTCGGTCGGTCAGAAGCCCTTCAGTCTTTGCTGTCTTTATTCCTCACTTTCTCTGTAAATCTGAACTTTTTAGGGATTCTGGCTGGGAGTCCATCTGTAATTCTGTTATCTACTGGCCCGGTCTGGCCCAGAGATGCCATATGTAATCCATTTATCAGCTGCTGGGCCTTCTTCCAAATGACAGCTGGCTTTTAGCAATCTCATTATGAAGAGCAGCGGTATGGAAATATGTGGGCAGGGAGCGCGTCTGAAAAATGAGCAAAAAACAGGAAAAATAATATATGAAGCTCCATGGAGGCCGGCGCTGATGGGCCTGAGCGGCGGGTCGCTCCTCTGGCTCTGTGCGTCTGTCCAGGCGGATGCTTTTAACTGGAATCCATCTTGGATTTCATTCCACCTGGGATGCTTCTCGGATGTGTTTGCACAGTCAGCTGTTTTGGGATCAAATGGGCGTCTGACGGCGCTTCGTTCGGCTCCGTGTGGGACGATAACATCTCCCACAGCCGAACGCTTGGTGGCTTCAGCTGGGAGAGCTACAGCCCGGAAATATCTGTCCTGATCACAGCCAGTCCTCTAGATGGATCAGTAAGATGAAGGCCATGTTTGTTGCAAGTCTGAAGGAAAATAAAAATTCAAATCCTTTGCAGGTTTTTAACCCTTTGCATTGTTAAATTCTAGATAATTTGGCGGCGCTGCAGTCGCAGTCTGGTTGTGTCTGAGCCGTTTCTCCCTGAACTCCCAGGTGTTGAAGGTCTTTCCACCTTTCGGAAGTGAGTTCTGTGTAACTCTCTAGCGGCGGAGCGTCGCTCATCCACACGTGAAGCTTTCCATTGCGCTGCTCATTGGTCTTTTGATCCGCAGTGTGTCCCCAGCTCTTATCTCCCACTGTGCAACACACATTGACGGCCCGCGCACCGCCTCGGCCCCCCGCCGAGCAGGCCCCACCGCACGCGCCCGTACAAAGGAGGTTATTCCGGGGTCGCCTCGGCGGACACAATGGCGAGGCGCTCCCCCTCACAAAGCGGCCGCACGCGCCCAGCCCCGGCAGGAGTTTGTGAACATGGCCGTCTGGGCGTTTCAATGCGTTCCCAGTGTGACTAAAGGCTTTCAGAGCCACAATGAGGCGTGTGCCTGTGTGGTGATTAATGCCGGGACAAAAGAAGTGTGCCGCTCACTTGTTATCAGCTCACTGGAGACTCACAGGCCAGCCTGCAGCTTTTCCAGCGTCAAAAGAAAGAAATGAAAAGGTGGAAAAAAGTCTCCCTTTATCCTGACGCCATCTTTAGACGCCAGGAAACCTGCAGCAGCGGCCGCCGTGCAGCAGGAAGGGCTCGGCTCTTTGTCTTGTCTGGTTCCTCTGGTTGGTGTTTAGTTCTGGACGTCGTCTTTAGTCTCAGGGAACCCAGAGAGTCTTCAGGCTGGAGGACGGGATCCCCTTCAGCTTCATCGCCTGAAAACCACGAGGCACCACAGATCCTTCCATATGGCCCAAAAAACAGAAGCATTTTATTTCAGTCGATATAAAAATTATTGACAAGATTTTTGTCTAAATATCTGAAATACCACCAATCTGATGACGTCACCTTCCTGTTTTATCCAGTTTTATCCAGTTTCTGTTGTCTTTTAGTTTTAAGCAGTAATGATGCTCAGTGGCTAAACTTTAATCTGCTGCTGCAAAAGTTACTCCACAGGTTGTTGCTAGGCGACCAAAGAATGAGGGTTGCTAGGCTACCAAAGAATGAGGGTTGCTAGGCAACCAAAGAATGAGGGTTGCTAGGCGACCAAAGAATGAGAGTTGCTAGGCGACCAAAGAGCAAGTGAGTAAGTCTCTACGGAAACGTCAGAACGGTTCGTTCTGGTTAAAAACAGTTGAAAAGAAGAAGTAACAGCTCATGCTAGCTCTGCTTTTCTCAGTAAAGTAGTTGAAGTTTGTCGTCAGTTGAGTTTCTCTCGTAAAATCAGGACTAAGGATCCAAAGCGTTGAGATTCGGTTGTTGGTCGTGAGATTGACTCTGCAGAGGAAACCTGTGAACCGTTTCCGTTTCTCCGCCAGGCTGCCTGTCCAACCTCCCGCCAAACGCCAAGAAGATCTCCAACTCGTACGAGGAGCGGCGGAAGCAGGCCACCGCCATCGTCCTGCTGGGCGTCATCGGAGCCGAGTTCGGCGCCGAGATCGAACCGCCCAAAGGTTCGGTGCGCGCTCGACCCGGAGGAGCGGTGCCGGAAGGCTTCGGATCGACGAGCGGCGGCTCATCCAACTACTCACTCGCCCGACACACCTGTGAGTACAGAAACCTCTGGGTCAAAGGTCACCTGGTTTTTATCTAAAACGTCCCAGGATACAGTTCATAACTTCATGTACTTCAGCTCAGTTCCCACAGCATCACACATCCTCTACTCTACCTGCCTGAAGTGTTTCTGAGCTTCTAACTTTAATAAAACACATGTTTATGTTTGTGATGGTTGGACACAAAACATAAAGCAGGAAACAGGAAGTAAATAATTCCTGCAGTTAACTCTCCTTTAATGTGACACACAGTCGTAAAACATTTTCAAGAGTCTTCGATCATTTATAAATATTATAGACATGCACATCATCATTATTATCGTTTATTTATGATTTTTTTAGTTTTTTGTTGAAACAGCTGCAGTGGTTCAGGTTTTCCAAACTCATAACTCCTCAGCTCACAAACTGCAAACTTCAGTGCTGGATTAGCGGTAAGCAGAGAGAAGGGATTGATTTTCACCTGCCAGGCCTGACACCTTAAGGAGCTCTGCTCTGATTCCTCGCACACCGCCGCGCCGCACACCGCCGCGCCGCACACCGCCGCGCCGCGCCTCGGCGGGCATCAAACCTGCACTAAGTAAGGCCGCTCTTCCGTCCCGCTGCTCCCGAGCTCTGATAGGCTGCCTCGGGGGGCGTCCGCCCGGCGACAGGACCTGCGCTCCCACTGATAGGCTGTGGAGCGTGAAGCCGGCATCCAGATCACCTGTGTGGAGTCAGTGAACTCACTTCTCTGACGGAGAAACTGCAGGCGGAGAGTCACACGGTTTGAATCATTTCCTGATTCTTGACGCTTTGACTCTTTCTCCCAAACTGACGATATGAAAGCAGGTCCAGGTTCTTCCTGTGAATGGTTCCTGGTGCCTCACTGCGCTGAGGACTTTAAACAGTTTTATTTGATGGTTTAATGGAGCTTCAATCAAACCATGAAGTCGTGTTTCTAGAGGTGAGCTCTTCGTCCAAAAACACAATATTTTAAAGATACAAGATAAAATATAATAACCAGACTATAAATGGAAATAAAAACCTGATATAATCGAACCCTGTAAACAAAGTTTGATTATTTGCTTCGTGCCGCCGGCGTGGCGATGTTTCCCTCCAAGGTGAGCGCGTCGTGACTGCTGCGTGTGGCAGGTTTTGCTTTTAATTTTGATTGATACCTTCGTATTGATTTGAATTGGGCGTGCGCTCTCGCCATCAAAAGCAATAGATTAAATCAAAGATTGATTTTTGCGCTCTGACGTTGCTGTAGCTAGCTGGTAACGACAAGCAACACTAGCTGAAGGCTAAAGCTGCAGCTTAATGCTTTCTGTCACCAGAAAAACAGCTCAGATGTTATGGTTGAATCACAGAAGTGAAGATTTTGTTCCAGTTCCAGATTCCTTACTGGGAAGAGGCGGGACTGTGGGAGACCAGCAGCCGTTGCCTTCCTCCCCCTCCGTCACGCCGGGCGGTTTCTGGCCTGCAGAGTCCTTCTTGTTTTGTGTGTTTTCTGGTTTCTGGATGCAGCAGCCGCCTCTGCTGATGACGCTGGTTTTCCAAGGTCTCCTGAGTCCGTGTGGACGTATTGATCCGAGAGAGATGAGGGTTTCTAGAGCAGCGGCGCCTGAGGGCACAAAGGTCACTCAACACTGAGATTTACAGACGCCCTCCATCTTCCAGCACAATCCTTATAGATACTGAAGAATTAGAAATTTCTCCAGCCTTGAAATTAGGAATAATTGTTGATTATTACCCCCTGCTTTGTGCTTTAGTTTTGGATTCAGAGGAATTGTCAGTTTTCGGTCTTTGAGGCCTGTTTTCAGCGCACCATAAAGAAAACACAGGATGCCTTTAAAGCCCAGACACCCTAAAGGATGATTAAAAACATGTTGTCCTCTCTCTCTCTCTCTCCATACCTTCCTCTCCGTCTGTTTGCCTGTTTTCTTCCCTCCTCTCTCCAGTTATGAAATTGAAAGATGGATCGCTGTTGTTGGTGTTGCTGGCGAACGGCGCAGGCTGTGATGAATGAGAGCTGTCTGCCCAGTGAAAGGCAGGGTACAGTAGTCCATACAGCAGGGCAGAGATTGATGTTTTCACAGAATGAGAGGGGGAAATGTTGGGGAGATGGAGCGGAGGAGAGGAAGGATGGACGGATGACAGCAGGAGGAGCGCTGGGCGGTGAGAGGGACAAACTGCACGTCAGAGTTTAGTCTCTGCTCACAGGTAAATGTCAGGAACCTGGAGCCCCTCCGGAGGCTGTTTGCTGCAAACTGTGGCATTTTCAAACATTCATGAGAGCTGATTGGAAATTGAGTTTCACTTCGCAGTATTGGAAAGGCAGCGATTAAAAGCAGGAAGTCAAATAAAACGCTTTTAATTTGAAACTTCGTTGGCCATGTTCGGGATGGATCTTGATTTTTGAGGCCTGGATGTTAAGATGTTGATTTCAATTCATTAATTACTCAGAGTTTAAGTAAGAATCACTTTTTAAAAACATCCTAAGCTGGAACCTTTGTTTTGTGTTTCTGGTACAACCGTATTTCTGAAGCACAAGCAGATGAAGCTGCTCCTCTCGGCCCATTGGAGGATAATTAAAACAATCCGATTGGACGATGAAAAACACTGTTTTTGTGCTAAAAGCAGTTAGCTTATCACCAAAACCATTCAGCCTAAAATAGCGTGTCAATGCTAAACATGCAGCAGCTAGCGCTAATGTCAGCTGCTACATTTCTAAAGAAGGTCGTGAATGATCAGGACTTCTTAAACTGAATGATTACAGACTCTGCAGTTAACTCAGGTAAAAACATTGAGTCCAACCGCTAATGTTTTGCAGCTACCCAGAGTAAAGCTAACAAGCTAGCAATAGATCAAGCTAACAGCTACCATAAGATAATAAAAAATAGCTAACAGCTACCCAGAGTCAAGCTAAGAGTAACAAATGGTGAAGCTAATAGCTACTCAAAGATAATTTTAAATAAGTCCAGCTAACATAATTAAATTGAGATCATTTAAAGCGTTTAAAGTCCTGAAATGAACGTTGCTTACATGCTACATTAAATATTCCTGCTACTCTTGTTTGTCACACTCCTCTGTTTTCAAACAGTCACCATGTTATTCCTAAACTTATTTTTAACCTAAATTATTTTTTATAAATTGTTATCTTATGTGACTCGTCATTCGGACGTGATGCTGTTAGTCTGGCGGTTTGGTGTTTTCCCGTCTCTCTGTAGCCGGTCTCATCCAGCTTTCATCCACTAACCAAGTCCCCGCATTGATTTACCTTCAGCTCTCATTTAGGCTCAAACGCAGGCAGATAAAGAGGGAGAGGGCAGCTGGGGAAAGGAAGCACAAAGCCTGTTAGCGCTCGTTTCAGGCTGCTAAATTTTAGACGTCACTAATCTGTCACTATTTCACACTCACTTCTCTCTGCCTTCCTGCCTTCCCTCCTCTCTTTAATCACGCTGCGTCTGGTGATGAGGCCGGTTTACTGCCACCAACAACTCATTAAGACGAGGCAGATTTATGCATCGGATCAGTTTGGTGCAGATTAGAGGGAATTTCTCTGAAAAACATGACAATTTATTTTAATTAACAATTTTAAAAATGAAAACACAAAGATTCTGCACCAGCAGGATGATTGGGAACGTTCTAATTTCCTTTGTGATTATTTTTTTATTCATAATCTATTTTATTGTTTTTTTAATTATTATATTGTTCCTTTTCATTTTCAGAATTAAAGTTTACTGCTTTATTACCAAGATGTTACTTGAAAATTATCGAAAAAAAACAATTTTATTGTTTGTTGCAATAATTACTGGGACAATTTATCATGCAGCAAAATTCATCAAGACGGGCTTCGTAAAAAAAAGTCTAATTAATAGAAGTTGTGAAACAAGATGGCCGCCCTGGATGCCTTCACTGATCTATGGAAACCCAATAAGTGCAAAATGAGGTAAAATTAAACCTTTGATGAGTCGTTAACACGGCCCATGCTCCGTGGAGGTGAAAGGTTTTTAAAAGCTGCTGATCGTTTCTGGTTTGTCTGTCAGTGCAGCTGCAGTAACGGCCTGCAGCTGAATGTTTCAGCCGCCTGGGTGCAGAAATAAACCAATAAGGAGGGACTGGATTGCCATTTAAGGAGGACTGGGGGATGAAATGCCAGGAGATCCGGCTGATGTTATTAGCTGTGCGTCTCTGGAGAAGCGACGACCTTTAGAGTCACTGCAGGATCATAACTAAAGTAAATCATTGCTGCTTTATTCCATGTTTCTTCATAACGCGACTTTCTGTATTTGCATTTAAAGAGAAGACTCGGTATTGATCAGCGAAGCATTTCCTGGCTTAAAGAGGATCCTGCAGGTGAAGCTCATGTGGGCTGTGGGTGTTTGTCTGTGGGGAAGCGAGCGTGTTCTGAGGGGCGGCGGTGTTTTCTGGACTCCTTAATGGTCAGCCTGTCCCCACAGAGTCTGGCTCAAATGTCAGGTCAGCTATGAAGTGACCTCCCGTCTCAGACTGCGCAGCAGCAGGAGCAGCAGCAGGAGCAGCAGCAGCAGCCGTCTCCTCCTCACCGTCTCATTCCTTACAGGAAGAGGATTTTATTTGTGAACCATCGTTCAGTTTAAAAGCAACGTCGTCACAGATGAGGCTTCGTTCTGATGGTCACGACTAAAACATGTCAAACCTCTTCATTAACTGGACAATAAATCAATAACAACATTCGATTCACTGATTATGATCCAGATCCGCCGTCTTTCGTTACCTATCAACAACTTAATGAGTAACTCAACGTACACACGATCGTCCTGCCGCCATGTTTGATTCCTAACAGGAAGTTGTGGTTTATTTGAAGCATTCTGATTGGCTGATGGTTTTCAGCCTTGCTACAGCGCCCCCTGTGGGTTTGATGTGTTTAAAACAATGCTAAGCAGGAGACTGGTTGGATCCCTGCGGATGAAAACGTCTCTGGAACCCATCCTGTGTTTATGATGTTTTTACAGCGATGTGGCGGACATGTGACCTCAGTCTGCTGCTCTTACTAAACTCCAAACTGCTGAGATTCTCCTGGACTTTGGGGAAAGTTGAGCTGCGAATCACTTTGCTGTGGTTGTGTTTTCAGGTAAGGCGCTGACCTTCCTGCTGCTGCAGCCCCCCAGCCCCAAACTCCCCGCCCACAGCACCATCCGCCGCACCGCCATCGATCTGATCGGCCGCGGCTTCACCGTCTGGGAGCCGTACATGGACGTGTCAGCGGTGCTCATGGGGCTGCTGGAGCTGTGTGCCGACGCAGAGAAGCAGCTGGCGAAGTGAGTCACCCACGCACACACACACACACACACACACACACACACACACACACACACACACACACACACACACACACACACACACACACACACACACACACACCTTAGTTAAATCAATGCTACGGTGACCTGCTTCATGCCAGAACTGAGAACCAATCAAACATCTGATCTGATGTGGGACTGGAGGCTGAACTCCAACAGATCAGCTGCTTCTGATTTTAAGCTTCTTACTGCTGGAAAATACGATGTAAAGGCAAAATGTTGCTCCTGTTTATAAAAAATTAAAAATTATTTCTGTAGATTTTCATCAGTGTTCAGTTCATGAGATTCATGACTTCAGTTCGTCTTTATTTCTCTTAAACCACTTTTCACTTCCACTATAATAACAGATCATTTTTTATGTCAGCATTTGCCTAACTTTGAAAAGAATTAGCTAGCTTAGCTTCCCCTAAAATAATTTTTTTAGATAAATACTGAAGCTCTTATTTACCTGAATGTCCTGTAAAATTTCTGTTGAATATAATTCAATGTCTGTGTTGATGTTTTGGTCAACAGACATTGTTGACAATATTCTGTTATAGCAACTCAATATGGTTGAATTTAGCGCTATAGCATTAGCTTTTGCTAATGTAGTGCTTTAGCATTATCTGATTTGTTTCTCTTTGACAATATTCTGCAGTCTCAATGTTCATGTTGCATTTTTTCCGACTTTCACGTCATTGATTGGTCATAATTCTGCACCACAAGAAGCAGATCTTGCAAGTTGCAATGTAAACAACGACTAAAGCTGAAAACAGAGGCACACCACACTTTTCAGATATTTATTTTTCCTGCAGGTTGAGGTGCGTTCCTGCTCCTTCCTGCCTGAATCGGATTGATTATCAGATCAAACATCTAAATTACCCAAAACGTGACAAAATGAATAAAGTTCCTCTGAGTTCTGGCGGGCCTTTGCTGATCCGTTTAATTGTATAATTGATCACTGCGCTGATCTGATTGGCTGATTCTGATCCCGTTAAAGCTGCCGGCCGTTCCAGAGCGACTCTCTGAGTTATGGAGGCGCTGCTGTAATCTGATTGGAGGACATTATGATGATGTAACGCTGTCTGTCCCGTTCTGACTGCTGCCGCCTTCAGACAGTTGTGGGTTGAAATCCCAGCAGGCAGAATGCCTCGGTTCATCGCAGACGCGTTTTTATTGTCGTTCTTTTGACTTATGACCTTTTAAAATAATGTATTTATTTACAGAAGCTCCTTTCAGACGCCATTAATCTTCCAGCCAGTGAAGCCATTACTGCTGGTCCTAATGCCGCCGTCTGTAGCGTTTTGCTGCAACAACATTACCAGATGTAACCTAATAAACTTTATTTATTCTTCATGACACAATAACAGGCGCAGCAGTAGCAGTCAGTTCCCCATCACCTGCACAAGCTGACAGATTTTATTGTTACCTTTAAAACAACTAAATGTTTTATTATTGGAGTTTTTCCTGCTGATTTGGTTATTATGATGCAACAGGAAGTAAAAAAAAAATCTGTTTTTAAATGATGGTTTCATTTATGAAAGGAAGGAGCTGCCAAAGCAACCTGATCATTTCTGGATTTTTCCATCTTCTGTTGTCTGAAACATTTTTACTGTGTGTGTGTGTGTGTGTGTGTGTGTGTGTGTGTGTGTGTGTGTGTGTGTGTGTGTGTGTGTGTGGGGGTGTGGGGGTGTGTGTGTGTGTGTGTGTGTGTGTGTGTGTGTAGTTAATCCCTTTCCAACGGGAAAAGACTTTTAAAAGCTTCCAGAGAATAAAAATCTCACCTGAAGATGTAAAAACCTTCAGAGGTTTCAGGACGCTCTCTCAGATCTCAAAACACGTTTTAAAAATGAAAAAATGTTTTTGTTTATGATGCTAAAAATGAAAGTGGAAAAGAAAAATCCTTCAGTGGTTTTCATGAGCTGGCAGGATTTCTGCAGGAAGTATTACTGATATTATCTCCATGCAGTGCAGAGATGACCTTCTGTTTCCTCATGTCTTTCCACCTGGCTCTGTGTTCAGACTACCAAACTGCGCGCTAACAGACCTGCTCAGACTAACGACGGTTATTTGAATCATTCAAATCGTCTCTTCAGAGGTTTTCTGTTATGTTCCGGTTTGTTGAGTCAAACTGCAGCTCAGCAGTCGGTTCAGAAACCTTCCAGTAAATCAATCTGTGAGCCTGCTGGCAAACCAACCGGTTCGTCCATCTGCACCCGACTGGGGGATCCAATCAGTAAGTCGGTCAGTCAGTGCCTACACACACACACACACACCACACACACACACACACACACACACACACACACAACACACACACACACACACACACACACACACACACACTGCCAGTTCTTTACAGCGGTGGCTCCCTGTCATGTGACTGGGTTGTTCTCTCCTCCCTCCCAGTCAGAAATCAATATCTGTGCGACTCTGTATCGACTGGGTAATGTCAGCGCGCTATTGGCTGTGAACGTAGCCATGTTGCCAGGTTCACACATGCTGGAGTCTCTGCAGAAAGCTGAGAGTTCAGCACAGACGGAGCGTTTCAGCCAGAGTCACGGTCCGATTCAGAGCTGCAGCGGTTCAGAACGGCGCCGGATTGCAGAGGCTCAAACGTTCTGAAGATATCAGACTTTATCATTTATATAACACACGGCCGGACAATAAATCAATAATATATATATCACAAAAGACCAACATCAATAAATACTACAGCTGATAGAATATTCCTCCAATCCAGAGTCGCACAGCATTCTGGGAGATGTAGGCAGAGGAAACGCTTTAGCCGCTAAACCTCTCACAGCTAGCTACGCTAGGTTAGTGGCATCAGCCATCTTGCTCATTGGTAGCCTAGCAACAGCCTGCAGCGTAATTGGCGCAGCAGCAGTTTCAGGTTTCGTCTAAAAAAATTTAAAAAACAGCGTTGAGTCAAAACTGATTAAACGTCATGGCATCAGCTTGGCAGAATTTCTGATATTTAAAACAAAAACTGATAAAATTAGTTTACATTTCATAATGCTGCGAGTCGCATCACATTTTTAACACTTCCATATGTGGAACTGAATCGTATCCAATTGTTTTCAAAACTGTCATGACACTTTATCCAACTGTCATTGAACTGGTGCATTATGGGAGTTTAGTCTCATATAAATGAACTATAAACATGAATAAATTCATTTTTATTCTCCTTGAACTGAACTTTGAACATGTTTCTGTTAAATTAACTTTTCTGACTGCATTTTAGTGATTTAATTATCTGAAATAACATTTATTTTACTTAGATTGGATCTTTTTGCGTAAAGAAAGAAATCTTTAATTTTGTCAGAATTGTTTTACAGCTAATCATCTCTTCATTATTTTCTGTTTTTCTCACTTGCCTCAAATCATGACATCAAGATTAACCTTTTGAAATGTAAATATGAATTATGAGCCTGTCAGGAAGTCATTTCATGTATTTTGATCATATTTCTGTGTCGTAATCAGAATCCCTTCTCTCTGGTGTTAATCTGGATTTTTTTCTGCCCACGTTCGGCTCATTAATCTTGGCGCCTCCGTTCGCTCAGCATCACATCATCGTTGCGACTGTTTCCAATTACCGCCAAATGAAAAGCTCAGTTCTGCTGATAAATTGCCGATATATTAGCGGCGGTAATTAGCGGCTGTGGCGAGATGTCACTTCCTGTGTGTGTGAGGGGTGTGTGTTCAGCTGTGTGTGTGTGTGTGTGTGTGTGTGTGTGTGTGTGTGTGTGTGTGTGTGTGTGTGTGTGTGTGCGCCTGCTGCCTGTTACATTGTGGGAGTCCATTATGCTGTCGCCTGCTGAATGGCTCCCATTGACTCGGCCCTGACATTATAAGCTGCTGTTAATCTCTTCACTCCATATATTAGCGAAGCTCAACCTTTCTTCTTCTTCTTCTTATTCTTCTTCTTCTTCTTCTTCTTTTCCTCCTGAAGCGTCTCAGCGTCTCAATCCTTCTCTGAATCAACCAGTGTGCAACAGTTTGGCTCTGAATATCATTTAAATCAAAATCATGAGGCTTCTTAAAGGGCCAGAATGTATTTATAAAAACTGTAAAAAGTTTAATAAATAGCTGTGTCTGTTTTCAATGAGATCTACTGAACTTTTTATGTTGTTCAGTTATTTCAGGATTTCATTCTTTTGAAATTAAAATCATAGATTTTGTGTTTAATATTTGCAATAAAGTTAGAAATATTTGCAATAAAGTTAGAAATATTTGCACTTCTGTACGACAGTAAATGTGAAACGTCACCTTCACGTCAATCAGAGGCAGTAGAAAAAGTGAGGTACTCAGCGGGTTGTTGCTGGGTATCCAGAGAGTTTCGATGCGTTTCTCTGAAGGACCGATTAAGAAACGATGGCGGACCGGATTTGGCCCCCGGGCCTTTCGTTTGATCCATGTTGCAGGAGTAGAGTTTTGGGTTCTGGATGTTCTGATCCAGTGTTTGTCTCCTCAGCGTCACCATGGGTCTGCCCCTCAACCCCCCCGCCGACGCGGCGCGCTCCGCCCGCCACGCCCTGTCCCTCATCGCCACCGCCCGGCCGCCGGCCTTCATCACCACCATCGCCCGCGAGGTGAGTCCAGAACCTCCGACAGCAGCGGGTCTGTTTCGTTCCCGATGTTTTGAGTGAGTCCGGTCGGTTTCCTCCAGGTCCAACGGCACAACGCGGCCCAGGCCAACTCCCAGTCCCAGCAGAACGTCCACACCACCACGCTGGCCCGGGCCAAGGCCGAGATCCTCCGGGTCGTCGACATCCTGATCGAGAAGATGCCCGGAGACGTGGTGGACCTGCTGGTCGAGGTGAGCAGAACCAGAGCTCTGGCGCTGTGGGTCCGCCGGGTCTCGTGGTTCTGATGACGGTTCCTCTGGTTCCAGGTGATGGACATCATCATGTACTGCATCGAAGGCTCTCTGGTGAAGAAGAAAGGACTGCAGGAGTGTTTTCCCGCCATCTGCAAGTGAGTCTGTGTATTGATGTGATCAGTCGCCGTGAACTGATGGAGTGTCTGACCACTGGCAGAGGTCAGAGGTCACTTCACACTAGGGTTTGTTGCAGGAAGCAGGTCAATATGTTTGATTGTGTCTGTGAGCGTGTCTTGGTTCTGATCTGTGGTGTACTGGGGTCAGCGGTCATCAGGCTGTGCACACATCTTAAAAATGTCTTAAATTTGTCAAGCTAAAGGTAATGCCTTAAAATGTCTTAAATTAAGAAATTAAAATTTAGAATGTCTTAAAATCATTTAAACATTTTTTAAGTTGGCCTTAAATACGTCTTGAATTTTGTTGTTGCAGGAAAATTTAATCTATTTAATCTCATGTAGATAGGGATTATGTTTGCAGGCAAACTTTTGGGACGCCTGCAAACCTAATCCCTGAACTCCTGAACTCTGTGACCTGAGGCAGTTGCTGCTACCGCTAACCAGCTGCTAACATACCGTTGCCCGCTAGCTGACTAGCATTTGGTGTTTATTATTGGAAAAGTGTCATTTTATCGCATTTTGTCTTCGCCGTTGGGCCATTTTCTTTTTTTGTGTATTTGTCCAGGTTTTAAATGTTGTGCGAAGTCTTTAAAAACATTTAATACTCTTAAACATTGTTGTTAAGTCTTAAAAAGTCTGAAACGTTGATTTAAGACTTTTTGGTGTTGATTGTCTGAAACGTTGTTGTCACTGCTGCTCAGGTTCTACATGGTGGGTTACTGCGACCGCAGCCATCGCATCGCCGTCGGAGCGCGCCAAGGATCGGTGGCGCTCTACGACGTTCGCACGGGAAAATGTCAGGTAGGAGCTCGACAAGCGTCCGTCCATCCATTCGTCCGTCCGCCCGTCCATCCATCCATCCAGTTACCAGGCAGGAAGTGGTCAGAGATCAGGGGGCGGGGTTTATGCAGCAAGGTTTCTGGGTCGGGAACCCAACCTGCTCCTTCTTCCTCTTCACCACACTGCGCCCCTCCACCCCACCCTCCATCTCTTCCTCCCTTTTTACCTGTTTTCATGTTTCTCCAATAAAACTCTCCGTTCTTTAAAATGAAAGATTCGCTCAGCGGCTCTGAGAAGCAAAGAAACGAGGAGAACAGTTTAACTTCCCAGTAATTGATTAATGACAAAGCAGTGACTCTGTTAATCATGTTCCTGTTTGATTGTGTGTGAGAGACGCAGTTTGTGAGCTGTTCCTTGTTTGTGTGTGGGTGTGTGTGTGTGTGTGTGTGTGTGTGTGTGTGTGTGTGTGTGTGTGTGTGTGTGTGTGTGTGTGTGTGTGTGTGTTTGTTGGTAATTTGCTGCGTATTGATTTTCAGTAACCTGAGCAGTCTAGTCTGGTGGAGGGGGTCATTTATATCTGAAAACAGCATGGCCCGATTCAGCCCACATCTCTTTTGATTCACTGCGTGTGTGTGTGTGTGTGTGTGTGTGTGTGTGTGCGTGCGTGCGTGCGTGCGTGCGTGCGTGCGTGCGTGCGTGCGTGCGTGCGTGCGTGCGTGTGTGTGTGTGTGTGTGTGTGTGTGTGGGTGTGTGTGTGTGTGTGTGTGTGTAAAGGCTGGGAAACACTTCTGTGTGGTATTTCCACTAATTAACATTTAATAGACAATGGACCTGCGGGAACTGTGTGTTACAAGTGTTTTATTTCAAGCGAAGCAGAAAGCTCTCGTCTTGATTAATAGAGTTCAAAATCTTTAAGGTTTTATTAATTCTGAATCTTATTGATTCTGCTGCTTCTTGGTGCTTTGAATAATGTCTTCAGTAGAAACGGCAGGATGATTTCCTGGCTGGTGTTGAAAGCAGTGGATCTGATTTTAGACAAGGAAAACAGAAAAAGGTTCAAATGTTTTTCTCTCGCTGTGAAGTTAGCAAACTTTACCAATCGCTAACTGAAACGTTAGCAGCGCTAATCTTAAAATACTAGTAAACTTAACCATTAGTTCCCCAAACGCTAAACTGCTGTGCCAACATATTGACCAGAAGCTAATGCTAAAATGCTACACCAACACAATATTCAGTTATTAGCTACTTCAGCTAAGCTTTTAAGCTAACGCTGTCGCAGTACACCATCATGGTGTTTAGCAAAAGCTAATGCTAAGCATACAATTTAAAGAAGATTTTTTTTAAAAGCTGCTCCTGAAGTTTTCCAGTTTTAAGTTCCAGAAACTTCTCATTTTCCAAAATGATAAGTTCTGGCAATGACTCAGTACCAGAAAGGCTTAAACACAAATATCCTCCGATAGACGCGTGATGAAATCTTTCACATCAGCAGTTGTTTTCAGTGAGTTAAAGCTGCAGCTGCTCAGATGGAAAGACACTGACTGCTAATAATGTCTCCGCAGAACTGCAGTTCAGAAACCAAAACCTTTAAAAAGTTTGTGTTTATTCTTAACCCAGTCGGATTCATCAGAGGGATCAGAACCGGTCCGGTCCGATCGGGTTTTCTAACAGTCATGATGAAGAAGAAGAAGATGAGTTTGTGCTGCTAATCCCGCTCAGCCGGAGCGTTTCCAACCGTAGCGTAGCGGCTCGCTGCAGGACCATCTGCCGCGGCTTTGATCAGCCTCCGTGAACAGCTCTTTGTCAGCTGCGTTCCTGGCTGTGTGTTTCTGTCCAGCTGCCCACTCTGCCTTTTTAACAGACTCTGCCCACTCCGCTAATTGAACACAAAGAGAGCGGCGCCCACATCTCTCCCCTCTCTGCTGCATCTGTTTCTTTCTGGGACGCTTTGTGCATCCTGTCATCCGGCAGCGCCGCGGAGCCGCGACCTGGAGAATCACCTTTCTCCTGATGACACAAACTCAAGATTAGCATCACAATGGTGGCAGTTTGTTCTTTTATTCATGGCTGCAGCCTCCAGAAAACCTCCTCCATGTTGCCTTACTGTAGTCCTGAATCCTTCATCAGACGCTCAGAATGCGTCCTAAACATGCAAAATAAATACTAACCACAACATTTCTGCCAAATTGTTCATGTCGGTTGGAATCCAGCTGGAAATTAGCATCAATGCAAATATCTTACTACACTTAAAATATCATAGGTAACTTTGAGGCAACATATGGAAGCTTGTTTAAGTCAATAATTCCTTAATATTGATCAAAAGTACTAGTAGATTAATGCAGTTTTAAGAATTATTGACTTAAAACACGCTCATAAGTGTTGCTAATAAGTAATTTGTTTTTGTTACGTCTAAGATATTTTCCAGTGCACTACATGACTTACTGCTCTCAGAATGCTAAGTGTGGCTCATACATTCAGATTCAAGTAAATACTTACTTTAGCTCTAATGCTAATGTTAGCATGAGGGCTATTGCTAGCATGTTGACCAGCAGGTCGAGTAGCGATAGCTGATTGGCAGCGACTGTGATCAGTCTCTGCAGTGTGATGAGCGAACAGGAAGTGGTTTTCCTGCGCTGCGCTCTGATTGGCTGGTTGGACGGGTGGGCAGCCCACTGTGACACACTGACCCACTCAGATCATCAGATATGAAAGCATCAAAATTTCATCAGATCCTCTGAGAGAAAATTTATTTTCTCTTTTATTTCAGCAAAAATAATAGAATATTAAAACATTTATCTGTATTTAGAACATTTAACATGTAAGGATCTTTGTCTGGTTTTCTTTCATACATTTCTGTTGTTGTTGTTCCTGACCGACTTTATCAAAGAAAAGCCGGTGAAACAAAGTATCAGTCAGGGTAAGGATAAAGAAACACTTTATCGCTGCTGCAGATCCAAATCAATTCAGAAACAATTTATGATTAAAAAACAATTTCTTTAATCCAACTTTTGAGATTCAGCCTAAATAAAGTAATTTAAATAAAATTGTTTTATTCTGTATCAAAATCCATCAGTTTATATTTAAACTAAAATGTGCATTAAATCCACAATTTAAGTGACTAGCATGACTTTAGATTTTAGAGAAAACTAATGGGATCAAATGGATCTTTTTGAATCGACTCCCAGACCAGGATCTGTTTCCTCTTCGGTCTGTAACTGGTTTCCTCTCATGGTTCCGACCCGCTGCTCTGGAGGTTCTGTGTCCTTCAGTTGATCCTGGTCCGGTTCAGGAATGGGTTCTGGTTCCGTTTCCCTCCAGGATCCAGCAGGACTCCGTCCCTCTGCTGGAATCTAACCAGGTTTCCTCTAATAAAAGCAGGGATGAAAATATGAGCTTTCTGATTTTCTGGTTATTATTTGAGGCGCTGGTTCCCCTGCTGCGACGCGCCGTTAATCTCATCTGGAGGTGAGCGTCTGTAATCCCAGTCGCAGGAGCTTTTATTGCGTTACGCGTCCTGCAGCTGGTGGGAGCGGTTATTGCGTTACGCGCGGCGCGGCGGCGGCCGGATCCGGTCCCCAGAGTTCTGGAGGCATCTGTTGGCCCAGAAGCAACAATCTGGCGGGGCCCGGTTCTCCAGAGACGGGTCCAGGAAACCCAAACCTGGGCAACACCTGCAGCAGAACCGCTTGATTTCACTCAGCATTTTCAAGATTATCAAAATGCTAGCGCTGTTATCATGATGCTAGCGCCGATATCATGATGCTAGCGTTATCATGATGCTAGCGCCGATATCATGATGCTAGCGCCGATATCATGATGCTAGCGCCGATATCATGATGCTAGCGCCGATATCATGATGCTAGTGCCGTTATCATGATGCTAGCGCCGATATCATGATGCTAGCGCCGATATCATGATGCTAGCGCCGATATCATGATGCTAGCGCCGATATCATGATGCTAGCGCCGATATCATGATGCTAGCGTTATCATGATGCTAGCGTTGTTATCATGATGCTAGCGTTGTTATCATGATGCTAGCGCCGTTATCATGATGCTAGCGTTGTTATTATGATGCTAGCGTTGTTATCATGATGCTAGCGTTGTTATCATGATGCTAGCGCCGATATCATGATGCTAGCGTTGTTATCATGATGCTAGCGTTGTTATCATGATGCTAGCGCCGATATCATGATGCTAGCGCCGATATTATGATGCTAGCGCTGTTATCATGATGCTAGCGCCGTTATCATGATGCTAGCGCCGATATCATGATGCTAGCGTTGTTATCATGATGCTAGCGCCGTTATCATGATGCTAGCGTTGTTATTATGATGCTAGCGTTGTTATCATGATGCTAGCGCCGATATCGTGATGCTAGCGCCGTTATTGTGATGCTAGCGCCGATATCGTGATGCTGGCATGATGACATGAGGAAACCGTGTGACATCTACAATGAAGGAAAGTTATGTTTGTCCAGTCTTCCTTCCCAGGCTTTTATTCTGAAAGGTCTCCTGTCTCCTCTGCAGAACATCCACGGCCACAAAGGTCCAATAACGGCGGTGTCGTTCGCGCCTGACGGCCGGTACCTGGCCACCTACTCCAACGCGGACAGCCACATCTGCTTCTGGCAGGTACCGTTTCATTCTCACATTTTGTCAGATTTATTCGCTGCAGACAGAAATGCTGGGTAATATTTTCATTTGTCTTCAAAGCTTTAATAAGTGAAACGTTGAGCGGATCATTTCCTGGACGAGCCGCAACACGTGTGACTGATAAACAGAAACGCCTCCCTGCTCTTCCCAGAACTGTTGTTTTAAATGAAAGGTCTTTACGACCTCTGACATGGCTCCCTATACCCCACACACACACACACACACACACACACACACACACACACACACACACACACACACACACACACACACACACACACACACACACACACACGCAGAGTAATGGCATTACTGTAAGCATAAACCACTGCGAGCGCCGGCAGGACGGCTGCTGTGGTAATTAGCAGGCAGACGCTTTGTCGGTGTGTTTGGGGTGTGTGTGTGTGTAGGTGTGGGTGTGTGTGTGGGGGGGGTGTGGGGGGGTGTGGGTGTGTGTGTGGGGGGGTGTCGATGGGGGACGTCTAGTTTCTCCTCCATGTTTTTTTCTTTCAGAATCTGGACTGGTCCAGTTTCAGATCGTACTGGGTATAAATTGGAGATCCAAACTGGAATCGGCTCCATTCCCACTTTGTATAGTAGAACCAGAACTAACCATGATTAGCTCTGGTTCTGGTTCTTTTCATCCGGTTAATTTAAAAGATTTAAAGGCTTAAAATTTATTTCATGTTGAGTCCAGAAAACACAGAAAGTCATGTAACATCTACTGGTAGAAAGTTCTGAGAGGTTCTGTGAGGTTCGGAAGGTTCTGAGAGGTTCTGGAAGGTTCTGAGAGGTGACGGTTTGCTGTCGGTTCCCAGATGAACACCAGCCTGCTCGGCAGCATCGGGATGCTGAACTCGGCGCCGCAGCTGCGCTGCATCAAGACCTACCAGGTTCCTCCGGTCCAGCCCGCCTCGCCCGGCTCCCAGAACCACCTGAAGCTGGCCCGCCTCATCTGGACCTCCAACCGCAACGTCATCCTGATGGCCCACGACGGCAAGGAGCATCGCTTCATGGTGTGATCGGGCCGGGCCCACCGACCCGGACCTGAGCCACGGTTTGGGACCGGACACGGATTCTACTGATGGTTCTGATGAAAACGAAACAAATACATTTCTGAACGTAGTGCAGGTCTACGGAAGACAATTAGTGCCAAAAAACAGGAATTCTGACTTTTTTCTCAGGATCGTTTCAGGAAGTTTAAGATGTAATTCTGAGAAAAAAGCAAAATTCTTTAATTTTCTCAAAATTCTGAATTTTTTTCTCAATTACTTTTTTTCTCAAATTTATTCAAAGTTCTGAATTTTTACCCAAGTATACGACTTTTCCTCAAAATTCTGAATTTTTTCACCAAATTCTGAATTTATTCTGATTCTGTAAAACATTTTCATCCTCGATATCTTGACACATGATCAAACATGACATTATTATTGATACATATTTTGTCCAGATGCTTGTTTCTGTTTTGGACTGGAGCTCATTATATTATTACCTCTAGTGAAAGTTTTGCACTTTCACCAAAAGTGAACATTTCCTGTTATTATAGGAAATTTAATCTATAATCTAAATTTCAGCAAATATTTCTCTTTTAATTTTCTATCTATGCTCCATCAGGAACTATGAGAATTTTTTTTTTCATTGGCACTAATCGTCTTCCATAGGAGCATCTGGAGGTCCAAACCCAAACTCAGGTCCAGGTTTGGCTCCTGTTTTATCCGCTACAGTTGATCATGTTGAAGTTTTGTGTTTTTTTATCATTTCTTTTGGTTCATATTTATTTGCTGCTGTTTATTTAAAGTTTTTATTAGTTTCTGTTCTGATCAAAGTTTCTCACCATAAAACTGTCGACATTCTGGATCTGTTCCTGTGTGTGTGTGTGTGTGTGTGTGTGTGTGTGTGTGTGTGTTTCATCATTAAACACACTTTAATGATGTGTTCAGTCACGGTTCCAGTTGAGACGCTGCAGCCAGAAAGTGAAACCTGAAGTGACTTTTATTCTAATCTGAGTTGGGTTTCTGTTTAATCTCGTGTTCATGCCAGATTATTGATCCTCTTCCTGCTGAAATCACAGAGCTGCCGTTTCCGTGGCTGCAGTGAACGTCTCGTCCCGTTTGTCGCGCTTCTCGCTTCCGCAGTGAAAAAGATTTTTATTTAAATCATAAACTGACTGAAGGACGGAGAACCGATGGAAATCAAAATGTTTTGTCTCTTTATTTTGGACTTTATTTATGTTAAATTTATTTGGATTAAACTTTTTTACTTTTAACTTTTTTCACGTAAAACTGTCCAGAAAAAGTTTCTCATTTCTTAAGACTTCCAGATTTAAAGCTTTTATTATTTTCTTTCTCTCCTTGAAACACTTTAAAGTCCTGGTTCTCAAGCTGTGGTGCACGGCCCACCAGCGGTACGCCTGATGGTAAAGATTTGAGCCTGATGACATGAAATCTCAGATCAGACATCTGCAGGGTCGGCTAGCTGCTAGCAACATGACTAGCATGAAGCAGGTTGTGCAGAGAAAGAGTTGAGTTGGTCGAAGTGACCTGTTGGCTTTATGTGCAAGGCGGCCATGTTGGATTCTCAAATGTGGATTTGGATATTTGAAACAAGGAGTAAATATCGATAATGACACTTGATTCTTCAGTTATACAATAAGAGAAAAGATTTACTTCCTGTATCTGTTCTGAAACGTTTCAGAACCGCTGCTTTAATAGTTCACTAGAACTTCTGTTGGTACCAAAATCTGAGTTCAGAAAAACCAATAAAAGTTTCAATCAATTCAGATTTTTAGTTATCATTACTGAACTGAATGTTTCCTGCTTTCAAATTTCTCCTATTTTTTCTTTTATTAAATTGCTGAAGTTTTTCTGTAAAAAGTGAAACTTTGACCCAAAATGTTGTGAAAAGTCAAACTTTCCTCCAGTAAATGATCAGAAAATCTTTTCAGATGATTTCAGGTAAAAATTCACTGCAGAAAAACTCGATGTTTGTTTAAAACATTTTGTAAATCAACTTCAACCTGTTACATGATTATCTGGTAAAAACTTGGATATTTTGCACAATTTAAAACATTTTTTTCTTTGTTTTGATTCTTTGTGTTAAAGTTTTTATTGAATGTTTTTCTTCCTGCTGTAAAACGTCGTCAAGCTTTTAGTTTCGTTCAGAGGAAACTATCTACATGTAGATCTATATAGAGTTGTATCTAGAAAGCCGTTTCTGTGGCGCTCCACCTGTAAACCGCAGCGTGTCAAAGCTTTTCACAGCTTCTTCTTCTCCTTAAAGAGGAAAAAGCGGTGCAGCTTCTGATCGGAGGGATTTCTGAGGCGACCTGACAGCTCTGAGATCTTAATCTCTCCCTCTCTGCAGCACTCTCTTCACAGTTTGAGGAAATATGTTTGCTGCGCGTCTCGGGGGGAAGACGGGTGAGAAAAATACGGGAGGCAGAGAGTAAGTAAGGATCAGAGCATCGGAGCGGAAAAACCCAGAAGAAAACTACAAACCAAACTTCTGCTTTCCTCAGATATTATTTCCAGAAAATGATGATTCTGTCAGCTGGTTGGTTTGTTTGCAGTCGGTCGGTGTTGGTGTCGTGTGAAGTGATGCATGGATGTGAGCTTCGCTCCACAGCTGCTGAAATCTGATCAATGTGTCGTATTCAAACGTGAATTGATGTTTAATAAAGACGTAGATTAAAACTACAGTTTGTCTCCATTTCTTCACATTTCAGCTGCAGCAGAAGATCAGATAAAATTTCACGACTTGCTTTGGTTGATCAGTAGTTCAGGTTTTTAAAGTTTAATCTTTTAGTTGGAGTTTGTAACTGGACGGTTCAGAACAAGATGTCTGCTCAGAACTAACAGAGAGATGGAGTCAAATTTCACCAGATATTTTTGTGGTGTTTCATCCTGTCAGGAGAAATCCTGCCTGCTGAAAGCAGAAGATTGGAGGCCTAGCAAACAGGCACCTTGTGGAGAAACTTAAAAGCAGTATTTGGATTTTCCAGTCGCTGGATTGAACTCTGCTGCAAATGTGAACGCCAAGTGGACCGGCGACCGCTCCAAAAGCAGGAAGTGAACTGCAACGCAGGTCATTCTGGGTAAATGCAACCAAAACTACTGTTAGCCTAGCGCTAATGAGAAAAACAGCTTGTAATTTTTTTTTAATCAAAGAAAAATCCTAGAGTTGCTAAAACATGATGCTACTCCATTTGTTTCTATTTGGTGAAGAAGGAAGTAAAGATGTTTGTGTTCTTTACTTCAGTGGTTCTTGATGCAGCACCCCCGCAGGCGAGGAGGGGAACAGGTTTAAATGTTATGAACAAGTTAAAAGATAAAATAAAAGTACAAATAAAGTGACATCTATGGATAGATGGGCTAATTTCATCTTGTATTCACAGATTTCATTTTCTTTTGTTGCTTGTTATGGATAAAAAGCAGAAACAGTCAAAGATTTCACGTACTTTGATTTTTTTTTTCCAGTTTTAATATTTTATTATGAAAGTTAAAACAGAATACCTGAATAACGGTTAATTTACTCACATACCTGACACTTTAATCACATTCCTCCTTCCAAACCCTGGACAGAATTGATCCGATCAGTTCAGGAATAATTCAGATTATTTTAATGAAACTCAAACCTTTGGTCTTTTTCATTAATCTTTCAACAATTTAGTCTGGATTTCAGCATCATTAAAGGTGAATCCCGGACATCAAACGCCTGTAAAGTTTTATCCTCAATTGGATTTAATACGTTAAGAAGCTATAAAATGGTTTTGTTTTGTTGCAGACCTTTTGATTTCTTTTTGGAAAGTTAAAGCTACTTTTCTTTGTGCTGAGTCACAAAAAAAAAAAATATTTTTTTATTAATTTGAAGTATTTTTGAGTTTATCTTTGTGTAAAATTATAACCTTTTCAAGCAGGTTGTGTTAATTTAGAGGCTTCTTTTTTCGTCTAAGTTTAGTTTCTGAGAAGAGTTAAAGTTTTGGGTTTATTCAGGGTAACGTCGCACCTGAAACGAGAGCAAACTGCTGGAAACTTCTCCACATCAAACTCTTCAAAGGTCCACAGGTTGTTTTGAAATCGTCTGACAAGAAATGATGAGAAAAATGTTGAGCTGCAGCTGATCAATACGATCGATAACCTGATGGGGGTCGAGACTGGAAACTGATTAAAGGCAGACGGAGGAGATCCTGCAGGAAAACCGAGAAATGAAAAATACAGACCAGGTGAGAAAAACGAAGCAAGAGGTCAAAGGTCGGAGCAATTAGTGGGATCTGCTGATTGGTTTGGGGGGGAAAGTACAGCAGAAGTTCATCATTCGACTTTATGAAGGAGGGATGAATATTTAGGAATTTGTAAAGGTGTAAATATTTTCTCACCATTTTGTATTCAACCATAAATTTCATCAAATCTCAAACTTTATGCTTCAGCGTCTCGTTTTCCTCTGGTTTCAGGTTGTTTGACTCATTTTCTGACTTGTTTGTTTTCTGTGTTTCTCCATTATTGATGTTCCCAAAAAGTTGCTTTTCCTCTCAGATACGATCAGATTAAGCAAAGAGCCGCCGTTGATTCAGATCAATACGATCTCACAGCTGGATGTGAGAAAAACTGCAAACGTTTAGTCACAACTATTCTGACTGATACGACCCAGTTACAGTTAATCTTTCCAAACGGGTCTGAACATTTTTTATGTTTTCACTCATATTGATTCAGGATCCTCTGTTCAGATATTTTGTTTAAACTTTTCCATTAAATTTCTCCTGAGGGCTAACATTAGCTAGCTACCAACAAACTTAACAAACTCAGAAATCTGGCATGGTAGCCATTTTGCTACATGTTTATTTAGCTTGATAGCTAGCTTTACAACTAAACAATAATTGTAGCATGCTAACTACACTCCAACAATGTTGAAAATATCATGGTTTAATTTATTTGCCAGATAAATAGTTAGCTCAGCAATCTAGCTAGTAAACCAAACTGCTACAAAGTTAATTTGGCTTTTTACCCAGATTGCTAAACTCTATAAATTTAACATGCTAACTAGACTCCATTAATGGCGAATTGGTCATATTTAAATGTGCTTAGCTAACTAAGTAGCTAGTTCATCAGTCTAGTTAGTTTGGCAGAAAAACAGTTCAGTTTGCAAGTTACTATGTATTCATTAATGATTTATAAGGTTGAAAATTTAATCATTTGGAATTTAATTTAAACTGGTCATTTAGAAAAGAGTTAACTAAGCATTATAGGAACAACAGAAATGTTTTTATGTCAGATGGATATAAAAGGCCCTGAAGGCAGAAACAGAAACCTGAGATGTTAAACTTTCATTTTAATGTTTCATATTTAAACGGAGCGTTTCCCACTGGCCTCCTTCATCCCTGCAGTTTAAAGTTCATTCCTTCATCTCTCCCAGCAGCAGCAGCAGCTTCTGCATCAAAGCCTCCAACCTGCTAAGTTCCTCTAAGTTTCCTTTAATCCTGCGAAAGCTCATTGAACACGGGACAAAGTCCTCCGGCTTCAGCATTTAAACTAAAAGAAGAAGGAAAGTCGATGTTAAGCGCAGAGCGAATGGAGATCAAAACCGGGACAACGTGTGCGCTTAGCGCCGACAAGCTGGAGTTTGTTTTTAAAGTTGGCGAGGAAGAGGAGGGTGAAGAGTTGGAGGGTAGTTAAGAGCAGCTGGAGAGAGAAAATATCGACATGGTGTCAGAAACTTTCAGTCCCTCAGGTGGGAATTTAAACCGGGCCGAAATCCCCAGACGGGCTTTGATGGAGCGGGGGCCGCGCCGAGCGGGGGCCCCGACCCCCGACTTTAAGAACACAGCGCTGTCAGAACGTAAACGCTCCTGCTTCACTGTTCAATTATCAAACCGGCTTCAACGCGGCGCTGCGGCTTAGAGCGGGATCAGGATGACTAACGGCGGCTAAGACGCCGGGATTTCTGGGATTTCTGGGATTCTGTGTTCGGATCCAGCGCTGAGAGCAACAAACACACTGAAAGAAGTTTCCGGCCGAGTTTCAGGGGTTCATCCAGGCAAAGGTCAAGAGCTAAAGAATAAAAGTGAAGCTACGATTTTAAATGATCTTTTTTCACATTTTTGTGATTCCAGCTGCTGGGTTTGTTTTGGTTTTACTTAATTCTCATGATGTCACCATGAAGGAGACTTTGTAACTGGCAGCCATCTTGGTAGGCAGTTGCTATGACAACAATAAACAAGCCACAGGCTTAGAGCTAGTTGTAGCCTAGCTCCTATCAGCCTTATAAACAGCATAAATAAATTCAAACTCGGTTTCAATCTTTGAGTACCACTCACTGCATTCTTGTTGGTTGGGCAGGAGGCTCCACTTCTGCTTTTCAAAGATGTACGGTCGTTTAATGGCCAAGGGTAACATTGTGTTTTTACCGTAACCTCAGAATGAAAAAATTCACAGACAGATTTTGCAGAAATTGTCACTGATGGAACACAGGCAGGATGACATCATCAGACATGGCTCCGCCCACATGGGAGGAACACCCTGCCAATGGAAACGCACTCAATTTGGCCAGAACCGAACTGGAGGTTTAACAATGTTAGGGTAACATAGGGCCTAGTCAAAGTCCAGATCCGATCTGATTGTAATGGAGGGGAAATGTCTGCAAACTGCAACTTCCCTGATTTCTCTCCATATAAACCAAAATAATTTGACTTTAAAGCACATAATTAAAGCCTTGCTGCACGTCACTTTTTGCAGCGTTCAGCGCCTCCAGAGCAAACTTTTACCGTTACATATTGATCAAAAATTACTTATGCAGCAAATTTAGACCCAGTTTCTTCTAATCTGCTTCTCTTAATTCCTTTCATCAGTTGATGCGAAGGCTTTCCTCCATCGAACGGCACAAAAACCCGATTCTGATCCTGCAGAGGAACCAGGATTTAATTATTCCCTCCGTCAGAAACCAATGGGAAGTGGAGCAGCTGCTCAGGAAGAACCGACTGCGTCTCCTCTTCCACCAACATGTCAGCTCAGGCTGAAAATGGATTTATTACAGGAGAAACCGTCGTTTAAATGCTGAGATCTTTGGGTCAAACAGAGGAGCTTTAAAGAAAATCACCTTCAAAGAAAAACATGAAGAATATTTAATTATTTCAGCTCAATAGAAAAAGCAGGTTTGTGTGTGAAACACTGAGACACATTTTGTTCCAAGGCTCCAATAATAATAATAATAATAATAATAATAATAATAATAATAATAATAAATCATTAAAATAAGTGAACAAAGTTATATTAAAGCTGCAAAAGAGGATTTGGGTCACTGAAAAAGATAATTCTGACTTTTCCAAATTCTGACTGACCTTTGACCTTTATGTTTTCAGGTCTAATTTAAAGAAGTTTCAGGTTTTCGTTCAGTTTGTTTTCGATCTGAGAAGCTAAAGCTACGTTAGCGCTGCTGAGCTTCATCTCAATTCAGATTTTTTTTACTGAAATCTGGTTTTCTTTTATCAAGTTGGAAATGATTTACCTTTTTTTTATTTCACTTTATTTTGAAATCTAAAAACAGAAATAAAATAGTTGGATGAAGGCAAAATGGCTGCCAGCAATAAAACTCCTGATTCCATTAAAAGCAGTTAAATTGTTTTAAATATTCCTCCTGCAGAGATTTCCTTCCTTCAGGTTGAGATCTTTACTCTCACTAACGGTTTTAAGACGCCGTCTTCTTC